GCAGCTCGAGACCTTGACATGTTGAGGAGACTTTATAATCAACGATGCGGGCGAGAACGAAGGTATTATAGTGGATCTCATCGGAAGTCTCGTTGACTGGGGTGTTGAAGAGGTCCATGTTGAAGATTGTGGCGAGGCCACGGTTGAATTCAGCAATATCGAGGAATTCGTTGATGTCGAGCGTCGGTGCGTTCGCGTTCGCGCTGGTGCCGCTTGCGCTGCTGCTCATGATGTCGGATGGGGCTTGACAGGAAAATCTGCGAGGGAATAGGGCAAGAAGGTGTCAAGAGAGGGTCAAATTGATCGAGAGTGATCAATGAAGCTGATAATCAAGCGGGATACCAGAGATTTGTATGTGCGATAGGGCACGCCTAAGAGGTCAGCGGCTGAGGCAAACAACTAGGCACGGTTGACTGAATAGAGTGGGCGCCGGTCGGGTCTTCGTAGTCAGTCTCGCGTTCTAGCAATCTTAACTTCGCAGGGCAATCTGATGCAGATGATGCTTAGAAAAGACTCTCTTCTATCTTGCTGCTCTGAGGTTACCAGCCAGGTAACAACTGATCAGTGTGGATAGGTTAACTGAGGCTCAGTTGGGTCTTTGATCGATGATCGTGTTGTTCTTGTTATTCTTCGCTATCTAGACCATGCTGTGAGGTTTGATAGGTTGTGCGCGTGTCGGGTAAACGTTGTTCCCTGCTGACGCACGTGATACCCTCCTGCGATGTGCGCTCTATCGTACAAATGATCAGACAAAAGCGAACTTATTAAGGAAGTCTTAAAGTATATTATTAATATAATACTAAAAAGTAGCGGGCGCTCTTAAGAGGCTAAAGGGCGTTATAAGCTACTTAAATAAGCTATAGTATATATAAAACGCTATCTTTTACTTATTACCTTCTAAAATCTATACCTTATAAAACGCTTATTTTATATCTAGCTTCGTAAACTACTTTACCTTTAAAAGGTTATAGAGTATATCTAAGATTAAGGGTAAAGGGTAGTAGTCTAGCCTTATAATTACGTTTAAAGCCCTATAATCGTAATAAAACTATATCCCGCCCTTTAGTTTATATATAAATAAGACTAGCGCTCCTACTTTAAAGCTACTTACTTATATAAAACCCTTATTTAAGAGGTCCCTTAGCGTCTTTTTTAGTACTAGTAGCTCTATATATAATATACTATATAGCGGTCTAAATAGTATAAGTAGTTCCTACCCCTTCTTATTAATATAGAGTACGATCTTATAGTCTACCCTTAGCTTATATAGGTTAAGCTTATTTACTTCCTAAGACTTAAATAGTAGTAGGAGGTTATAAAAGCGCTTTAATATTTACTACTATAGCTTAAAGGGCGACTTTAGCTTTTTTATTTAAAGGGCCTTATCGATATCTAATAAGCTAACTATATAGACCGCTATATTAGCCGCTACCTAGCCTTACCCCTACTCTACTTATTATATAGTTCTTATAAAGATAAAGGTAAGGACTTCTTATACTAAGTATAAAGCTTATACGCTTAGTCTTACGCTTATAGAACTATTATTATAATAGACCTACTATTATATAGGCCTAAACTATAGCTTCCTTTAATATAAAACTAAGTATAACTCTATATATAATAACTAAGGTTTCTTAAGGATTAAGGGAAATTCTAGTTAAGGGATTATATAGGCTATAATAAGCTTATATTAACTATCGACCTCTATAGCTAGCTATATAATGCCCTTAATTACTATACCCTTTATTATACTTTCTTAAGGTATATGAGCAAAAGCGGAATTTTGGGAAATTAAGAAATCAAGTAAGACTACGTGATAGAGGGGAAGAAGGAGTATAAGGTAGGATTTTCAACGGAATTTATTGGTAGTGTATTGGTGTGTGGAAGAGGTGTTAAAGTTGATGATTTTCTATCTATCTACCAGCGGACATGCTGTCTTATATAGACAATTGTAGCTGAACGGAAGAACCTTTCGGGACCAGATTTAGGCTTCCGTATAGCCCTGAGACTGAGGAATTCCGTGATATCTCGAGTGAATCTGGAAGTGTCTTGGTTCTACTGATATTCGTGTTTAGAGGAGGTTGGTCGTGCCGGTGTTCTTGAGAGGTCTTAGCTAGCATTCCAAGCTAGCTCTGTTCCTTCGATTCCCGATTGTACGATAACCGGCAACCCGTTTAATGCATAATGACATACAAAATGACGAGCGATTCTTGCTCTATAGGATGAGATTTTGTCTATAATTAATATACTACTTATTGGCTTATATAATCGGGAGAGTATATTATAGCTGCTTTATTTATAGTAGGAACACCGTTCCTTATAGGGAGGTAGTTAGCTAGGGTAGTCCTAGTTAGGGCCGCTCTATCTTTAGCGCGACCTTAGTTTTATTATCCGGTATATCTATATATAGCCTCTAAGCTAAGTTAAACTAATAGAGCTTACTTAAGTAAAGGAACTATTACGCTAGCGGCGCTATAGTCCTTTTCCCTTAAAGGCCCGCTCTTATATTACCTACGTCCTAGGCCTATATTAAGAGGGACTCCCTTACCTTTACCGTTAATAGATAGTCGATTATCGTATAGTAGATAGTATCCTATCTTTATCTATAGGTATATATTAGCGAAACTACGCTAAGGACCTATTAGTTAAAGAGGAAGTCGTTAAGCTTAATCTTTCCTATATATATCTAAGTAATTACTATACTAATATACTTAGGGAGGCCCTTATAATAGTTTAGCGTTATCGCCTTATTAAACTAAGGTAGGAAGTTAGCGGGGTAGAGGGTAGTTTAGTATTATCGGATTGCGTTTTCCTTAGCGTTTTATTAAGCGGCCTATTCCTTATTTAGCCTTTTAAGCGACTTAGCTTTATCTAAGAGGTCGTCTATTTTTATCTAGCTCTAGACCCCCTTTATTTCCTTTATAAGGGGGGGTCTACCTAGAGGTAGTACTGCCGGGGGTCTACCCTCTCTCTAGCATCGCCTCTTTTTAAGTATGCCCGCGACCGCGTTAGACGCGCGTTAGATTTAGCCTAAGAGCCCTAAGTCTTTTAGCCTTTAAAGGGTATCCGTTATTCTTTAGTTTAAGTAGAGGTCGATTAAGGGCACCTATACCTCCGCTTCGACTTAGTAGACTAAGGTCGCGCGGTAGGTACTTATTACTACCTAGAGGTAAGCTAACTAGTCCTAGGTAAGGTCCCGCGCGATTCTATATAATTTCCCCCCTATAGGCGTTATCTTATAGAATATAACTATAGCGTAGGAAATTAAGGACCGGATTACCTTACTATAGACTTCCCTAGCGCGTAGTAGGGTATAGCCCTACGTAAACGCCGCGAGCCCGGTTAGGGCTATAGTCTAGTGCTTTAACTTCGCTTAGAGTTATTTTAAGTGCGCCTTCTAGCATAGTTTCCGGTATACCTAAACCCCTAGTAAGCGGGCCTCTTAGACCGGGGTTACTACGTTAGCCCTAAGGCGTACTAGCGTCGTTATCGCTTATCTCCTTTATATAAAGTATATTAATTCGCTCTTCGATAGTTTAAAAGTAACCGTAAACTTAGTCGCCTATTCCGCGTATACCTTCTAGGCTTCCTCTAGGCATACTATTATAGTAGCCTTATTAGGTCTAATACTAACTATATTTATATTATTAGTAAAGCTAATAGTATAAATACTATATATTATACTAAGCCTTTCGTATAAAGGGGTTATATAGTATAGAAATAAGATCGGGGATAAGGGGGAGCCTTAAGGGACTCCCGTTAGTACTTAAGTTAGCTCTAAGGTCCTCCTATCGAAGTAAAGGGTCGATCTCCTATCGCTTACGAAGCTCTATATTAAGCTCATAAGCTACCTAGGGTATCCCTTAAGCTTTAGTTCCCTTATAAGCTTATTATAGTTAACTATATCGAATATACCTTTAATATCTAGCTATAAGAATAATATAATGCCCCTCTAGGCTTATATCGCGCGTATTAGTTCCGTTACTAGTAAGATCGCCGCCTCCGTAAAGCGTTTCCTCCTATTCCTTATTTATCTATCTAGTAGGATGCCGTTCGCCTCCGCTACTCCCGCGATCCTCTAGGCTAGTATCTACTCGAGTACTTTTCCTACTATAAGTAGGAGGGAGATTAGTCTCTAACCTCCTACTATACGGTAGGCGTCCGGCCTCTTGCCTAGCTTCTAGATAACTACTATATTCGCGCTACGGAACCGACCTAGGAAATATAAGAGTTAGGTATAGGCGTTAAAGATCGTGGCTAGTCGCTAGACTAGGGCTAGGCCGTACTTCTTAATAAACCCTAAGGGGACGCCGTCCGGACCCGCCGCTTTCTAGCTTGCTATCTTACCTAGCGCCCCTACGACGTCGGCTAGCTAGATCTATTAGTTAACTATAAGGGTCGCCTCGGCCGTAGGCCGGGGTAGCCCTTAGGTCGTGCTAGCCTATAAGATAATATTAATAAGCTATATAAAGCTCTTTTATATATAGCTAGCTTATATATATATATATATATATAGGATCTAGCTCTTTATATATAATTATATAGCTTTAGCTATAGCTTAAGCCTATAACTTATAATAATTAAAGACTTTTATACTTAGCTCCTTTTTTTACTATATTAATATAGCTAAATTAAGTAGTAGGGCCTAGGTAGGTAAGGTATATATTAAAAAAGTAGATTATCTATATAAATAAAGATTTTATTTATATAAATAGTAATACTATATTTTAAAGTAAAAATAAAACTAATATAAAACTAATAATAGTTAATAAAATAAAAAACTATAAAAAGTTTTTTTTAAATAGTATTATAAATATATATTAAACTACTTAATTTTAATCTATTTTACTTATTATTAATATTTTAAGTATTTTAAGTCTCTCTTATATAACTTATTAGTACTTATATAGTAAGCCACGAGGTAGTCTTATCAGCGCTCTCGTCGCTTTAAACATAACGGACTACAACGTTTACCCAATGTTCGGGAACCGATGCCCCTAATGCCCATCTGCATCGAATGTCGGCATCCCGTCAAGACACTCTGGACGCAATACTCAGGTGCAGGCGACCAGTCGAGCGGCCATAACATTCGGTTGACGGTATGCCGCCAATGCGGCCGCTTCTGCGACAAGTATGTTGAACACGACTTTGTCGTGCTCTTCATCGACCTAGTCTTGATCAAACCACAGGTGCGTGCAGCGCAATGTCTGGTGAAAGCCATGCGCTATGCAGAGAGAGAGGCACTGGCTGACCCGATATGCCACCAGGTCTACCGCCACCTATTGCACAATACCCTGATGCGTGATGGCGACCGCTTCGACGTGAGCCCTGTCCCCGGAATCTTGGGCGTGGCACAGGAGCTCGGTGCTGAAACTCGATATAGCCCTCCATCATCCGTCTGGGCATCTTGCTACTGCTCTTTGACGTTTACTTGACATGGGCGCGTATTGAGAAACAGACGACTCCGGCTACGCTGCCTGGCGAAAGTAACCTGGGCACGCTCGCGCAGCAGCCCATCGTCTTGCAATACCTCTTTTTCTGTTCGTCCATACCCTCCCTCTCTCCACTATCTTCCCTCTGCTCTGGCCTATTCCCTGGCTTGTCTTGCTCATATGGCCATGCCCGGGTCTGCGCACGTATACATGTTCCCGTTCAATGCAGCTTATGCCAGGACAGTGATCCTCTGCACGCTTTCGACAATGGCTTTCCATCTCAGTATTCGCTTTCTCACCTCCTCGCCGCTTTCGCCGCTCTATTCGCTGGGGATCATGGCGCGACACGCGAGGCCCAACTCGGTCTCGACAGCCCTCCTTGTCTCGTCGTCAACGAAACTCTTTCCCATCCTGATGGTCATTTGGGAATACGACGTCCCTGCCGCAGCCCGATCTCTTGGCTGGGCTGTCGTGGCCAACAACGTCGAGGCCCTGCGCATCCTGCTTGATTGCAAATACTATACAGCCTGTATCCTCGCTGTTGCCGGGGCAGCCTCGCGGTGGGCCGTCGGCCGGCTGGTGCTCATGGCAGCCGGGCTGGGTAACGTAGACTCCATCAGCGAGAGCAGTGTGGCAGCCGACGGGAAGGCGTTATGGGCCCTATTGATATTTGTCAAAGAATGGGCTGGTCGTATAGCTATGGGTTAGAGGTGGGATTAACTCGGCTTCAAGGGTTGGGTCTTGACATGGCCACTTCTGTTGACAAACTCGTCACTGATTATTGTTGTCAAACTCCAGAGCCACCGCACGCACGAAAGAATCGTGCTCCCGGTGTCGTGACATATTTAGGAATGGAAGAAGCCTTGCGCCCTGCATTAGATCATTGAAACGGACGTGGCATCCACCTGCCCGAGCCACATAATGTACAGTCGGTCGATGATTGTGCAGCAAGTACCATACTTCCCTGCCACGGTGCCGAGCTTCCCAAACAACGCCGTTGTCCGCACTAACATGTAGTTGTGTAGCCCTCAGGTACGATACTAGTGCTCGAGGAACTGCTCCCGTAGATCGCTTCGTCTCGGGACGATCAATGGATGCAGCTGGGCGAGAAACGTGATGGCCCACATGAGATAACAGCTCACGATTGAGAGTATTAGGGAGGATCGCCACAGCCTGCCAGCAACCGACATGTGAGCATGGCTTCTGTTGACCCGGGATAGCGCGCCATTGTGCAACTGGGGATAACTCACACTTGATTCGCGCCTTTGGGTGCTAGGAACCAGGACGCTGCACAGAGCGCAGCGATGATCACGAGGCCGACGTAAATCGAATACCTGTGCGTCGGTTTCCATCAGATCAGCTTTGGTACTTGGTCCGCGAGGGAACCTGGCGAAGTGCGTACCCCTGGGCCATTGTAGGAAGTTCTTGGAACAACACTCTTGATGCTATGTCCGCGTGGTTCAAGAGGTACTGGTTGGTAAGCTTAGGCGGGACCTGTATGAAGTTGCTGCAACGTCGTGGTCGTCGGAAGTGAAGCAGTGACAAGTTAGGACGAGGAAAGCCGGTCCCATTGCTTAGTCATGGCGAGCACGCCTGGCACGTGATTCAGATGCCTGTCAGTAGGCATCTGACTTCTACTCTCAAGAGCAAGCCATAGTATTGCACCAGTGCTGAATCAATATTAAAACCTACGTTTGTCACGTCATTTTGCTAGGCAAAAGTAGAGTGCTCACTCCAGCAGATGGTGCTGCAAGTGACTGTTTTTACACGTGACAAGTAAGGACTTTAATGCTGCGACGCGGCAGAGCAGCCGGGAACTTATGTTATGGTGCGATTTACCAACAGAAAAAAAAGTACCGAAGACGGCGCGGCGCTTCATTGAATGATACCCCTGTACTCCGTGACTAGTACCAATGCTTTACCCCTTTCGCATATGCGTTAAAAAAGTGTCGACCCCACGCAAAGATCGGGTACCTCGCACGCGGGTGCATTTTGTCAGAGGGCGTTGTATTTCGCCTCTGGAAACAAATTACCTGCAGTTCCTGGAGACGTGCGCCGCGTTGCAGATAGCAGCCACCCACCGCGTTCCATCTATCCTTCATCTACCAAGTGCAGCCACATCATCTTCCATCTCGACAAGTCAGACGCACGACCGAAGCCTCCGATCACCGCCATCGCCAAGATGGATTTCAAGAACTTTGGCAAGAACCTTTCGTAAGTCCCGCCGCAGTTGATGCTGCGCGATGATCCCAGCCCCGTTGCTTCTTTCCCGGAGTGCAAAGCACAGCCCAGAGAGAGCGCTGACCGCTCGCATCGCGAGTCCAGGGACTTTGGCGCGCAAATCACGCCATTTGCGTCGCGCACCTTTCAGTTCACCAAGGAGCAGTTTGGACAGGCAGATGACAAGGCAGGCGCAAAACCGCCCCATCACGCGGCAGCCCGCTAATCCGCTCTCGCAAACAGACTCAGCTGCCACCCGACTACATTGATCTGGAGAAGCGGGTGGACGCCTTGAAGCAGGCCCACCAGAAGATGCTAGCTGTGACGTGAGTCGTTATCTTCGTGCGCGACGCCCGTCCTGTGCTTACCTGCAACCCGGCAAGCTCCCAATTCTCGAACGAGGCCTACGACTACCCCCCCAACATCAAGGAGACTTTCCAGGACCTCGGTCGCACCGTGAGCGAGAAAGTCACTCTTCTTTCTGCCGCGACATCTACGACCGAAGCCCAAGCCGCTCTGGTTGCCCCCCCTTCGGCCAAGCCCCAACCCAAGACCTTTAGCCATGCTATTGCACGCGCCAGTCTGTCTAGCAGTCAGCTCGTGCACCAGAACCACACTGGGGCAAGCGAAGACCCCTTGGCCACTGCCCTCGAGAAATACGCCCTCGTGATGGAGCGTGTCGGAGAGGCTCGCCTCGTCCAGGATTCTCAGATCCAGAGTCGCTTTCTTGCCGGCTGGAATACGACTCTCAACACCAACCTCATGTTCGCGACGCGCGCCAGGAAGAACGTTGAGAAATCGAGGCTCTCGCTCGACGCTGTCAAAGCCCATGCTAAGGGTACCACCTTCAAGCTTGGCAACCAGGGTGCTCGAGCGGGCCAACACGAGGAGCAAGAGCTTAGCCCAGAGGCTCAAGAGGAGATTGAAAAGGCCGAGGACGAGTTTGTCACCCAAACTGAGGAGGCTGTCGGCGTCATGAAAAATGTATGCGCTTCATCGTTTCGGTCGCATGGACTTGTAGGTCACTGACACTACGCAGGTTTTAGACTCCCCCGAACCGCTTCGCAACCTCTCCGAGCTCCTCGCCGCACAGATCGAGTATCACAAGAAGGCTTACGAGGTTCTGAACGAGCTCGCGCCTGCCATTGATGGGTTGCAGACCGAGCAGGAAGTACGATGGTTCTCTGGCTTTCCATGTGCCACCAGCGACTGACTTTGGTTACTGCAGGCTAGCTACCGCAAGAGTCGTGAGGAAGCTTCTTAGTGGCTTCTGGTCCACCGCCCGGTAAGGATCCCGTTGGGGGTCCTGTTGGGAAACAGGCTGCCGCGTCCTGGCTATAGCAGGAACGTGAATCGCATGGGGGATGATCCGAAGCTCACCAAAACCCCTGTTCTTTTTTTGCGCCGGGCATGGGAGATGCGTCGACCGTGGCCACGTACCCAAGCCCGGTCGGCATTGCATAGCTAGGCCGCGCGGCTATGGGTATCTCTGTCTGTCGACTACTTTGCATGGTGTAGCTACCTATTGTGTTTCAAGACGATCCGACCTGACCTGCCTGTAGTTTTGTAGCTTTTGGCTTGTGGTCAAGAAGGTATCTCCCCTTTCACGCTTAGCAGCGTTTGCAAGGCTTTGGAGGGTGGACCAACGGCCGGAAGTTCTCCATTTGCCTGTAAGCCCATTTGCACCAAATACGAATACGTGGACAGCCTTTGTAGACTGAGATAAGCAGAGGACGGAAACGGGTAGTGGGCAGTCACGTGGGCTGCACGTGATCGTGATTACCTGGCTAGGGACTGGCACCTCTCGGCTCAGAGGGAGAGAGCTGCAGCTTCCCCCGACATCGCCATTGGATTCACGAGGATGCGGCCAACGTTTCGCGCGCTCGCGCGCTACCTCGAGCCGGGCACCCCGACCGGTCTGACCGGGCTCTGGACTCACAGCACACCCCGATCAACATTGCTATATCTCTACGGCAGCACCCTCGACAAGCTTCAGTCGGTACCTGAGACGTCTCTATACCGCCAGTCTGTCGAAGCGGTCACAAAGCATCGGATGGGCCTCGTCGAGCAGGTGACCCCTCCGGGATACAACGAGTGGGCAGACAAGGCGAGGGACTTGGTGAGCAAAAATCCAGATCAGTTCCGCGTCGCCAGCGGCCGCGTCGACGGCAGTGAGGCCAGGACAGTGAAGCTCGGCGACCGCACTTTCGTCGTCGGCTCCAAGCACGAGAAGGGCGACATTCGATACGAAGAATGGGACGGCGAGGAGAACGAGGGCGGTGAGCTCGAGGGTGTCCGAACAGCTGCGGAGAGGCAAGACCAGGCGACCTGGGCTGAGCGGAAGCCTCTCGAGGACCACGAAAAGGTGGAATGGGAGGACGAGCCGCAGCTGACGGCTGAGCAGTACGTTCCAAGCGTATTGCCGCGGCAAAGTCATGGGCCTTGCCATGCTAACGATAGGAACAAGAGTCTCCGAATTGGAGCAAAAGATTGGCGCAGGTCTGATTGAAGAAGTCATCCAAGTCGCCGAGGGCGAGCTACGGCTCATTGGCATGATGGAAAAGGCCAAGATGTAGGTGCAAATCTGGTTTCTGTTCATTTAGCACCTTGTCGCCTATGCTGACGATATACCCCAGCTGGGACGGCCTTGACGACAAGCCTGCTCAAGGGCAGTGGGAGTATTTTGAGCGCCAGACAATGTAAGCTGTAGTGAGAGTGCAGTTGACTTTTGGGCCATGTGCATCGTCTTTGAGCATGGATGGTACTGGAGGCATTGCTATGGATGGGCCGCCCGGGTTGATATGAGGCCGCCTTCATCCCGTGCGCGCTCAAGTTTCCAGCTCTGGGCAGCACAAAGGCATGGTATCTAGCTAGATAGCCTATTGGACCCCAGCCAGAGCATACCTAATTACTTACTGGGAGCTTTCAGCTACACTGCGACACCTGGTCGCGCGTGCGAGTGTAAGCAAATTGCAATCTAACAATAGTACCTACTTACCTAGTGCCCCAGCCCCAGCTTGCCCCGGGGCTGCGAAGTACTTCAGTTAGGACAGAGTGGCCCCACCGCACTCGGTCAAATCCCATCTCTCCGCCCATCCCTCCGCCAGGGTCGTCTCATGCAAGTACTAGGCACCCAGGACACCAAGCATCAACCGGCTCTAGGAGCGAACTTCTCTCTCCTTCAGCAGGCTCATTATGGCGTATTCGGATAATCCACCGCCACGTCTGGAGCATCGGGTAGGCAAGCGCAAAAGGGTGGAGCACACGGGCACTGGCAGTCTTGAGATCGCATCGCCGCAGCGTAATCCAACGACTCCCTTTAGCCGCTCTCCCTCGGAGCGTGTCCAGCTGTCTCTCGCGGGGCTCTCAGACACGGACAGAGACCCGACGCGAGGGCTTCGGCATTTCCCACACTGCGCATTGGCCGCAGACCACGACCAGGAATGGTGGGATGACAATGGCAGCAAAGACCAGCCCTTGAATGGAGAAAACGGACGGGCGGCAGCTGTAGCCGGTTGTGGGAAACACTTTGATATCCTGTTACGATCTCTCCACCAAATGCTCGACCGAGGCAACATCGTCCGAGCAGAAAGAACCTATAGGCTTCTTTTGCAGTTCCGACCCGGGGGCAGGCCCATGGATGTTCGTCAGCACAACATGTGGGCCATAGGCGCTGAGATCCTCATGCGGGCAGGCGAGAAGCCGCCCAGATCACAGGACACGAACGGCAGCCCTGCTGATAGAGCCGGGGACGAGGAGCAAAGCCACTCCAGTCGCGCACCCATACCACACAGCGGCTTCTTCATACCGGCGAGATGGGGTTCCTCGGCCAATATTAACGGGGTCAAGGCATACTTTGAAGCCCTCATCCAGCAATACCCATACGATCACAAATTTCCCAGCAGCGTATCCGCCCCGGACTTTCAGCTTGCTATGCTGGGTTGCGAGATTTACAATGTCCACGCCGAGTGCACGACAGGCCTTGCGCGAGCCGAGAAAGGAGCTGGCACCTGGCACGGGCGACGTCTGGCGGAGAGGCCAGACAAGGCCGCTCCCGGCCGCCAGAGCGAGACGTTGAAGCATCCTGACAGGGACGACGAGGAGCAAGAAGAGGATGGGCGCCAGGCAAAAGTCGAGGTTCGCATGCGGGCGCTTGTCACCATGGAAGACATCACCCGGAGAATGGACGTGTTGATGCAGGCGCTACCATATCGCAAAAACGACGACTTTCTCCGGCTGCGCGCGACGGCGTCGCTTTACGCGGCGGATCTTTTGATGACAACGCCGCAGATGACGTCCAGCGAGCGCAATGAGACGGAAAGAAGAAGACAGCTTCAGCAACGAGCCGCCGTTGATACCCTGGAGAAGCTGGTTCACAATGGTGGAGAGCTCGATGGGACTACCCAGCTGATGCTGGGCGCCTGGTCGGAGAATGAAGGGGATCTCTCATCACCACCCTCGCTGCATTCGTCGCTCCCCATCCGGAGAATTCAAGGCATGACTTGGAGCGAGCCAACTTGAGCTACTATCTGCTGATGGGAATCTCATGCGTCCGGACTCATATGTGCATGGACTGCGCGGCCCGCCTTGCCCAGCGTTGCAACACCAGCGCCGTGTTGGAACTTCCGACCACCACGCACCACTCACCGCCGGGGCTCCAGGCTGCCTGCCGTCCGACGAAGTTGTTCGACGACGACTCGGTTTTGTGTGCCTTAAGCGGCTCCTGCGGATCCTCCATGCTGTATCTCGACGCCCACGACTCGAGGGTTTCGGGGCTAAGGTCAGTGGAATCAACCTGCCCGGAGGAGGCTATTGAATCTCTGTCGCTGCCCAGCGCCCGGAATCGGCTCATAGCATCGGCTCTTTGTCGAGGGATCACTGGCTTGAGCCAGCTCGGAAGCTGAACCGCCTTGCTCTTGTCACGATATGGATCGCGCACCTTGGCCATGACGTCGCGGTACACCGTCAGCCTTGTGAGGTCCCAGAAAAATATGTTTCCGGCGGCGTTGCAAAATGCCAACACAGGATTCTGTCCGGGGACATGGAGGAGCTTGAACCTCATGAAGAATTGCGGGCCACAATTCGGAGTATGAAATTCAAGCATGCGAGTGTACTGAGCCGGACATAGCGGTGACGTTGCGGGAACAAATGCTGATCGTGTGAGACGGTCTGATTCCTCGTTGCTGGTTGGAACCGGAATCTGCGGTGTTGGGGCTGCGCTTTGTGGTGGAGGGTCACCGTCTGACGAGAAGCCCTCGATCCGCCACAAGACGATGACATTGTCGTGGCAGGCTCTCGACAAGATCTGATCTCCGTAGAAGGCGACGCTTTGGCAAGTTAGTGCGTAAGGCTGACCTCGTTGCCGAAACAATTCTGCGCTCTGCACTTACCAATCGACAATGCCGCTGTGGACCGCTGAGGTCGAGAAATGAGGATAGTGGACTTGCAGCGGGGTTGCGACGGGCTCGACCGGGAGATCCGGTATTGTCCACTGTGTCAAGGCGAGCAGAGTGGGAAGAGAAGGTCAGCCCAAGGAACACCGTTGTTCGGTTATCGTAACAGACGTACCAAGTTGATTACTTGGTCATGGCCCCCGGAGAGAACATATCGACCGCTGTCATGGAAGGCCTGGAAAAAGTATGAACCCATTCCGAACTTGTCTCGGTGGCAAGACATGAGGGCGATGGACCCGCCGTACCAACGTCAAAAGGCTCCAAGAGTGCCCTTCACCTGCCAAGATGCAGAGACATGGCTGATGCCTGTGTACCGGGTCGATGCTCCATATGCGGATGCTGGTGTCGTCTGAAGCTGACGCAATGACAGACGAGTCGACGGGAGACGTGGCCAGATCGTTGACGTCCTGTTCGAGTTTAAGCTGCAGTCGTGGGATGAGAGAGGAAAGGGGTGCGAGGACTCACGCCTCCATGGCCGACGAGGCACTGCATGTTCGAACAATGTCAGCTTGGGCAATATCCCAGAAAGCCTGTCTTTTAGTGTACCTCAACCAAGTTACCGTCGGAGACATTGTAGATCTTGACCTTTGCGTCGACTCCACCGACGCAGATGTAAGGATGACCGGTGGCGGGATCCTTGGTCCATGTGCAGCAGCAACTCGATGCCTCGCCCTGAAAGGTTGCGGGGTGGTCAGGGTCGCACAGCAGCGTCAAGGCTGCGATTTGAGCCAAGGTGGGAAACGTACATCACCATCCCTGATGACTTTGATCACCTCGCAAGGATTGGCATCCCCCGAATTTTGTGAGAGTTTGCAAAGGACAACCTGGCCGGGAACAGCTTAGCGTTGGCAACTTGGCGCTGCGGGATGAGGCAGCGATGAGGCTGTTGGAGACTGACGTGCTTCTTGCTGACGGCGGCGAACACGGGATCGCAGTCGAGAGGCTGGTACGGGCAGAACTTGACGTCGAAGAACTCTATAGCGGTCAGACCACTTAGCAGCCGCCGTATGCAATGGCCGTCAGGGAGAGAACATGCCGGCTACATTGTCGTCGTGCTCCAGAAACCGCGCATCGTTCTGGTACGGCGTCAGCGGGCTACAAGAGGTCGAACAAGGCCCACCAGGCCGCACGTTACCTCGAAGCCGAGTGACACACGCAGCCTCGGAAGATCAAAGGGGCTTTTTGATATCGTGGCCATGGCAAACCACAGTGCGCAAAGTGACCTGACTTGACGCTTATGAGGCGCGCCGACCTTGAATCGCTATTGCGAATTCCGGAAAGTGGATAGTGTGATGAACATGCCAGTAGACCTCAGCTAAGTCTGAACTGGTGTCGCTGCCTCTCAGTCATGCTATTCGCGATGATTGTTGCTTGAGGTCCAACGGTATATTAGAGGCCGGCTAGGTTCCAAGGCCCAGAGCGTTGGAGTAGAGCTTCGGCGAGCTGTTTGCGAGCTGGTAGATGGCACTAAGGGTATATAGAAAATTTCCTATAACTACTAGGTAAGTTTCTTTTATTAAAGAAAAACCATACTAAAGTAAGTAAAGAATTATAAAGATCTAAGAAAATATTTCTAAGTTATATATATATTTATATATTTATATTTATATTTATATTTATATTTATATTTATATTTATATAAAAATAAAATTTTAAAACCCCTTATTATTTAGTTAAAGAACTATTATCTAATAATTAAAATAGTTTTAAGGTAATTAATTATTTAAGAGTTAAATATATATATATATCTCTCTAAAAATAGAATTTTCTTTTTAAGTACTAAAAAAATCATTTACCTTCCTTTTCTCTTAACACTAGGCGCTACGTAGCGTCTCGCTGATTTACTAGGGAGCTCGCATTGGAAACTGGCCAGTTCGAGCAACGGTGTGTCAGCGCTCTAAATCACCACCTCTCTACCCTCATCATTGTCAATCAGTTCGGGCGCGACCTACGTGTCACCCACCACGCCGTGCTTCCGTCAACTCTTCTGCCAGGCTCATCGAATCTGCAGGGCAAAGGCTGCGGTCAGAGACGCTACGGCCATCAGGAAGAGGGCATACGCAGACGTCGCAAGGCTGTCGTGAACGCGCCAACCGCGCTCCGACCCACGTCCACCATGGCCTCCACAAGCGGAAGCGGCAACTATAGCCACACGCCCTTACAAGACGACGAACTGATTGACCCCGATGATGGTATGTGGTGGAGCTGCACCAGAATTTCCCTCCATGCGGCTCGGGTGGTTCCCTGATGACCTGGCAACTAACATTGGCACCGTGCCCAGCCGACCTGAACGATTTTGATGACCCCCTCGCGCCGCAGTCTTCCCGTCAGCCTCTCGCGGGCAACATCGGGGCCGGATCCTCATCACGGCCGCTCAACGAAAGCTATCTGACGTCGTCGATTCCCGGTGAGGACAGGAGAGCACCGCAGAACACGATTGACGAGACCGTGTGGGAGACACTTCGCCGCGATCTGCTCGCCGTGTGGGCAAAACTACGAGAGGTGCTTTACCCAAGGTACTTGCTTGGCGGCACCATGTTTGACTCTGAGGGCGGTCTTCGCGGCGCCTATTCCAATATCCGTGGCGCTGGCATATCCGGCACGAGAGAAGAGCTTACCGGGCTTGCCAGTCGCGTCATGGACGCCGAAGCCCTCTTACAGAGCAACATGAGCCCTGGGTTGCGGGACTGGGACTTATGGGGACCCTTGATATTCTGCCTGCTCCTGAGCCTGCTTCTCAGCTTTACTGCGCGACCCGATCAAAAGGACGCCGTCTTCAGCGGCGTCTTCGCCATGATTTGGCTTGGCGAAGCTGTGGTGACGCTTCAGATCAAGCTCCTAGGCGGTAACATGTATGCCGCATCTCCCCGATGGCCGTTGCTTGCTCGCAGGCTCGTGTGCTAACTATGACTCTGCACCTCCAGATCGTTTGCACAGAGCGTGTGCATCATCGGCTACACTTTGTTTCCCCTCGTCTTGGCTGCCCTCATGTCGGCGCTCAGGCTGCATTGGATCGCACGGATACCGGTCTACGTCGTCCTCATCTCCTGGTCTCTCGCCGCCGGTGTGAGCATTTTGGGCGGCAGCGGCGTGGTCAAGAATCGCGTGGCACTTGCGGTCTACCCGCTCTTCGTCTTCTACCTTGGACTCGGGTGCCTCTGCTTCATCAGCTGAGCCGTGCGCTGAGCGGCCAGATATGGCAGACGGGTGAGGGGAAACTTCTGCAAGCCGTGCGGGCAGTTAGTCAGGCTTGGGTGGGAGGGGAGAGTGCCTTTTCGGACGCGTATACCAAATCAATATTCCCGCTGAGATCTTTGACTGGGCGGGCAGGAGGGCAAACCATCGGACTGTTGCTTTCAAGTTGGCAGGGGAAGTGATGGTTGTCGTGAGCCAGCTGCGTGCAGTCTTAAGGCGTCCGTGCTGTAGGGCGCAATCGTGGCACTCACTCAACCTCCTCTCGCCTACCTAGACACTAGCAGGCAGCCTACCCCTCTTCTAGGCATGGGCGGTGAAGGCCGCTATCCCTGTTTTCTGCCGTCCGGCATGCGCTATTACAAGGCTACGACGCCCTGATTAACTCTGATTACCTAGTAGTAGCTTGAGGCGGACGGAACCAACCAAATTGCAGGAGTGGGAGAATGGCCAAGTAGGTACCCATAATTTGTACTGTTTGTAGCGGGCTGCGAAGGTCCCGTTGGAGCCAGTGCCTTGCCTCACCTTTCTTGACCTAGTACCATCTACTGATCTCGCCTCTCTTGGTCTCTGCATATGCATGCTAAGTTCAGAAACTCATCGACAGACCACGAGCAGCGCGCCAGCGCCTTTGGACACTCTTCGCGCTTCGAACCTTGCTCACTGAGCCACGTCCTCGAACGCTCGGTAGCGCTTCTCGTCGAACCCGACGCCCTGCTCGTCGCACACTCGTGTAGGTAGCCCGCAATGGCTGGGGACAACCGAGCGGCCAGCCCAAGGAACGACCTGGCGCATCTGGAAGCCAGCGAAGATGCTGAGATGCGCGCCGCCCGTCGAGAGCTCAAGCAGTCGTCCATATCGGACCCTCCTCCATCGGCAAGAGATTCTGGTCACGATTCGTCTACCGAACAAAGGGCCGATGTCTGCGCCGTATCGCCTGCAGGTGACGTATCCGACGCGCAAAACGAGGACTTGAAGACAAAGGTTTCGTCGCCAAAGAAGAAGCGGGCGCATGATCAGCTAGACGGCGACAAGGAGGCCAAAGACAGCGATTCCACCAGCATCGCCTCGACGGATTCTGCCAAGGACAGGGCGTCGCGACTCGAGCCCGAGAAGAAGCGGCATCGCGACGAAGAGTCTGGCGATGCGAACTTGGTGCGTCCTGCCCGAACACTGGTACTGCCGTGCTGCTAACAACTAGCGCCAGAAGCCTGTACAGCCTGAGGCGCAGCCGGCGGTGCCGCACGATGACGGTGATGCCACAGCCCGCAGCGACAAGACGCCGGAGACGTCCTCAAGCGCATTTGCGACAACAGGGTTTGGCAAACTAGCCAAGGGGTCGTCGGCCTTTGCTGCCCTTAGTACTTCCCATGGCTCCTCTTTCGGCTTGCTGGCCAAACCAACATTATCGTCTCCTCCTTCTCCAAAGTCCTCAGGCGCATTGCAGCCTGAAACAGCAGCGGTCGCCCCCAAACTGACATTTGGAAGCAATGGTGGCGTCTCACCCTTTGCTGGGTTATCTTTAGGCTCCAACGGGTTCGCAAGCAAGACTGGCGGCGGCTTCGCTTCCGCATTTTCGGCGACGAAGCCCTTGACCACTTTTGCCGCCGCTGGCGGCAAATCACTCCAGAGCGGGAAAGCCGCCAAGCCCTTTGGAGCCCCAGACAGCGACTCCGATGATGGCGATGACGAGACCGAGGAGCAGGGAGAGACCGAAGACCAGGTCGATGAGCCACTACGCGCCACATCACCCGACAAGGAGGCAGATGACAAGAGGAGAACGAAACTTCACAAAGGTCGGTGCCCCAGAATCATCTCCCTCCGTCACGTGCTATGCGGTGCTGACTTGGCCACCCTTGCAGTTGAAGTGGACGATGGAGAAGCCGGAGAAGCGACCATCGTGTCGATAAGGGCAAAAATGTTTAGCCTTGACAAGGAAGCCGGATGGAAGGAACGGGGAGCTGGCATGCTGAAAATCAACGTTCCACGAGGCTGCGTCGAGTTTGACGAGGCCGGTGCGCCCATCTCTGGAAGCTTCGACGCATCTGGGCTCGAAGCAGACGACGAGGCCGGTGATGAGTCCAAAGGTCACAAGGTGGCCCGCCTAATTATGCGGCAAGACCAGACCCATCGTGTCATCCTGAACACAGTCATTGTCCCTGCCATGCAATTCCAACAAAAGACGTCTCTGAAATACGTGGGTATTATGTTTACGGCTTTCGAAGGGACCGAGGCCAAGCCAGTCAGCGTCACAATGAGGGTAAGCTCGCTTCTTCTTTTCCACCATATGCTTGTTCACACTGACGCGTAGTTGGTAGACATCCGCCGCCAACGCCAAGATCTTCATGAGAGAAATCGGCATGGTCCAGAAAGAGCTGAGGGGAAACTAAGGCTGTGGCCGTTGAAAGAGTCTCGAGCTCCCTCGCTCCCGCGGCGTCTTCGCATGGCCGCCGTCGGAATCAGGGCCTGGCTTTGATTTTCCTGCGAGCGCTGCGAAGAGGGCGTGACGTAGTGCCAGATGGAATCGCGAGCCGGGCCAAGGTCCAGTTGCTGCTCGCCGGCTGGCTCCACGTCGTACCATAAGATGGACAAGGCCATGCTGAAGAAGAGCGGATGGGCACCGTACGTACATTGCCGTTGTTTACAGACACATGCTCACGGAGGGGGAATCCGGATAGAGGATATACATTGTACTCCTTGCAGAGCGAGGTCGCGTGAATAGCGGGCACAATGGCTGCCGAGGCCTCTGCAGACCGCGCCTCATTCGGTTCTTCACATGCGGTGACAGGTTGCAACGTTAAAACCTCGCTTTTGCCCGGGCCGTCCGCGTGGCCAGGCGCGCGGTGGAAAGGCGACGCCTGGTGGTGGCTGAGGACGGGATGATCGCTGGGACCAGGACCTACAGTAAAGGCGCTGCACGTGACCAGGCGCCAATTCCGCGACATCGCCATGTGCGAGTCGCTCAGTCCTCGGCCGACGCGTACATGCAACGGTGACACTCGTGAGCATCCATTGTCCCCTTCTAACCCCGAGCTGCAACAGAAGCAGAAGAAGACAGGGAAACCACCATGTAACATCGCGCTAAAGTTGGAGTCATGGACAGTCTTGATCTGCCGCCCAGTACATCCTCAACAGCCCCCAGCCAGGCCTCCCGGGGAAAGCGAAAACGGTCCTCAGCGGAGCTGGAGCGAGCTGCGGCAGATCCGCAAGCACAGCCCCTCTCTTCTACCGACAAGCCCACTGGCCGGCAGACAAAGGGACCTCATAAACCGTCCCTGAAACGGCACGCCACGGCTATCGTCGAATGTCTAGTGGAATGGCCGCCCTCATTCAAGGCCTTTGCGCGAACGCACAAGGCGCTGAACCTCGTTTTCACGTTCTGCTGCACACGCAAACACCTGGCAACAACCTTTGACACAATCAAACCGGCCGTTGAGTCTCACACCAAGAGGCAACTGACAATCGAGGAAGTGGCAATGGTCGTAGCCCTACGCCCAGAAGGTGTCAGATTTGCCTACGTGGACGAGCTGACGCTGCAGCTTGACATCCGAAGCTCAGAGAGGGACGATATGTTCAAAGCGTCCGGCTCCTCGAGATCGCAAGCGCCACCTCACGATGCGTCTGTCGGCGGATGGTCCGGTCGCGAAACCCTCGACGAGGCCGCTCCCGCCACAACGAAGGTCTTGGTCTTTGAGTTCGTCGATGGGGATCTCAAGCGCCAGGTCCGAGATAAGAAGACCGGAGAGGCCACGCGGCCCAACCGGAGACTGCGAGAAGAAGAGTTGAAGATGCCCGTCTACAGCCAGAAACAGATGGCAGAGTTGATTGAACGCAGGGAGCATAGGTTTACCAACGCTGTCAATCTGTTTCTAAACAGCTGCACGGAACAACAATTGGATCCGCACCAGACTCTCCGGCGCCGAGCCGAGGCTATGACCCCAAGGCCTTCCTTGAAAGACAACGATGACCAGGAGCGGGCGCTGGGCGCCATTCCCGACGACATCCCCAGGGAACGCAAGTCCGTCCCTGAGATCGTTCAGGAGCTCAAGGATAGTCCCTGGTACACTGGACAAATCGTGCCCGACGGGCATCGGGTATTTGAGCCGCAGGAGCCCGTCTACGGCAACCTCGGATTCCTACTCAGCCAGAACTTGGTGAATGCTCTATACAATGCCAAGGGCATCACACAACTCTACGCACACCAAACAGAGGCACTGAATGCCCTCCACCAGGGGCAAAACATCGTCGTCGCAACGTCCACCAGCTCTGGCAAGTCGCTGGTATACCAGCTTCCGGTGCTGCGCGCCCTGGAGGGGGATTGCAACTCAAGAGCCATGTACATTTTTCCCACAAAGGCTTTAGCTCAGGACCAAAGGCGGAGCTTGAAGGAAATGATGGCATGGATGCCGGGATTTGAGGACACTGTCGTCGAGACGTTTGATGGCGACACCCCGATGAGTGCGCGGAACTCCATAAGAGATGAGGCGAGAATTCTCTTCACCAACCCCGACATGCTTCACGTCACCATCCTCCCCCAGGAGGAGAGATGGAGGACTTTCCTCAAGAATCTGAAGCATGTGGTAGGTGAGTTGTCCTCTTCCCAGGACATGCGGCGTTGTTTTTGACAGGGCAAATTAGTCGATGAACTTCATTACTATAACGGGCAGATGGGCTCTCATGTTTCCTTCATCATGCGGAGACTGAGGCGAGTGTGTGCTGCCGTCGGCAACCGACGACTCACGTTTATATCCTGCTCTGCCACCGTCGCGAATCCCAAGGAGCACTTCGAAACAGTGTTTGGCGTCGAAAATGTGCGTCTCATCGACTATGACGGTTCCCCATCGGGGCGCAAGGAATTCCTGTGTTGGAATACTCCGTTCAAGGACCCCGGCGACCCCACCAGCGGTCGTGGTAGCGCCAAGCTTGAGTGCGCACGTTTGTTCTGCGCCCTAATGTTGAGAGGCGTCCGCATCATAGCCTTCTGCCGCGTTCGCGCCCAGTGCGAGGCGTTGGTCAGTGCCGTCAAACAGGAGCTGCAATCACTTGGCCGCCCAGAGTGCGCTAACCTGGTCATGGGGTATCGCGGGGGCTATACGGCTCCTGACCGTCGGAGGATCGAAGCCGAAATGTTTGAAGGAAAGCTCCTGGGCATCGTTGCAACGACAGCCCTGGAGTTGGGCATCGACATTGGCACCCTCGACTGCGTCATGACTTGGGGGTTTCCCTACACGATTGCCAATCTGCGCCAGCAAAGCGGCCGGGCGGGACGGCGCAACAAGGATTCTCTCTCGATCCTTGTCGGTGACTGTTTCCCGACCGACCAACACTTCATGCAGAACCCGGACGAGCTGTTCACACGGCCCAATGCGGAGCTCCGGGTCGACCTTGAAAACATGCTGGTCCGAGAAGGCCACATCCAGTGCGCAGCGCACGAGATGCCCATCAGGCCGGAGCAAGATGCCCAGTACTTTGGCCAGGACCTAGCCGAGATATGCGGGGAGAGACTGGTGAGGGGCGAAACGGGGTTTTATCATTGCCATGATCGGTTTCGCCCCAGGCCATCACGATATGTGGCCATCCGAGACACGGAAGACGAGCACTTTGCCATTGTCGACATCACAAACGGAAGAAACGTGGTCCTGGAGGAGTTGGAGGCTTCCAGGGCGACTTTTACAATCTACGATGGTGCCATATTCCTTCATCAAGGAAACACGTACCTCGTCCGAGACTTTCTGCCAGATAGACTGCTGGCCAAGGTGGAGAAGGTTGCGGTGGACTGGACCACGACGCAGCGGGATTTTACCGACATTGATCCAACGGAAACGGAAGCGATCCGCACTCTACCGTCGTCTCTGTCACAGGCATACCACGGCACCATCAGGATCCAGCAGAATGTGTTTGGATACTTCAAGGTGGACAAGAAGGGCCGGGTTTTGGACGCCGTTCAAGTGGACAACCCGCCCGTGATCCGATATAGCAAGGGCATGTGGCTGGACGTGCCGAAGCGAGCGCTCGACATCCTCCAGGAGCGGCAGCTGAACTCTGCAGCGGCCATCCACGCGGCCGAGCACGCAGTCATGAGCTTGCTGCCGACGTTTGTCATCAGCATGCCCGAAGACGTGCGGACCGAGTGCAAGGTGGCGCTCAAGGAGTTTGCCCAAAAGGAGACGCAGAGGAAGCGGCCGGCGAGGTTGACGTTTTACGATGCAAAGGGGGGGGCCAATGGGTCCGGGATCAGCACAAAGGCCTTTGACCACATCGACAGCCTGCTCAGAGTGGCGCTGCAGCGGGTGGAAGCGTGCCACTGCCAGCGAGGATGCACGGGGTGCGTTGCGTCTGAGATGTGCAAACAGTCCAACGAGGTGATGAGTAAGGCCGGCAGTCGGGTGGTGCTGCGAAGCCTCTTGAACCTGGACATCAAGGCCGGGGAATTGCCCATGGGCCCCGAGGACCACAGCCCCGCGGGAATCGAGACGGTTGTGCCAGCGCAGACAGTGCCGGTTGTGAGAAGGCAGGCGGTGCTGCGGAATGGCGAGGCCGAGACCAACAAGACGAAAGACGGGAAGGGAGGATGGTGATTACATGGATCTGCATGGATCTGCAGCGCTCCGGACGTGGTCTCGACAGCACTGTCGCAGGGCGTGCTGGCCAGTGTATCAGGGGCAATCGCGTGCGGTACACTGCGTGGTGGAGTATGTGGAAGAAGCCTGTGTCGAGATTTGAAATGGCTACTTACCTAGTGCTGTCGTAGACGAACCGCTGGGAACACATACTGCAGCACGGAGCACGGGGGCTTCATTTTTGTGCCTCGAACCCTGGGTGTACTCTAACTTGCACACCTCATTATTATACTCCGTACAGGTACGACGACGTTGGGCGCCTTGTCGCACCTCACGGTCCGGACCAACCAACATCTCTCCGAACCCAACACATGCTCTTGCTACGTACTGTACAGTACCGTACTGTACCAAGGGAGCGACAACCCTCGACACATGGGTCCTTGTCTCGGCTCCAAGACGTCGTCCATGCCCAAGGGCTGCTCCGTGCCCAAATACCAGCCCTCCTCGCCAATGACTTCATACCCCTGCAGCAGGGCGACTCTCCTTCCTCCCTGGCTCAGACGTTGCCTTGGGTCTACGCAGGGGGTCGACATCAAGCGCGAGCCTCACCATCACATCGTCCTGGGCCCCGTTCCCGGCCAGACGAGCAAGACTGTCGCCAACACGCCCGAGCCGCGAGGAAAAGTCCAAAGTTTGCATGCTCAACGACGCTCGTCGTTCCCGACAGGCGGCCCATGACTTGCCTCTCGCCCCGTCGGTCACGAAAGCAAGGCGATGAGGAGCAGCCCGCGACCACGGGCGATGGCGTCCACGCGGACGTCAGCGAAGGCAAGCTCGCGGCTCCATGCAACTTCACTCAGTACATGGTGAAGAAGCAACAGGGCGAAAAGTCACAGTCGACTGCCATCAGGCCCGCCGGTGAGAGCGGGCGCCGCGGCATTCACCCATGGCACTTCGTTCGCATCGCCTGTCGCTCCACCAGCAGGGCCAGCGCCCTGTGCAGCCTTCTCTGGCCTGTCGTGCCCACTGCCCTGGCCGTGCGATGTCAGTCCCTGCGCTCTTTGCTCTCCCCTTTTCTCCCAGCCGCCGCAGCGTGCCAGGCTGACTTGTCCTGTCTTGTAGACACTCTGCCGAGCCATCATGTTCTCGTCTTCACCCTCGCATACATTGCTATGGTTCCATGCGCCAACCTCATTGGTTTCGCCGGACAAGAGTTTGCTCGCAAAGTGCCGCATGTGGCCGGGGTTCTCGCTGAAGTGACGTGAGTCTCGCTTGATGGCCTGCTGGTGTACGGGAGGAAGCCTCTTGCTCGAAGCGGCTGACCTTGATAAACTGCTATAGCTGCGGCTCTGTCGTGGAAATCATCCTCTTCACGGTTCTGCTGTCCAAGGATCAGTTCTACGTCATCAAGGCCGCCATTCTCGGCTCCATCCTCGCCACCATGCTACTCTGTTTGGGCTTGTGCTTTTTTGTTGGAGGGCTGCGTCGCGAAGAGCAGACCTTTAGCGAGGCCATCAGCGAGGCGGGCAGCGGCCTGCTACTTACAGCGTACGTTGCCATTGATTGACTCTCGCAATCTTCATCCGGCATTGCCTTGTCTTTGTGCCTTTCCCTCGGCCGGGCACGAGGAATCGGGAGAGCTTCAATATGGAGGTTGAACTGACGTCGTCCCTGGCAGTGGCGTTGCTCTGGCTGTGCCCACGGCTTTTCGACTGAGCCTGGCTTCTGGACCGGGACAAACGGAGCAGCAGCTCAACGCCAGATCACTCAGCATCTCCCGCGTCATATCCATCTTGCTCATCGTATCCTACTGCGTCTACGTCGTGTTCCAGGCCCGAACCCACCATGGCATCTACGCCGCCATTTTCGAGTATGACGAGCGCCGGGACCACGACAGGCACAAGGACGAGGCCAAGGCCAAGCTCACAATGACGGAATGTGTCGCCGCTCTCGTCGTCGCAATAGCCGTCGTTACCCTGATTGCAGTCACCCTCGTTGCCCAGATTGAGCACATCATCGCCAGCTCCAGTGTCTCAGATGCCTTCATGGGCCTGATCCTCGTTCCGTTGGTCGAGAAGTTTGCTGAGCACCTCACCGCCATTGACGAGGCCTGGGATAACCAAATGAACTTTGCCCTCTCACATGTCCTCGGCGCGACGCTGCAGACGGCTTTGTTCAATGCGCCCCTGACCGTCATTATCGGCTGGGGCCTCGACAGGGGCATGGACCTCAGCTTCGATCTCTTCAACCTCGTGATGCTGATCCTAGCCATCCTCACCGTCGGTCGATTCCTTCAGGATCAGAAGAGCAACTATCTCGAAGGATTCCTCCTCGTCATTCTCTACATTGCGATCGCAGTCTCGGCCTACTATACCCCGAATCCGCCTGCACATGAGTCTGGGGCTGAGGAACCCCCACGAGGGGCAGGCGAGAGCTCGTCATGAGGCTTTGATCAAGGCGGAGGGCTTCGTGTCGGATTAGAACAATGAAACTTTGCGGTCAAATGGCCAAGGCAAGTGAGGAACGACGACGAGTGCGTCAAGTCTTGATATGACTCTTCCTATCCTGTTCACTACACATAGTAGCCCATAGATAGCTCCAGATCAAACTCGTTGTGGATACTGTCTCTTCAGATACTCCGGCTCCTCCCTGCACCGACGAATATACTACCAATTGCGTCTCTCTCCCAACAAAGCCTCAGAAAACGACAAGATGGTCGTCTGTCCAGCCCATGGTGGAGAGAATGTCACGCATGCTCCTCTCCAACTTCTCGGGCCCGCACAGGAGGACCATGTCGCCCCCTTCGGTGTCGCGAGGCCCAATCTCGGCCTCAACCATGGCCCTGTCGATGCGGCCCCTGCGCCCTGTCCAAGTCGGGCATGGCCGCGTCAGAGTATGCCGCAGCCGCCGGCTGTGCCTGGACCGACCCATCATGTCCTCCAGCTGCGCGCGGCAGAGAATGTCTTCCTCGATGCGGTTCCCGTCCAGCAGGGTACACTCGGTTGCATCATGCTGGTCCGCGGACAAGGCTCGCAGCACCTGGAAGATGGGTGTGATGCCGGAGCCGGCGCAGATCATGTAGAAGCGCCGCACCTTGCGTTGCCTCCCCGACACGGAGCAGAGGCCCTTGCCGAGGTACTGGAATTTACCCAGAGGGCCCCTGAAGTCGACAAAGTGGCCCACGAGGATGGCGTCCAACGCTTGCGTCATCTTGCCCCCTTGGCGCTCGGAAGTGTTGTAGTAAATCTTGACAAGCACGTCCAGGACGCCCTGATCCGCGCCGTCGGATATCGGCGTGTAGGCGCGGATGATGTCCTCCCGTGAGGCCGGGTCGCGGAGACGCATTAGGAGGTGCTGGCCGACCGGCAAGCCAACCACCTGACGCTTATGGTCGAGCCTGAAGCGAAATAGCTTTGTGTCTGCCGAGACATTGACCTTTTCCTGTAGTACCGCCTTGGTCCATGCGCCGGGATCCAGGAAGACAGGACGACTGGGGTCGCTCTCCTCGACCTTGTCCGACAGTGCAGCAAGTGCTGCCTCGTCGAGTCTCCCTATGTGGTGTTCCGGCATCATGGCCCTTGCGTTTTCGCTATCTGGAAATGGAAGTCAGCTCTGAAGGTCTTTTGACAACGGGCCCAGTGCACACGCTGCGGAAATGGAGAAGAACGTACGGATGGCCATGAACTCCTCCGTTGCGTCTTGGCCAGCCGCGCCGGCTATCGAGGCGGCGCCGCCGGGATGCCGGTCCAGAAACGGCGCGCCGTCGTACACGTTGCCGTCGACGACGAACCAAGGGCGTGTCTCGTCTCCGTGGTCCTTGAGCTCATCCAAGGTGATGAGCCGGTCGATTTGAAGGCTGGTCATTTGTATCCTTGTCTCCGCCAATTGCTGCACCGCTTTCTCCCCCCGGCCGCCCGCCATCCTTTCTCCCCAGGAGCCATTGGCGAGGTTGCCACCGGACTTCTTCACCCTTTCCATCCAGCCACCTGGCATCAGGCCGGGCTGGGTGGGATGCTCAAATCTCAGAGTGGTTCCCTCCTTGTGGATCACGACTCTGAACCAGGGGTTGTTCATCATCCCCAGTACACTCCAGTACATGTCCCGAGGCTGTACCATGAGCCCGTCGTCCATGGCCCGGACCATAATGTCACCCGCAGCCTCCAGCTGGGCCACGGCGATGTCGACTTCCCAGAAGCACCAGCAGAAAGACGTGTCTCTCCACCAAGCGTCCACTTTGCCACCGCAAAGCGTCTCGGTCTCAGGTACAGCTCGGTATCTGTCTTCTGGATAGTCCATGTTCGACAGCCTCCACGTCTTGCCTCTGTCGAGGGTGAGCTCCATTCTGGTGATGCGTCTGCCGCCACCGCCGTACGCGTAGCCTCGTATCTTGTACATGCTCGCCCCGTCCACCAAGGATATTCTTTCGTCATGTGCCGGATAGCAGACGGCGCTGTTGGCGTTGAGGTCGTAGATTGCATATCTTTCGTCCCTCCAGGTCTCGGGCAAGTCTGCGCTGGCCTCTGGAGTCACGGTGGTTGGGAGCACTCGGTTGTTGTAGATGTGATAGCAGTTGTCGCTGGGATCGGCCGTCACAACGATCCTCTTCATCCACTTTACGCTGCGTCCGCCAATCTGCCCAGGAACGACGGCGCGGAGGGGCTTCCCGTGGTCTGGGTGGAGGGCGCGCCCGTTCATCTTGTGGGCCACCAAGATACCCTTTTGCACATCCATGCACCAGCTGAGCTTGACGGAAGTGCCGTAGTGGCCGTTGGAGAGTTTGTCTGCGCCTTCCAAGCACACATACTTGGCGCCCCTCAGGGGTTTGGCCCGAGCGAGCAGGTCCCTGATGGGCGTGCCAGTCCACAGAGCCGTCGAGAGGCCGGCAGGGCCCCAGGAAAAGCCTTTGGATTTGCGAATCACGTTTTGCTCTTTCCGCCTATTGCCCGCACACACGAGAGTGACTGGATCGGTTACTTGATCGTAGGTGGCAATGAGGTCCCTCAGGCTGAGGGCGAAGGGATGAGCGACCATGCCTTCTACGGAAAACGTCCAATCGCAGACATGACGGTCCTGGCATTGGGGAACATGGCCGTGGTTCCTCACGTAGTGGAGGTTTTCGCTCGTCAGGAACCCCTCGTCGAAAAGGTCGCTTAACGGAGCCTCGGCGTTCAAGGGATGAAGGCCGGTGAGGCGGATGAGGCGTGCATCTCGCGTCACATGGCTGTCTGGCGTCTCGAGGTCTGCAGCCAGCACCGACTTGGGACGAACGCGGGGCGGCAGGGGATAGATGGGAGGCAGCTGGGATGGATCGTCGAGGATTGGAGGTGAAGGTAAAGGACCCTGCGTACTCCCGTCGTCGCCACTGCCACTGTGACATGGCTTGACCGTTCGGGGGGGGCTGGGGGGGAAAAGGGTATTAAACATCCGAACGCCGCTATCTTCGAGACAAAGGGGCGATTGTACTGGCAAGGGCCGGGACGTCGTCGAGAGTCGGTCCATGGCGAGAGACAAGACATCTGCCAACGACGGGGGCAAGGCTAAATGAATCTTTATATCCTGACAAAGAGGGGCTGTGGACGACACCGATGGCTCCGGCGCCGGCGGGCCCTCTGAAGCCGCCTAGAAAATTCCCGCATGGTCACGTAAAGAGTCGAGACGGACAAGTTCCAACGAGGTTTGCGAAGGAGCGAAGACTCATTAGTGTGGCGGGTTAGGCGAGCCGATAAAGACTGCCCGTATCAGGTATCAGCGGAGATGCGCCGCACGTCGACGTCGACGCTGACGCCGCCATAGCCACCACCTCTTGACCAGCCGGCTCAATCGGGAGCTTGCAAGCGTCCGCTCGGGTGCGCGGGCGCGCGCTCGAGCGACATGCCTTTTGCAAGTCGCGGTCGCTCGAGAAGACAAAGGCTCTGGAGAAAGTGGCGGCAGGGGACTGGTCTGCCGGTAACCGACTCCGTACAGGAAGCTTGGCTGTCTCGCCTGCCCGGAGTCGCTGTGGCTTCCCCGGACGGGACGACGAGACACACATGTCGTCGACGGAGCGTCGCAAAGAAAACATGGCCTGATGGTAGGTCGCACTGCCGGGCGTCAGTTATCCGAGCCTCATTGGCCTACAATCTTTGACCAGTAGAGTCGATCACATGGAGGGGGCGCAAGGCGTCGAGTCCGATTGGGGGGTCCGAGAGTCGTGGGAGAGAGGGAGATAAGCCGTGGGAGAAAAGGAGATAAGTCGTGGGAGGAAAGGATAATAAGAGGACGAGGGGAGGTTTGGAAATATCCTTGGACAAAGCACGTGCTGGTCCCGCGGGGCCAGTTAGTAACCGCAAGGGAGCTCGCGCCTACGTCATTAGAGAATGGCTCGGGTTTTCGGCAGTTCGGCACCGAGTTGTACATGCTTTGTCTTACTTCCATGGTACCTCAGGTACGTACCTACTGCACAGTACGTAGGTACCTTAGTAATCACAGTCGGGATTCGTGGGCCTGTACCGGCCGACCGGATCCACAGCCAAGAATGGCAGAGTTGAAACCAAGGAATGAAAGGAGGCCTGGGGGTTTTTTTTATTTTTTATTCTTCGCAAATGCCAACTGCATCTGGCGCACGAATGCTCCGTAGTAGGATGTACGTACCTTGCTACCAATAACCAACTTATAATTGGAAGATATAAAACGTATAATAGATGCTAGGTTCCCTCTTAGAATAATGACTACCTACCTACCTAGGTGTTCCGCTACACTTGTATAGGAGGATAGTACCAAGGTATCGTAGAGAGAATTGAATTGACTCCTCTTCGTTTGCCCCCCGGCCCTCCCATCTTTTGCCGCTACCTACCTTACCCACCTTACCTACCTAATTACCTACCTTACCTTTTTAACATGTACCTAGTACCTTGGTCACGCATCTTTTCGCTGTCAAAGAAGCGCCTGATTAATCATTACTGCCCTGGTATCTAGGTACCTACCGTGCTGAATCTGAGGACCTGTACAGAGAGGTACCTTAGGCGGTGGGGGCGGCCAATCCATCCTCGCAGAGCGACGACTCCCCAAGCTGCACCACCTCTTGGCAGCCCTTACGGTTCAAGCACTCAACACCTGTGGCCTCTCGCTACCCCAGCAAGCAACTTACCACCTAACTTATCTTATGCTCACTCGCATCGCGTTGCCAAAGGATCGCTCGTCAGGGCGATACACGACGTTTCGTGGCCGCGTCCGTGTGTGTCTCCCATCTTTGCCCATCGCGAACCCGTCCCCATTGCGCTGCCATGGACCGCGCCAGAAAACGTAAGCTGTGCACCTCCGTCTCTGCTCTTTTCTCTCGCTGACTGCTCTGCAGAAGAGCTGCGCTCACTCAACGAGAGGGCTTGGTCCGGCGACAACGGTTGGCACCCCCTTTCTCTTCCCAGCGAGAAAGCACGCGCATATACAAGCATGAGGACAAGGGAAATGAAGCGCACTCGGGATGCTAAAATTTTGACGTCTAGGTCTATCTCCCGTCGGCGGCGCACTCGACTCGTCCCTCAAGAAGAACACGGCTTTCATCAAACGACTGCGAACGGCAGTCACCTCCGCAACCCTCGGTACCTTTCTGCAAGACATCCGCACCTTGAGCTTGCATAAATACCTCTCAGAAATTGTCTCCGCCTGCTACGAGGGTCTCTGCAAACTCAAGTCGCCAGGGGAGATTGAGGCTGGCGTCGAGATCGTAAGCGCCCTCCACCAACGCTTCGGTCCGGCTGAGTTCACCGAATATCTCGCCTGGCTACTCGGCAAGGGAATGGCCACGCCCGACAAAAGCTTTCTCAAGACTCTGGCCCCAGAAGCCCGCGAAAAGGAAGAAAAGGAGCGAATCACCCGTCAGAGATCTCTTTTGCGCGTCATTACCGAACTCTGGCTGGTTGGCGTCCTCCGAACTCTGGATGACGCGACCAAGCCCGACGATGCGACAAAGGGCGCTACCAGCAAGACCGCCGAACTCAAAGCACGCGGAAGTTCCAACAAGGGTAGCAACACCGAACCGTTCCCTCTCGAGGTTCTCAAGGATCTGCTGGGGCATGACCGGGAGCATGCCAATCTGCCCTTGCTAGTCGTGTTCGTCAAAGCTTTCAGCTGGGATATTCTTGGTGTCAAAACGGCAGGGTCCGAGGGGCGAAAGACGATTGAAGAGGATGGCGTCGCCAATGCAACGACTGGAGTACCTCCAGAAGCCGAGGATGCCCTCGAGTCATCTATATCAGAACACCCCTTCACGCCACAAGATGTAGCCGAGCGCTTCCGAAGCGTGCTGCAACGATACTTTGATGACGTGACGGCACATTTGATCCGAGACCAAAAGTCTATTCAGTCCCAGGCTCGCAGGAACGCCGAAGCCTACGTCAAATCTGGCGAGGTTTTTGAGGACCGCCAAGCAAACTACGAGAGACTGGTCAAGGCCCAGGATAGGATGGTCTCCAACGCTCAAGTCATTGCCGATGTCATCGGTGCCGACATGCCAGAATTGAAGGATTCCGATGACCCGCTGGCGACATCGAGCGGTTCGATTGGTCTTGTAAAGACGAGCGACTACTTGCGATCGATGGGCGAAGGCCCAGGAATCTGGGCAGACGAGGACGAGCGACGTTTCTACGAGAACCTGGTGGACCTGAAAGGCAAGGTCCCCCCGATTCTCCTCGAAGATGGGCGGAAGAAGAAGACGGATGCGGATGAGCAGGTCGGGAAAAGGGTCGAAGCCCCTGAGACCGCAGAAAACAACAAGGCAACTGAAGCCGCAGATGAACAGTCCATGGCTATTGCAAATAAGACAATCGGGGCTCAGGTTGATGCATTGCTGGCGCGTCTACCCGAGCTCTCCAACAAAGAAGTCATTGACCAAACCGCCGTCGACTTTTGCTTTCTCAACTCCAAAGCTTCCCGCAATCGCCTGGTCAAGGCCTTGACCGAGGTCCCCAAGGGCCGAAGCGACTTGCTCCCTTCATGGTCACGACTCGTTGCCACACTTGGTCGATACATGCCCGACGTCCCCAAGGGGCTCGTGGACTATCTCGATGCCGAATTCCGTAGCTTGCAGCGGCGCAAGGAAAAGGACTTCCTTGGCCAAGTACGGCTCAGCAACATTCGATATCTTGCAGAGCTGACCAAGTTTGGCGTTGTCCCGGAGCACGTCGTGTTCCACTGCCTCAAAGTCAGTCTCGACGAATTTTCCCGGATGAACATTGAGATCCTCTGCAACTTGATCGAGAACTGCGGTCGATACTTGCTCAAGAACCCAGACACCGCTCCGCGCATGGCCAGCTTCTTGGAGACTCTTCAGCGGAAAAAATCGGTGCAGCACATCGGCCAGCCCGAAAGGATGCTCATCGACAACGCTGTCTACTACGTGGACCCGCCCGAGAGACCCGCAATCGAGCAAAAGGAGCGCACGCCAATGGAACTCTTTATTCGAAAACTGGTCTACGGTGACCTGACCAAAAGGAACTACAGCAAGATTTTGAAGCAGATTCGAAGGTTTCATTGGGAGGAAACAGACGTGAGAATCTTGGCCCCTGATCCGCACTGGATGTTGAACTCGTCACTGACGCCGGCTTCCAGGTCGTTGCTATCTTGGAAAAAGTCTTTTCCAAGCCAGGGAAAGTCAAGTACGGAAACATTCATCTTCTGGGGATTCTTTTGAGCGCCCTGCACCGCCATCACCCGGACTTTGTCGTCAAGGTCATCGACAGCGTCATCGAGTCTGTGAGCTTTGGCCTGGAGCAGAATGATTTCCGCTTCTTCCAACGTCGCATCGCAGAAGTGAAATACCTGGGAGAGCTTTACAATTACCGGATGCTAGAGCATCCCGTGATATTCGACACAATGTACAAGATTATGACATTTGGATACGGTGAGTCGGCAGAGCGTAGCAAGCGTAGGTGCCCCCAGTTGACCCAGTTGACACCTTACAGGTGGTCCGCCTGTCCCTGGGCGGTTAAACCCTTTCGACCCGCCGGACGACTTCTTCCGAATTCGTCTCATCGCCACGATCCTGGAGACGTGTGGGATGTTCTTCAACCGAGGAGCTGCAGGAAAGAAGCTGGACTCTTTTCTGTCATTTTTTCAGGTGCGTCTAACCTTGAGCGCCTTGCACGAACTTCAAATCTAACTGCGGTGTTCTCAGTACTATGTCCATACCAAGGCGTCTCTTCCAATGGAAATGGAATTCGTCGTGCAAGACATCCTCGCGGTTACTCGACCGCAGTGGAAGCTCGCTGCCAGCTTAGAGGAGGCGACGAAAGCTTTCCAGCTCGCTATTGCCCAGGACCAAAAAACAGCCGGGGCCGACAAAGCCATTGAGCCAGACGAGGCGACGAGCGGTATGTCATCCGACGACGAAAATGGAGACGTGGACGACGTCGAACCGTACGGTGATGGCGAAGACGAAAGCGTCTCGGACGAAGACGAAGTCGAGGTGGGCAACTTGTGCTTCATATCCCAGCACATCAGCCGGCTGACCCCTGGACAGCAAGAAGATGAAGACGATTCTGCGCACGAGAGTGATTTCAACGAAGAAGCAATCATCGTCACTCGACAAGAGGAGGCGATTGATCCTCAGGACGAGGCGGAGTTTGAGCGGGAGTACGCCAGGATGATGGCCGAGAGCCTCGAGTCCCGCAAGTTCGAACGCAAGCAGCTATTTGACGTGCCACTACCCGTGCGGCCCAAGAATCGCGATCTAGCCACGTCGACGTCGCAGGGCGAGGAGGGTGCTCCCCCGGGCAACACCATGGCCTTTTCGCTTTTGACAAAGAGGGGCAATCGTCAGCAGGTTAGGCAGCTGCACACCGGTAGCAAAAGGGAAACTCATGTGCTGACACGGAAGCAGACACGAACGGTGGAGCTGCCGTCAGACTCAACATTTGCGATTGCCATGAAATCCCAACAACAGGCAGAGAAGGAAGAACAGCAGCGCATCAAGAATCTTGTCCTTAACTATGATCTGCAACAAAGCGAAGACCAAGAAGGCAAGCCCAAAGCCACCGTCGCCGGCGGCGGAAAGTTGAACTAACGTGGTCCTCATCCAGGCAATGATCGACTGCCGACGTTCCATCAGAACCGGACCGAGAAACCGAGTAAGGATCGGGGACAAAGAGTCCGGAAGCTGCAGCTAAGCGACGTCGATTGGTGAGGAGTGTGTCCGGATCAAGCACAAGAGCAAAGCCGAGCCGCCGCCATGCAGGGGACGAGCAAAGCCGACGAATTCGGTCCAAGGCCGCCTCAAGGACCGATATGCGAACCGCGCAGGCGTAACTTCTGTCGCCTGTGCGTTCCACGACGCCTTCCTGCTTCAGTCAGGTTTGCTTGTGACTGGTCGTCTGCGATAGATGATGCGGCGAGCGAAGACGAAAAAAGCCAGACGATCCAAGGGCCTGCAGGCACCTAGCTATGGCATCTTCTGCGCCTGACGGGATCTACTTCCTGGTCTCTGGGGTCGGCAGTGCACCGCAATCACGAGCGGTGGATTCATTGCCAGTGAGGGGGAGACCGAGTCTGGATTCTTGTGGACATGCTTGCCGATTGGGTAGGGATGCATCTTACCGAGGCCGTGGAGGCAGCTTGGATCTGTGCGATGGATGACCTGGCATGAACAAGGAAGCGGGGATAAAGGATTGGTGGCTGGCTGTAGGTATGGTACGGTAGTCGGCTGCCAACGTCGCAGAGGTTACTTACTGGTCGGGACGAGGCGACGCCCAATTGGCTTCGTGTGCGTGGCAACCAACAGGTGTGCAAACGGTTATCGGGCCTTGCGACTGGGAGGCAGAGGCGGAGGCAGAGGCAGAGGCGGAGGCAGAGGCAGAGGCGGAGGCGGACACGGTGAGCTCCCTGTGTCCTGCAGCCGGTGGATTGCTGCCTTGTGCCAGGTCTGTCTTCTATTCTTATCACCCAGGCGGATGGCTGGAGGCAGGCAGGTGTGCAAGGTACAGTACGGAGTGGTAGGTGGCGAGGGGTCGGGTACCTGCTGCCGGCTGGTGCACGTGGTGACTCTGGATATGCGAGGGTGAGACAAAGAAGGCCTGAAGTCGATGAAATTTCAACACCGACCTCGATTCCTTCGCTCTCCCGCCTCGCCTTTCTCCCCCTCCTCCGCCTCGGCTTCGCTGTCAAGCTGCCTTGGGCATTCGTATTTCTCGCGCGACCTTACCATCGTCTAGAGAGCGCCGCAGGTCTCGGATAACGTACATCTAGAGCTAGGACCAAGCTTGGACCTCGATTTGGCCCATGGCAGGCGACAGCAGATTGAAACGCCATCTCACCAAATAGGCCGGCCGGAGTGCCTCGGCACAGCGAATCCAAGAGCGGGCTTCTGGAATTGTCGATACACCGCTCCAGTCCCTGTTCGTGAGCGAACCCTTGGCGCACCATGGCCATCACCAATGAGTGGCCGGTCAGAGACGTATGTGACAGCCCGAAGCTTCCTTTCTTACTGTTTAACTGATCGTGCCATAGATTGTCTACTCCTCCATCGTCGGGGTGGTCATGTTGATGGCCTGTCTCGAGTGGTTTCTCTGGGTCGCGGCCTTCATGTACTGCTTGTTCAAGGTTTTTCGCAAAGCTGAGCACTGGTCCATTCGCATCCTCTGCATCCTGGTCGGTATTGCCTTTGCTTTGCTTCGGTATGCCCCTCCCCTCTGGCCAAGGCGGCAGTTTCGAGGCTGACGGAGAGCCCCTCAGCTTCATATTCTTACCCATCATGGTGGTGACACTGCCTCTTCCGAGTCAAATCTCCAGGTATTGGCCCAAGGCCGTCGTGTCTTTCCTGCAATGGTTTGCTTTCTGGAGCTTTGCCATTCTGCTCACGGTTCCCTGGCTGTTCTGCGTCTATCAGCTTGTCACCAACCAACTCGGCCGTACTACGCGAATCAAGCGGGTCCTCGACGACGTGACGGCTCCCAAGGTGGTCATCGTCATGCCCTGCTACCGAGAAGAGCTCGACGTGCTCATCAAAGCCGTCAACTCGGTCGTTGACTGCGACTATCCGCCGGCCTGCATCCATGTCTTCCTCTCCTTTGACGGCGAGCAAGTGGATGAGCTGTATCTCAACACCATCCAAAAGCTCGGCGTGCCCCTGATCACGGGCACGTATCCCCGGAGCATCGACGTAACCTACAAGGCAGCCCGCATCACGATATCGCGTTTTCCACACGGCGGCAAACGACACTGCCAAAAGTCGACTTTCAAGCTCATCGACAGCGTCTATGCCAGGTATCTCAAGAGGAACGACAATCTCTTTATTCTCTTCATCGACTCGGACTGCATCCTGGACAAGGTCTGCTTGCAGAACTTTGTTTACGACATGGAGCTTAGCCCAGGAAACTCGAGAGACATGCTGGCCATGACTGGCGTCATTACGTCGACAACCCGCAAGCACAGCATCATCACCCTGCTCCAGGACATGGAATATATCCACGGCCAGCTGTTCGAGCGCACGGTCGAGTCGGGCTGCGGCTCGGTGACATGTCTGCCGGGGGCGCTCACCATGCTCCGCTTCTCAGCCTTTAGGAGAATGGCCAAGTATTACTTTGCGGACAAGGCGGAGCAGTGCGACGACCTCTTTGACTTTGCCAAATGCCACCTGGGGGAGGATCGATGGCTCACGCACCTCTTCATGATTGGCGCCAAGAAGCGTCATCAGATCCAGATGTGCACGTCGGCCTTTTGCAAGACTGAGGCCGTGCAGACCTATCGGTCCCTGGTTAAGCAGCGGCGTCGATGGTTCCTGGGCTTCATCACCAACGAGGTGTGCATGCTGACAGACTGGCGGCTGTGGAAACGGTACCCGACGTTGATTGTGGTGCGCTTCATGCAGAACACGATACGCACCACGGCCTTGCTATTCTTCGTCATGGTCCTGGCGCTTCTGACAACAGTGGTTAAGGTGGACAACCTGCCCGTCGGGTTCATCGCCGTCTCCTTGGGTCTCAACTGGCTCCTGATGCTCTACTTTGGCGCCAAGCTGCGGCGGTTCAAGATTTGGCTGTACCCACTTATGTTCGTCTTGAACCCATTCTTCAATTGGTACTACATGGTATACGGAATCTTCACTGCAGGGCAAAGGACGTGGGGCGGGCCTCGGGCCGACGCGGCGGCGGCGGACAGCAACACAACGGCGCGAGAGGCAGCGGAGCAGGCCGAAATGCAGGGCGACGAGCTCAACGTGGTGCCAGAGTCATTCAAGCCAGCTCAAGAGGCGCGAAGAGCCGCCAGCAAATCGCAGTCGCAGGCGGCCATGCTTGGCCGCACTAGGAGCGTGGTGAGGCCCCCGGACAAGATTGACGGCAAATTCTCAGCTCGGCAGCGGACGGCAACGGGCACCTACGCGCACCCGGACGAGGCTGAGGCCGGCTCTTCGCTCATGGGCAGGGTGGTGCCGTCTCAGCGGCCGTATTACGGGGCCGGCGACTGGCGCGACTCGCTCGACAGCATCGACTCGAGCCGGACAGATGAGAAGGCGCCGTACGCCGGGGTCCAGGTCGACAGATTCATGGGAGAGGAGGACCGTCGCAAGTATCTGATTGCACAGCAAGCCCAGCTACAGCGTCCCCAGAGGTGAGCGAGGTTGGCGCAGGCGCCGACCTGGACTGGGCAGGGTTAGACTGGGTGCAACCGAGGGGGCCGTTGCAAGGGCAGAGGATGTAAGTAAGCACAAAGATGGATGAGAGACGATATGCAATCTGCGCCATTGACTTGGTCAAGGTTGGGAGCCAAGATGGCCGCGGGCGGCGTTTTTGATTGGACCATCTGGCAGGACACACGTGTACAGCCAGCCAACTATGCGTGGAGAATCGGCCATGTGTAAAGTTGTGTATGCGAATGGGAAACGAGACCAAGTCGAGGCTGTCATGAGGGTCGTGGACGGGGCCAGCTGGCGCCGATGCTGTTGTACAGTACAAAGGGTGGTAAAGAAGTCGACTGGCAGCATCTGGAAAATTCTGCGACCTTCTATGCGGAACATGATGAGGGGTGAGGAGTACCTCGACGCCCCATGGCGGGGCACGCTTCAACAAGTACATGTCCACCGGGCGCCGGCGCTATCTATACCGGTTTTTTCCCAGCGCCCCGCGCCACCTGCAGGTACCCCTCACGACGCAGGGGGTACCGGGTATTTGAGCCGGCTCAACCGCGAGCAGCCTTTTTAGTACTGTATACATATTTCCTCGTGGGTATTGAGCGTGAGGTGCGAGTACCAGAAACCTTTGCCAGAAGCCATGTGCACAACAAGCACACCGCCCACGCACGGCAACAGAAAAAAAGCAGGTTCCATCTTTTTTAGCTCATTAGCCCAACCTGATATTGCCCGTTGATTCCACCGCATCGCTCCCCTTCCGAGCCAGCTTCCGCAACCTCGTCCTCTTTGCCGTCTCGTCCGGAAAAAACCTGGCTTTCAACCGCTTTCGAGCTTTCATCCACCGCGGCTTGGGTCTGTCGATTCCTGCGCTTGCCTCTTCGCCGCTCTTTCTCAACTGGGTTGTTGCCGCGGACAAGCAAGTCGAAAGAACAAATCAGAAAGACAAAAATTGAGACAAGAGAGAGAAAGAGCGCGTGTGTTGTGAGAAAGAAGCGTGAAAGAGCGTGAGAGTGAGGCAGAAGCTACACACATACAGAGGGGACTTTTGCAAAATCAGGAACAATGAGCGTCGTCGGTAAGTCGTTGCCTCCTCTCCAAGCAGATATGCTGGTGCTGACAACTTCCCTTCCCCGGCATCGCAGGTGTCGATTTCGGAACCCTCAAGACAGTGGTCGCTGTCGCGAGAAATCGTGGCGTCGACGTGGTGAGTAGTCGCTATACCAAGCCAACTTGACCCATGTCCGCCCGTGGCTAACGATGATGATGCCGCAACAGATCACCAACGAGGTCTCCAACAGAGCTACCCCGTATGTGGCCTTACCCCCCCTCCCCAGTTTCTATCGGGCCAACGGAACTCGACTAACACGGCATGCTTGCCACAACAGGTCCCTGGTAGGCTTCGGGCCCAAATCGCGTTACCTCGGCGAGGCCGCCAAGACACAGGAGATTTCCAACCTCAAGAACACTGTCGGCTGCCTCAAGCGCCTCGCCGGCCGCTCCTTCAACGATCCCGATGTCCAGGTTGAGCAGCAGTACATGACGGCGCCGCTCGTCGACATCAATGGCCAGGTCGGCGCCGAGGTCTCCTACCTCGGCAACAAGGAAAGGTTCACGGCGACCCAGCTTGTGGCCATGTATTTGAGCAAGATCAAGCAGACCGCTGCCAACGAGCTAAAGCTACCCGTGTCTGACCTCTGCATGAGCGTCCCCGCCTGGTTCACCGATGTCCAGCGTCGAGCCCTTCTCGACGCCGCCGAGATTGCCGGCCTGAAGCTGCTGCGCCTCATGAACGACACCACCGCCGCCGCCCTCGGCTGGGGCATCACCAAGCTCGATCTTCCCGGTCCCGAGGAGCGCCCCCGCCGCGTTTGCTTCGTTGACGTTGGCCACAGCAACTACACGTGCTCTGTCGTTGAATTCAAAAAGGGCGAGCTTGCCGTCAAGGCAACCGCCTGGGACCGCCACTTTGGCGGCCGAGACTTCGACAAGGCCCTTGTCGACCACTTGGCTAAGGAGTTCAAGGGCAAGTACCAGGTGGATATTTACACCCACGGGCGTGCCATGGCTCGCACCATCGCCGCCGCCGAGAGGACCAAAAAGATCCTTTCAGCCAACCAACAGGCGCCCGTCAACATCGAGTCCCTCATGAACGACGTCGACGCCTCCGCCATGGTCACCAGGCAAGAGTTTGAGGCCATGATTGAGCCCCTGCTGAAGCGCGTTCACATGCCCCTGGAGCAAGCCCTGGCCCAGGCGGAGCTTTCCAAGGAAGACATCGACGTCGTCGAGATTGTCGGCGCCGGCTCCCGCGTACCCGCGCTCAAGGATCGCATCCAAGCTTTTTTTGAAAAGCCACTTTCCTTCACCATGAACGCAGATGAGGCTATTGCCCGCGGCTGCGCCTTTAGTTGCGCAATCCTCTCTCCCGCCTTCCGAGTTCGCGATTTCTCTGTTCAGGATATCATCAGCTACCCCATCGAATTTGCCTGGGAGAAGGCTCCCGACATCCCAGACGAGGACACCAGCCTGACCGTTTTCAACAAGGGCAACGTGCTGCCCTCGACCAAGATCCTGACCTTCTACCGCAAGCAGCCCTACGACCTCGAGGCACGCTTCGCACACCCCGAAGAGTTGCCAGGGAAAATGAACCCCTGGATCGGACGCTTCTCCGTCAAAGGCGTCAAGGTGGAGGGCGAAGATGACTTCATGATATGCAAGCTCAAGGCCCGCGTCAACATTCATGGCGTCTTGAATGTCGAAAGCGGCTACTACGTCGAAGATCAGGAAGTTGACGAAGAGATTAAAGATGAAGAGCCAAAGGGGGATGGCGAGAAGAAAGACGTCGATGTGAGTTTTGTCCTATTCAAGCCTATGCTTGGGACCCCAGACAACAAAGCTCGTACCTCTCCCCCATTTGCGAGCAGCGTTGGCCGCCCCATCTCACTGCGTCGTCTTCGTGCCCGCATGCGCTAACCTCACTTTTCTTTAGGCAATGGAATCCGATAGCAAGGAGGCGCCTGCCAAGAAGACTCGTAGAGTAAAGAAGCAGGTCCGCAAGGGCGATCTTCCCATTTCCAGCGGAACGTCCTCGCTGGATGCCACCGCCAAGTCTGCTCTCATGGAGAAGGAATCCGGCATGGTCATGGAGGACAAGCTCGTGGCCGATACCGAGGAGAAGAAGAATGAGCTCGAGACATACATCTACGACCTCCGCGCCAAACTTGACGACCAATACGCCGAGTTTGCCAGCGAGGAGGAGAAGTCGACTATCAAGCAGAAACTGGAAGCCGCCGAGGTAAGTGCCCCGACGAGTATCACCCCTAGCGTCTATGCACCGTGCTTACGCCTATGTTCTTTCCTAGGACTGGCTATATGACGAGGGCGATGATGCGTCCAAGGGCGTCTATGTTGCCAAGCTAGAGGAACTTCGCGGCATGGCTGGACCCATTGTGCAGCGTCATTTTGAGAAAGTCGAGGCAGAGCGACGTGCTGTGCAGGAGCGTGTCGATGCCGAGCAGGCCGCCAAAAGAGCCGCTGAGGAAGAGGCTCGCAAGGCTGCTGAGGCCGAGAAGGCGGCCCAGCAGGGAGGAAGCGACCAAGAAATGAAGGATGCCGATGCGCCGCAAGCGGACTCGGAGGAAGCCAACGACCCCAAATAGAATGAGCAAGCTGATTTTTTCTTTATCTCCGTTTACAGACTGGTGGAGGAGGGATGGAGAGGCAGACGAAAATGCGGGAGCCGCATAGAACGGGGCCGGCCATCGGGGGACCGCTGACACTCGGCCAACCCCCCGTTGCGGCCATGGCCTCGGAAAGGAACTTGAGGGACTAAGTTATGATGGGAACGCGTCCATGTTTAGACAAAACCTAAATACATGACTACCTTGGTCACTCGCTCCGTCGGCCTGTGGACCTTCGGACCCTCTGTGTACCATATGCGCATCCCCGCATGGCCCTGGTACCTGTGCAAGCGACTGCAGACTCGGGGAGTGTTCAAGGCTTCAGTGCCCCGCCAGGCCAGATCTGCATGGCCCCATCCAGCAAGCAACGCGCGATAGATAGGCACAAGCCCCTCCAAGCAGCTCCCTGGGCGTTGCAAATCCGAGTCCTCGACATTTGGACCTCGCCGCGCAATTTTTGGCCCTTGTTCGGTGCATGCTTCATCTTCTTGATGCCTCGTCGTCAAGCACGAAAGGCACATCGCGTGTTTACCAAGTTTCCATCTGTGGCAGCATATAACTTATGACATCATTCCGAGTGGCGTGCGGAAAACAAGAGCCATGGTCCCGTCACTCCCGCCTCATTCACTCCCCTGGCACGACACGCGGTAACTACCAATCGCGTCCCTCTCTGAACTCGTGCCCCTGCATCCCCCCTGGAGCCGACACCCAGGTACCATGCTTCTAGTTGATGTCGAAAAGGGGCTTCAGCTTGATGAGCAGCTGCCACTCATCGTTGGATACTTCTTTGCGGTAAAACTCCTTGAGACAGTCAATGCTTGCCCGGGAAACAAGACTGTAAAGCGAGTCCTCCTCTTCCAGCTGCCGGCCGTACATTGGCTGATGGCCACCCATCTCGATCTTGACAGCGACCGAGGGCTGGCCTTTCTTGCACACTGGAATCTGCTTGTGCTCTCGCTCAATCGACGTCCTGCAGCCACGGCGTTGATTAGCGATGCTACCCGGCGGGGCGCGCTCATGAAAGGGGGAGGGGGTCGCCCAAATTGCCAAGTTACTTACACTCTGCCCAGGCTGATGATCTCCTTTGCATTGGTGATCGGGTTGGACTTGACGGCCGCAATTGGCGTGTTGATCTTCAGCTGTCCCTCCACGACATCCACGCCAACAACAATAGGGCTGGTCTTGTTGAAGACGGCGATGGGCTTCAAAACGCAAGGGAAGACGGCGAGCATCTTGGACTCCTCCTTCTTCTTCTCCAGCATCTCGTCCATGTGCTTGGTGAAGGAATCAAAGAGGTGGTAGATGATGTCGGCGGTGAAGATCTTGATTCCCTGGTCCTCGGCGTATGCATGGGCTTCCTTGTCGACTTTGACATCGAAGCAAAGCATGACAGCATAGTCGGGTGCCTTTTCCAGCATGATGCCGCACTGCATAATGTCCCTCTTGTAGACGGGACCGATGCCGACGTTGGCCACAGGGATCTTGCAGTCCTTCAAGAAGTCTAGTAGGGCCTCGAGGGATCCTAGAGTCGATGCCTGGACGCTGACGCCGCGACCCGACTTCTCCACTCTGCTGAGCAAGTTGGTGAGGTCGGACTCGACTTCGTCCTCAATGTCCTCTTCGTCGTCATCGGGCCCGACAACCATCAGCCTGGAGCCAGCAATAGCACCCTCAAGCCCGGGAGCACTGATCTTGACACCGAGCGCAGCCTTGACCTCCTTATTGTGCACGTAAGCCGACTTGAGACGCAGCTCGCGCAACGGCGCCGGGGTGAGCAAAGCCCTGATGTTGGTCTTGATGGCGCCCTCGGTACCGCACAAGACTATCCTGTCGCCTTCCCTCAACACACCGTTGGATAGAATAACATCAATGGTCATGCCGAAGCCTTCAATGGCCTTGACCTCGAGAACGGTTGCTTGAACCTCTGACAGGTACATCAGAGAGCCCACCATGCGCTCTTGGGTGAGCTGAACAATCAGTTTCAGCATGTCAGGTACACCCTCACCAGTGTGAGCCGACGTGGGTACCAGGGAGACGAATTTGGCCATGGACTTGTTCTCGTAGAAGAGCTCCGAGTTGAAGCCTTGCTCAGCAAACGCAAGCTTCGTGTCATCCAGGCGTTTCTTGAACTCGTTGTGGACCGACTTGTTCTGAAGCGCCAGACTCTCCTGGAAGCCATTGTTCTCCACCTTTTTCCAGCCATAAAGCCTGTCAATCTTGTTCAGCGCGACGATGAATGGCGTCTTTCGATCTCGGAGGAGACGCATGGACTCCAAGGTCTGTTGCTCCAGACCGTGCATGATGTCGACGACTAGAATGGCAATGTTGCAGAGAGATGAGCCTCGAGACCTCAGGTTGGAAAAGGACTCGTGCCCAGGGGTGTCGATGACGAGAAGACCGGGAACTTTGAAGTCGAACTTATTGTCCTTGTTGACGACGGCCGTCTTTTGCCTGATGGCGTCCACCGGGAAGTAGGTGGCGCCTATCTGCTGCGTGATGCCGCCCGCTTCGCCTTCTTGGACGTGTGTCTGGCGGACCTTGTCAAGCAGCTTGGTTTTGCCGGTGTCGACGTGACCCAGAATGCAGCAGATGGGCGAGCGCAGATCGTCTTCGGAGCGGGCGGCCAAGGCGGCTTGGTGTGCCTTTTCTCTCCGCTCCGCGGCTATCTTCTTGCGCTGGGCCTCGGCTTGTCTCGCCGCAGAGATGCGCTCGTCGTCAGAATCCTCATCAGACTCGCTCTCATCTTCCCCGGTTCCATCCTCTCCTCCCTTCTCCGCCGCCTTCTGGTCGGCATCGTCGTCCGAGTCGGCGTCCCAGCTTCCCTTGACGTCCTCGGTCTCAGCCTCGGCAGCAGCTTCCCAGTCATCCTCGACGTCGCTTTCGGCAGCCTTTTTCTCCGCGGCCGCCCTCGCCTCGGCCTCGGCTCTCTCACGCGTCGCCTTTTCTTCAGCCTCCTTCATGGCCTTTTCAGCCTGAACCCGGGCTCGCTCAGCAGCTTCAGCCAAGACGGCGTCCTCGTCGATCTAAGAGCGGCTGGCGTCAATGCTTGTCCAAGTCGACCGTCACAAGGCTGTTGGCGTGAGTCCTTACCTTTTGCTCATTCTTACCCCGCTTCTTCTTGCTGTCGTAGGCCGTCTTCTTTTTGGACTCTGCTTCCACAGATTCTTGGGGGCCGACCTTAATACCAGCCGCCAGCATCTGCTGAAGCTTCCGCTCATTGCGAGCCTTCTCTTCCTTCTGCGCCTTAGTAAGAAACTTACCCTCCTTCTTGAGCTGCTCAATTCGCTCCTTTTCCTTTTGTTTCTTCAAAGCCTTGAGCTCTTCCTTGCGCTTCAACTCTTCGGCGGCTAGACGTTCTTGTTCCAGAAAGCGGGCCTTGGCCTCGCCCTCAAGGCGCTCTTCCTCCTCCCGCCGGCGGCGAAGATCCTCCTGCTGCTTCTGGAGCAAGGCCAGATGAGCCGGGAGCTTCTTCTTCTTGCCTGCTGCGTCGGGTGCAGCAGCAGCAGCAGGCATGGGCTCCGCGGCGGCCTCCTTGACGGCAGCGGCCGGCTTGGGCGGCTCAGGAGCCTTGCCGGGCGCGGTAGTCTTCTTTTTGGCGGCCTACAAGCGCGACGAGAGAAGGCGGTTAGAAGAGCTTTGATTAAAGGTGCTGTGGGGGAAGGGTGACTGAGGGTGAAGGCGGATGGGCGGAAGGGGGGGGCCATACCTGTTCCCTTTTTCGCTGCTTCTCACGCTCTCTTTTCAGCTTCTCCTTCTCGGCTTTTGTGAGAATTTTGCCGCCATCCTCAGCATCGTCGAGCTTGTCTTTTTTGGCGGCCTGCTTGGCTTTGCCGCCATCTTTGCCCTTTTTGTTGGGCAAGGCAAATTCCTGTGTCGCGGCCTCTTCAGGAGCTTTGGTTGCCTCGGCGGGGGCTGGGGCGGAAGTGGGAGGATCCTCGCCCTGGACGAGGTCGTCCTCTTGCAAGCCCTTCTTCTTGCGCTTCTCCTTGTTCTTCCTGAGCATGGCCATCAGGCCGCCTGATCCGCCCGCGTCGTCTTCATTGTCGCCGTCGGCATCGGGCGAGGCGTCGTTGGTGGCAGGAGGGGCAATGGACTCGCCCAGTTCCGCTTCCCAATCATCCTGGGCCGCCTTGTTGCCCTTTTTCTTGGGCGCCATCTTTGGAGTTGAGGGAGGGACGAGGTGGGAAGCTAGTCGTCCGGGTGCGCGGAGGCGGAGACGGGTTTAATAGGTCGACGTCGTGGGTCTGTCGTGGCGGATTCGACAGCAGAGCGACTCTCCCTCCAAACGGATTGAGAGGGAGGGGCAGGAGGTTGGTGGGCGCAAAAGAACTGGCGTCACAGGTGTGCCCACGGCTTTGCTCCAATGGCGAGGACGATCAAAAAGAAAAGGAGGGATCGAGAAAGAAGCGAAGAAGAAGAAGAAAACCACGGCCGGTCGCCCTTGTCTAGGTGTATGGGCGGGTGGTTGTGGGTTGTGGGAGTGGCACGGCTAGTGGGAAAAGAATTCTGGAATCGTGAACAGGTACGGATACCTGCATGGGTACTCCGTAATTACTGGTAGGTAGGTAGGTAACGGAGATACCTCACACGGTACCTTCAGCATTCCCGGAGTAGGTATTGATACCTCTCGGACCCGGGGTGCCTAGCGAGAGGCGGGGCAGCAGCATACGGTAATTATAGTAATTACAGTACAGTCGTCTTTTCAACCTCAACCGTCTCAGTCTGTATTAATGTTGTCACTTCGCTTTTCAACACGCACCGGCAACGCGCACCGGCAACACACACAATGAGCGGTTTAAACCGGCCAAGCGCACACAAGTAAGCGGCTCCGAATTCCCACCACACCAGTCACAGTCACCTTACAAGGTATAAACATATCCATGTGAGTAGTCATGCCCAGACATTCTCCGACGCAATACCTCGCCAAGCCAGACAGCCTACATGACAGGGGCCAAGACGTACTCTAAGATCTCGTACCCAAGCCTCATGTACCCGTCGTCTCTCTCCTGTTGCGGCACAGCTCCGTCTCGGAGCCCACGAGTGTGACGGCCTCCCTCGAGTCGGTCCAGGCACTCGCGGAACAACCCGAGCCCCTTGCCCTTGCCCACCATCTTTTCCAAGCTTCGCCGCCGGAGACATAGCTCGAGCACATCTCCGTCAACGTGCATGCGCTTTGGATGCTGCCTTGGTTCCAATCCCGCATCGGCTGCCTCGACGTCGTCACCGCCGCCAAACAACCCAGACTCGCCCAAGGCTGACACATCCGCACTCCTGCGCGCCATGTTCTGTATCAGGCAGAGCAATCGCCACAAGTCGAGCTCGAGCAGGGTAAAGTGCTGTAGAGAGCCGTCGAGCGAGATGCCCAGGATATCGGCACAGTCGTGCGTGCTCGCCATGGTCCCGTAGCGAGGCCGGCGCCCGTCCGCACACCACAGCGGCCGGCTCCGCGCTCCCACGAATCGTCTCACCGATGTCGGCAGCATCCCCTCAAAGACAACGTCAAACTCCTTGCCACGCTGCCACCATGGAACCCATATCCCTGCAATGCCTCCTGTCTGGTCAGAGAGGAGCGTCACTGGCCAGCCGCCAAGTCCGTCCGTCGCGTCTCCAGCATCAATCATGTGAATCGTCCTCCGCGAAACGCGGTCCGAGTGTACCAGTGCCATGCCTCCGCTCCTCTTGTTCCTGTAGTCAATAACCTCCAACGAGTGCAGTGTTGTCAGAGCTAAGAGATGTCCCCGCTCCACGCGAAGCGACGTCGCCGGCGAGTCCAGTTCGTATTCGTTCATCAACCTCAACTTTTTCTCCGCCAGGTCGAGCACCTCCCAGCGGATGGTCCGGTCGACGCAAAAGATGATGCCTTGGTCGTCCCCAACAACCGAATAAATCGGCTGTCCCAGCGCCTTTTTGTAGCGCGTCCAGTAGAGTAGCCGGCTGGGGCGTTTTTCACCTACCCGAGACTTAGGTTTATTTACCGACACAATGAGAAGTCGTCCGTCTTTTGTCGTCACGAGAATAAACGAAAAGGTTTTGCCATCTTTGACGTATAGCCATTCATGCAGACAATAGATCCTATCGCCTGGATGACCGAGGCCGGCGACGAAGTCCAAAGCTGTCCCGTCCTTGTCCGAAGGCACTGAAATCGTGTCGCCAGATTCAGGGTCGATAAAAGCCAATGTTGGCCTGTCACCTCGGAGCAGTGCTACAACCAGGCAGTTCCATGTCTGCGAGTAAATGATCCTGGTGGGCGTGCCTTCGACCGAGATGCTCCTGGGCACGAGGCCAACATGAGGCCAGATCTCCGCAACAAGCAATCTCGACCCTGCTTGGGCCATCAAAGACATGTGTCCAGGAGAGGCGGATATGTTGTGCCGCAAACTACAGGCTGAGTGCACAGGAGGCGAGGGCATTGACACGTCGTTCGCGTCAGTGAGCCAAACGAAATGCTTCCCATGCAACTTTCCGTCATGCGGGGAGAGGTCCGTCATCATGATCAAGGCATTGTCGCAGCACAAAAGCACTGCCGCAGTTCCGTTGAAGGGTTCTGAGGCCGGAAACACATCAACCGGAGCAAGACCAATCGTCTCGACCGCCCAAGCTATTCGCTCAGCGCCTTGGCCCGTGATCCTGATGTTCAGGAGATGCCCACATCTGGTCCCAGCGACGAAATAGGCTTCACCGGCGGCGTTTCGGTGCACGAGGCAAATACTGGTCAGGGATTCGAGTTGGATGTCGGCATCTGGAGCATCCGTGACGGTTGCAGAGCCTGCCGGGGTCAGCACCAGATCGTCAGAGGTGGCATTTACAGTGGAATACCGACCATGGTGTTTCGTCATCGCCTTTGCCACGATTGTCTCTCCGGTCAGTGAGAACATTGATATACATGGTATACCGTCCAGCACTGAGCCTGCAAGGACGAATTGGCTCCCAGAGCCCACGGACAGCGACACGCATGTTATATCCCCCTGGACCTTCCATGTGCTGACATGGTGAACACCCACCGGTGTTGCCAGCAACGTGTGCAACCGGGAACCTTGCTCACTGTGCGTGGATAGGATGATCGTGTCGTCAGCACAGCAGGCGTTTCCCGCCAAGGCGTTGTCCTGGGAAAGGATCTCCTCAAGAGAGATACGCGAGCTTGCGTTGCTGTCAGCGGATTCGTCATGAGCTCAATCTAGACAAGGGCGTCGCCTACCTTTGAAAGCCCGTAGTCACGGTGACAGCTCTCTCTGTCACCTGCGTCACCATGCCCTGCGGCGAACTGCAGGTATCCAAAGTGCGTGATGTGAGATCAAACGGCGTGTCTTCGGCGGCCAAGGCGTTGACCTGACTAAAGTCTTCCGAGAACTGAAGCACGGCGGATGAGTAGGGGAGGGCCAACAGGGCAGAAAGGCCGCAGCTCCCTCCCGGGTTCGCCAGCGCAAAGGCCCACGAGTGCCTGATGGGTTCGCCGAATTCTATATCTAGGCCTATCCTTCCCTGTATGCCCCATCTCCACTGCGTCACGCTGCCTTTAAAACCGCGGCCAGACGCGGTGAACACCGTGTCTGGTCTCGTCAGAGGTTTTCTTGGTGGCATCCGCGCGACGTTAGCACCCTGGCGCCTGGTAGGCGCGGCACTACCGACAGAGGGCCAACTGGACGTGGCCACGTCCACGACCGGCGACCAGTTGGGAAGGAGGCTCACTTGCTCGAGGTCGGTGCGAGGCGCAAGCTACATCGAATCAGTCAAACGCCGGTCATGGCAGGGATACGATGTGGCCACGTTACCTTCCAGATTCCGCCGGGTCCAGAGTCGCCTCCAATTATCAAGATGTCGGAGAAAATGTCGTACGCAGTGGTAAATGCAGTGTTGATGTTGGTGTCCAAGCACCCGACGTTGGTCACCGAGGGTACCAGATCCATGGCCTCAATCTCGATATGAATGATGGCTCCATCCTCACGAGCAAGATATATAATGTCCGTTTTCTCGAAATACTTTTGGCGTCGAAATGGCCGAGCCCATGCGGTCCAGAGCGGGCTGTGGACTCCATGATGCAGGCGGGTCTGACTCGGCGGATCTGCGCACAACGACTCGAACACAGGAGACCCTGACAGACAGTGCTTCACGATACCGATGAACTCCTCGGAAACAGTGAAGAAAGCGGTGCTGAATCTCAGGGGTATTAAGAGCAGTGGCATTTTGTGCTCCTGGGGAAGTCGATTGCCGGTCTGGTCTCCGGCAAAGACGTCTTTCAGGTTGTCGCCCAGTTCCCACTCATAGATGACCATGCGCGTGACTGGCTCACCAAGGCTTCTCTCCCTTCGAATGACAATCAGAATTAGGATGATGTGGTAGTCGTCTTCTGGGCGCGGTTGGAGGAACTCGAGCTTGTGAATCACCCCCTGGATGAGGCGAAGGCGGGCAGACTTGACGGGGCTAAAGGAGCCTCGGGCCATGTACTGGGCGTTCAGTTTCGTCAATTCCTCGAGCTCGAAGACGACGAGGACGCCTTCTGGAGACGCCGCGGTCATGTAGCGGGACGAGGGGTCGATGGCCAAGTGATAACCGAGATACGGTATTTTTCGTGGGAGGTTGTACGTGTTGAGCACAAACTCGGGCGGCGTATTCTGTTGCTCTCTGAGAAAGAGAAAGACTGCGTCGCCAGAGTCGAGCATGAGCACGAGTAGCTGAGGGGGGAGTGACCGGTTCCCACTGCCGCGGAGCACATCTGATGCGTCAGGCATGGGCAAGTCGTCATCTTCCGACTTGGCAAAGCTGCCAGGGTTTTCGTCGTCAAGACCATGTTCCAAAGCATCGCCAAGCACAACGACGCTGCGGATCCTGGAGCCGAAATCACTCTTCTGTGCAACCTCGTGCACTTGGCCATCTCTCCGCAGCTCACTTATTTGCACAAAGCGTTCCTGGCGAGGAGCATTAGTATTGTCTGTAGCGACGGACGGCATCGAGTTGAGCCTAGGGGCCAAAAGCCCCGTGGTGGTTGCTGATGCACGCCGTGGAGAGCAAGCCGGGGCATCGACGAGGGGCCATCCCGAGCCCGAGCAATCGAGAGAAGCGAGCAGATCACAAGAATGCAGGGGCTATGGTAATGCATGTTGGGCGATGGCCGCCAGGGGGTGGGCACGCAGAGTGCGTGAATGTGGAGCTTGCACACGAGCGTATAGGCGGCGGGAACTCACACCGATAAAGGCAATGTCATTATGTGTCTTGGACCGCAGCCGAACCGGAAGAACGCGATGGACGATGGGACTCTCGATGACCGTCCTCGAGAGAATGCCACAGGATGGAGGATCGGGGTGACGCTCATGAGCAGGCGCCGGCGCAGTAGCAGCCGTGGCCTGGCGTAGGGCGGACTGGAAGTTGACAGTCTCGGTCACCCACTCGCCATCTCTGAGGAAGCTTGTCTGAAAGGCCATGCTGAGTTCTTGAGGCTACAGAACCGCCAACGAGGGTTCTCATGAAGCGATTCAGTTGACGGTCGATACTGGCCGAGAGGTTGGCGTTGGCGAAGACGGACGAAGACAGGATGGGGGCGCGGCTCAGCAGGGCGTCGGGTTGACAGATGTAGGGAGCCAAGACGACATGTTAGGCCTTGTCGCAGAAGGTGTCCGAGGGGCGCCTCAACCCATCCCAGTGAGAGGGTGCTGACGTAGAGGTCGAGGTTTGCTTGTGGGTTGGCGTGGAAAGTAGCGGTGGTGGGGTGGTTGCGGTGGCGGCAGCTAGGTAACTTGTGTTGGCGGCTGGATCGCGCGAGGAAGCAAACGGGTCAGGGGCAAGGCTGGCGGGGGACGCGGGAAAGCAGAGAGGGGGGGAGAAGAAAGTGCGAGAGATGCCCATCAACGACGGCCATCGTGAAGGCCACAAAGTCGAGAAATGGTAGTTGAGCTGTCAAGTGCCTCAAGGGCGCCTTTGCCTCAAGTACCCCCAAGTACCTACCGTTCAAGTTGGCGGCGCGGCGGGGTTAGCAGCAGGGGGTTAGGTGATTACTTCCTTAGGTAGGTAGGTAGGTACAGTAGGTAAGGTAGGTAGGTACGCGAGGCATGCTTCAAAAGACGCTGTCGTGGAAGGTACTACTGTACTAAGGTAGTACTCGAATACTTTATGCGCACTGTAGGAACTGTGCGTTCTTGAATTGGCCATGTGCAAACCCCAGAGAAACACCTTTCCGTTCACCTACGTACTACAGTACCTACCTTACCTACTTAGTACAGTACTCCGTATAGTGCCCAAAATTGGATCGAATTTACCTAAGGCAAGGTAGGTAGGTAGGTACTTTGGGTAGGTACCTAAGGTAGGTAAGGTAAGGTAGGACTCTCCAATGAACACGGACAACACAAAAGGGTGCAAAGTACAGTACCCCGGAGTACCTAAGGAACGGTATGGTTACCTAAGCAGTGCACTCCGGGCGACGTTCGAGCAGACACCTTGCTGGACAATAAACCATGTCCTGACTCAAAGCAGCTCGATAAATCCACTGCTTTCACCTCCCATCCTTCCCTGGGACACGACGTGACGCAGACCCCTTGCCCGTCGTCCTTCACGGGCACGCCAGGATGCTGCCTGGCTGTCCGCAGACGCCGACGTAGCATTGCGACGCCGTGGTCACTGGCCCATGGACCGGCACAAAGAGTCTGCCATGGCGATGGCCCGCCACCATCCGCCAGAGTCCCGTTACGCTGCCGACGACTGCGAGGCCACCTGGATCGACCAGAAACGGAGAGATATTCTCGACGCCTGCTGCTGGAGAGACCTTTCTTCCCTCAGATCACTCGCCGAATCACGAGGAGGCTTCCTCGACGACCATCTACGCCGTGCAGCATGTGCGTGCCACTCCCGCTTCATGCCGCCCCGATGTGCCGCAGCCGTGCAGTCTCCGTGCTCTGCTTTGCCGCTGACTCGGCGCTGCCGCCCCAGGGCCAATATTGCTCGGCGTCCCGTCCTCGGAAGCGGTCCCTGACGGCCAGGCCAGACCGCGTCAGACCGATTCTATCCTCGGCGTCAACTGGGAGCAGTTGCCGCGCCATAGAGAAGAAGACCAAGTTCAGCTCGACGTGAACCGCTCATTCATATACTACCCAAATGGTACGCGGAAATGGGTTGACCAATGGGCAACTGAGGTGGCACTCACACGGGCTCCCGTCGCTAACTCACACTTTTCTAAATCTCAGACCAGTCCGACGCGGAGCTGGAGCAACGCAAGACAGAGCTTTCCTCCCTCATCGTCGAGGTTCTGCGCAGGAACCCGTACCTATGCTACTTCCAGGGCTTCCATGATATCTGCCAGGTCTTCATGCTAGTCTTGGACCCGGCTTGGCGAGCGCGAGCGGTTGCACGCCTGTCCGTCCTCCGCATACGAGACTTCATGCTACCCAGCCTCGGCCCGACAACTGCCCAGCTGAGACTGCTGCCAGACATCTTGGCCAAGGCAGATACCCAACTTCGGCGACACATTGCATCCATCGAGCCCTTCTACGCCCTAGCCGGCACCCTGACCATGTACGCTCACAACATCGAAAACTACCGCGATATTGCACGGCTGTTTGACGTCTTCCTCGCGCGCGAGCCCGTCTTCAGCATCTACGTCTTTGCCCAAATTGTCGTGGACCGCCGCGACGAGATCCTCGAGATAGACGAGTCGGACATGCTTCAAGTTATCCTTGCCAAGGTCCCGAGCGGCATGGACATTGACGCCCTCATCGCCAAGTCTGTCCGCCTCTTTGACCGCCACCCACCGGACTCGCTGCGCTCCTGGAGGCGCGTGTCGGACGCAAGTGTTCTCAAGACTGCCAGGGACATCAGCGTCTGCGCCAGTCAGACGCTAGATCAGGGCCACGCTTATTTCCAGCAGCAGATCAAGGAAATTCGGTGGCTGGACACGCAAGACAGGGTCAAGATGCTCCTATGGAGGCATCGTCGGCCCATCAGGCTCGTTGGCATGGCATTTGCCGTTGCTGCCTTGGGATTTTACCTGCGGCGCAACCCATCTGTTGTGCAATACGTATTGTCTCTGCTTCAAGGACAACAATGAGCACCCGGCAATCATTTGTACAACTCGACACCCCGTATGATGGCATGTCGGGGGAGGGAGGTTATTGTAGGACCGCTTTCTTCCCGTGATAGACGAACTTGATATTCCAAAGACTCGACACATCCTGAACCCTGCAACGCCGTGCCGCAAAAAGATGTGGAAAGCTGGGAGCTATTCCTTGGCCCCGAAACCTCAAAAGCACAAACCATTACACAATCATGATTTGTCTTGATGTGCCGCTTTCAACTGTTCGAAATGCTCTCGTTGCTCCGCAGCCAATTTCCCCTCCGTATCGCCCACAATGGTGAGAACGAGGGAAAAGTTGTTGTACAAGAACCGCTCGCTCTTGCGGTTATCAGTGCCGTATGACTGGCTCTGCCGGTTCAGAAATGCCTCGAACTCGGAGCGCAGTCGCTGCAGACTGGCATTAACTGGCTCGTCATCCCCAGCCTCGGCGCTCAGGGCGAGGAACCCGTGCAGCAGCTGACCAAACCGTTGCGTCACCATGTGCGGCGCAGCCGTCAACTTGGACTGGTCGCCCGCTGATCTTGCCGGCTTACCGGGCAGGGAGTATGTCAGCTGCCGGATAGACTCGCAATGGCGGTCCATGACGACCTGGAGTCGCGGCCACAGGAGCATGTTGGTGGAATTGATGTATCCGTCCACAGCCGGCACTCGACGCCGCTGCAGCTCAAACGCAAACTGTTGGTTCAGCCGGATGCACATCAAGATGCCCAGCGCGTCAAACGACTCGCCCACCAGAGTCCTGGACAGGGTTCGCCCCAGCTCAAACGTGGGCTCGAAGACGTAGTTGAAGCTTTTGGATATCTGGGAGAAGGATAAGGCCGGGTAGAAAAAGGATGCTAGAAAAGTATACTCGGCGGTAGCATTGTCCATCAACGCAAGGTTCATGTTGCGGAAAGGGACCTCGAGATAGTGGGTTGTCCGGTCCTCTTCTGCCAGGTAAGAGGGCAGCGCAGATTGGTTCTTGGCTTTCAACAAGTCAATTCGACGGCCCAGATTGAAGGCGTCGTGTGGAGGGCCTGCAAGTCGTGCACTCGAAAGCATGGCGGCCACTCGCGTTGTGTCTTCGTGGCCTAGAGTGTCCGATTTGTCCAGCACATGGAGTTTGACTTTTGCCAAAGCCTTCTCATAGCGGCTGAATCGATTGAGATAGTACCATCGCATGGTGTTCATGTACGCCAGCGAAATCTCCTGGGCGAGCGTTGCATGGTGCTTGTGCAAGAAAGAGTAGAGCTCCTTGAACTTGAGAAAGCATTGTTGCTGAATTATTTGGGCATTGATGTGAGGGGACCGGAGCGCTTTGATCTGGGCGACTAAGAAGTCGCGAATGCGCTCGGTGGCCTTGAAAACGGTTAGATCCCACCTCGCTGCTTAGACAAGGGTACATTACCTTGAACGTAAGCTTCTCCAGGAGGGGGCCCAGCTCCTCGGAAGCTTTGCTGTGGAGAGAGCTTGACGACGCCTCTTTCTTGTGTGCCCGAGCTCTTCTATCCACCTCTGACAGAGTCTTTATCCAAGTTTCGTCGATGGGGCCGGTCGATATCTTGGAGATTATTTCGGGGGAGACGCTGAGTTCTTCCACCAGGGGCCCCAGGGCCTTCTCCACCTCCTTTCGGTTGTCCAGGCGTCGATTCAACGCGGTAGAGCGCGACTGCAGTGATTCAATGTCGGTCGAGACGGCAGCAAGATCGTTGCGAAAGCTCGCCAGGTTGGTCTCGACGGAGTTGAGGACATCGTCGCAAGCCACAATGGACTGATGCAGGTCTTCAAACTTGGACTTTTCCCTTTCATCTGGCCACCCGTGTCAGCCAAACTGACGAGTATCGGCGCAGTCTGCGAGGAGCTGACCAACATTCGTCGAATATCTGCGGGCGTCGCGAGCTAGGTGGATGAGGCTCCTGGCCCTGCGAGGCGAGCTCCTTGAGAGACAGGCCGCCGAAATCCACGTCGAAGTCAATGTCTCCCTCGACCATGGAGCCAGTCTGTTTGTCGCCGTCACCTTGGCCGTTTGTCTTTGGACCAATCAGGGTTTCCAGCGTCTCCAGAGAGTTGGGCACGTCCGGGGCAGTGGTCGACTGCCGCAAGCCGGAGCCATTGGGCCTGCGAGAGGCAGAGAGGAGCGAAGCCGAGGAATCGTTGGACACGAGCGAGAGCGACGAGCTCCTGGGCGAGTGACCGGACCGCTGCGACGTCACGTAGGGGCTGAGGGCGCTCGATGTCCGGCGCGGCAAAGGGGAGTAGGACCTGCTCCCGGGCTGCGGCGTCGACGAGCCCGAGGTGCTTGCGGGACCGCCAGCCAGTCGGTCGAGCCACATTGCGCAAGAATGACGCTACTGTCGGGTCATGGGTCGATTCTCATGGTGTCGTGAGAGGCCGTAGATGGCGGTGCAAGCGCCGACAAGGCTGAAGGTGGTTGTCGAGAGATGGCTTTGGAGCCAGCTTGCATCGAGCTCGCTGCACTACCGTAGCACGGCAAGTACAGTGCGCAAACTACTTGATCCAAGGTTGCTGCAGGGTGGAGTCGGTCAGCGAGCGCTTACCTAAGGTAGGCCTCGGTGACGCGGCAGAGGCTGCGGGTACCTGCGAGGCGAAGTTGAGCAAATCTAGAAGTCTGGAATAAACACTCTCGGCTGCCTTTTCAACCATGGACTTGGCGTTGAAAGCCACTTCGTCTCAATTTCAATCAACTGTTTAACCCAGTTCAACCTGTTCATGTAACCGGAAGAATCCACTCCAGCCCTCTCCCCCTTGGAGATTGTTTAACCGACCAAGACGACGCCCCCTGGTGTTGGTTGTCTGATCGGGAGTTGTCGACCAGTCGCCAGCGGGTTCTCTGCTCTGCGGATCTGAAATCCTCGACTCATCTCTGTTCTGTAATTAATTCTTTGCGTCATTGCACGTCCAGCCTACCTCATGGCCGTCCTGCAGACGCAAAACATCACATGGCTTGCAGGCTGGCCGCCTGCTGCGATTGGGACAACTGTGCCGCGGTCCCGGCCATTAGCAAAGGGACCGAGCCTTTGGATAGTGACAGCCCACAATCTGAAGAGTGCGTGCTGCAATGATGGGGCATGCTTCTCTCGACTACCTACCTAAGTTAGGTACCTACCTAGCATCACGGCTTGCCCTGGGGAGGCCAGAGGCTTTGGTGGTGTTTCAACTATGTACCACCTGGGCGGAAGGCAAGTGCGGGGAATAATACGTACCTAAGGTAGTACTACAGAGTACAGCACATACAGCAAGAGCAAGCCCGCCCCGGCCTTTTGGGACGCACACTCTGTAAGCCACTGCCTGCCTGGTATACTGCAGCGGGAGTGTAGGTAGATGTCTTGTTCAGTCTAGGTACCTCCTTGTGGGATTTCGGGGTCCTTTCCCTCTAAATGTGTAAGGCGGATACCAAAGTAGTACCGGCAGGATACCTGTCCAGCCCAGCGCTGCCTGCCCCAGGACCCAATCACACAGGCGCGAAAAAAAAATCGACGACTTTTCTTTCCTTTCCCCATCTCTCGACCCTTCTCTTCTTCCCTCTCCACCCACTTCTTGCCAGCACCTCCACTGCCTGTCGGTGCCAGACAGAACCATCACCTTTCCCTCCGACGATCCCGTCTTCTTGCGCAATCCTCCGCCATGGCTGAAGAGGTGAGTCTCGCACCGTCCGCTGCTCTCTCTTGTTGCGTTGCTGCCGCCGCCCACCACGCCCGCGGAACATCACCCCGCATTGTGCCTCGCGCCCCACGACACACACAAAGCGACGGGCTGGCACCGCCGTCGCCTGTCTGCCCCCATCTGTCGAAGCCGCTCCTGGCCACGCGCTCATCACTGCTCTTCTCTAACTTAATGTCGCCCTCTCCAGCACGATGTCACCTTCGAGTCCGCCGATGCCGGCGCGTCTCTCACCTTTCCCATGCAGTGCTCTGCTCTGCGCAAGAACGGCTTCGTCGTGATCAAGAGTCGCCCGTGCAAGATTGTCGACATGTCCACCTCCAAGACCGGCAAGCACGGCCACGCCAAAGTCCACCTTGTTGCCCTCGACATCTTCACCGGCAGGAAGTACGAAGACCTCTGCCCCTCGACCCACAACATGGATGTCCCCAACGTCTCTCGCCGCGAGTACCAGCTGGTGAGTTTCAGCGGTCTGCAAGCCCGATCTGCACGCAAGACTGACTCGATGTCCTCACTAGCTCGACATCTCTGATGACGGCTTCCTCTCTCTCATGAACGACGACGGTGACACCAAGGACGACGTCCGCATGCCCGACGGCGAAATCGGCGAAAAGATCAACAAGCTCTTCAAGGTTGATGAGAAGGATACCAGTAAGCGCCTCTCACGCCTCTTTAGTGATGCTTGCACGCCAGGGACGGCCCCCATACTGACCAACACACCTAGACGTTGTTATTCTTACTTCCATGGGTGAAGAAGCCGCCGTCGAGGCCAAAGAGGCTCCCCGTCAGGGTTAAGCGGCCTGGCTCAAGCCCCGAACGAGGCGTGGTCTTGCTCAGTGCCTGCCATCGAGTCCATTTGGGCAGTGTCGGAGTGACGGCGGTCTTGACCACTCTTGGCTTTGAGCGACGAGTACATGTGGTTATTTGCGGGCAAAGATTCTGTATTACCGGAGTTGTATAGGCTGTTCGCAGCTTTGGGCACTTGCACATTCCAGACGCAAGCCTTCAAACAAGTTGTCCATCTCCTTCTGTTATTTGCCGACACTTTGCCTTGGCACTAGGGCTGCGAGCCTGTAACGAGGAGAGGCGAGTGGGATACAAAAAATGGGGGGGGGGGGGGTTCGGATGCACAGGAGCCACGGAGAGTTGACAATGAATCTACGGCGGCTTGGGTCATCCTGAACGCTGACAAGGCAGCTCTCATTCATGCTCAAGGATGCAGCAGGGTTTGCCTACAAGCGGCCATGTGCGTGATGTGTGTGCAACCCCGACGTTGTGAAGTCAAGATGCGCTCAGTAGGACGAGGATGCACGCATGCCCGCCGGCATACTTCCTCCTTTTTCATTCTCATTTCAAACGTTACAGTTCCAATAAATAAAAGGAGAGGGGGAACCTTGATGAAAAAAAGGAAGAGCGTAGGTCGTTTGGCGCCCTTGTTCGCTAGGTACTTATGGCGTGGGGTGGGAAAGGGTGGCGCGCTCTGGCCGCTTAAAAATTCGAGGCAAAAACAAAAGGCGGACCTCTCTTCTGCTAGGTACGGATACCAATCAACCCAACCCACCCCGGACTCTAGAAAACGTGCTGTTTACTTGGCACATTTCAATGTCACTCAGCCTGCCCGGCTCGATCATGGCCGCCAGGGATGCGTGGATGAGGCACCCAGAGACGGAGACGAACGCTACGACGGGCCCACAACCAGCTCATACATAGAGCACGCCCTTGAGCCTCGCATCGCAACACACGACTCCAAGGCAGTGTGAGACATCACAGCCTCTTGACGAAGAAGCAACGGGCCAAATCAGCAATGGAGGAGCGGCGGGAGCTTCGAAGGATGCCCCGTGGGGAGAGGTGCCCCGAATGTGGTAGCCGCAAATGGTACCTGCAGGACGGCCTGCGATTCTGCTCCAGGGGCCATCAGATCGAGGTGAGCTTGGCTAGAGCTGGAGAGACAGGCAAAGAGTGCAGGTGCTGACTGATTGCCCAGGGTTTTATTCAATTTGATGTTGGTGAGGAGGAAGATTCGGGTCGTCTCGGGGCCGTGTCTCGGAGGGGAAAGGAAACGAGAGAGAGCGAGAGGCGCCAACTCACCGGTCAGGACGGGAAGCTGCTCTATCTCGAGGCCGTACAGTTGCTGCTCAGAAATCAGGTCTTGTGGCTCGTCAGAGAGCAGAGACTCGGCGAGGAGCTAGAGACTGTCGTCCGGGATCTTTGGGATCTGCGCATTCGCGGCTTTCCGGACAAAGATGCGGCCACCCAAGAGGTGTTGGGAATGTTCAGCTCCCAGTCCTCGCCCGCACAAGACCAGACCGCTTGGAAGTCAAGATCGAGGGCCCAGTCTTGGGATCCGGAGCGCGGCGCAGACTGGCCCATGCCGAGGCTCCCCGAAACTCTTACGCTCTGCTACCTGGCCTCCATACTTCTCCGGGTTCCTATGCGGCAGGGACAAATCTTGGACTGGGCCAACAGCGGCAACATGCCATACAAAAAGGCCGTGAGTGACTGGATGCCCTCCCTCGGCCTCGTCGTGCGCTGACTCTTTCAACACGCAGTTCGACGACTTGCCGCGCGAAATGCGGGACCGAATGCCCTCTGCCTACGTCAAAGCCCTCAAGTCGCCGCTTCACTCCAGCTTGGGTGGAGGAGAACTGAGCAAGGTGGTCATGGGTCTGGTTCTTTCCTACCACCTGAATTACAAGATGGGGTTCCCGGAGATCTCCTACATGGCGATGCTTGTTCATTATGCAAGGCTGCTTTCTCTGCCCGGTAAGTCTTTCCTGCCACCACGCTCCCACCAAAAGAAGAGACTCCTCAAGGCTAAGGCGTGGACAGTCGAGTCAGTTGTCGTGACCAAGATTCTGGCTGCCACCCTGAAATCCCACTTCCGGTTCCCTGTCGACAAGACCAAAATACTGCCGCTTGGCCATCCGGAAATACGTCTTGTCGCCCTCCTTGTTGTTGCGACAAAACTCTGCTTTCCCTTCGGAAACAGAAAGTCCCGGCTGCACGGCCCTGGCGGCGTTGAATTGCCCCGGCTTGACTGGGATACCTGGAAGCAAGGCTTCTTGCCTCCCCTCGGGGAGCCACCGAGAGGCAATGCCAACTTCGCGGAGACAACGCCTTCGCAGGTGGCTCTCATGAGCGATGAGGAATTTGAAGCCTATTCCACCCACGTCCTCAGTCTTACTGGCGGCAAAACGAGTAAGCAGCCGAGCGTCGCTCTGACTCGTCAGTGCTAACAGGGCCGCAGGCGAGAGTCCCATCGCGCGGTTCTTTCCAATCCCAAATACCCCCGAGCCCGCGCCGCTTGTTCTGGAGACGTCACAAGAGGAGGCATACGAGAGAGCCCGTCGACTTCTTAGCCAGACTTTACAGTCGCCATTGCAACCTGGACCAGATGAGACTGACTCATCATCGGATAATGTGAACAGCATGTACGAGGCTTTCCGCACCACGGGGGATCTGTCCGAAACAGCGAGGGCGTTTTACAAAGCAGCGGGTAAGGGACCGTAACTTTTTGACCCCTTGGCAAGCGAGCCGAATCAGGCTGACAACTCTCAGGCGAGGCAGCCGGCATTCCTCTGGAAATAGTTGTCCGGGCTGTTTACATGCAGGAACAAGCAATAGTCTCATGGCAGAAGGGTAGAACGGGGCCGGACAATAACACGGAATAGTGGGGGTTCTTTCAAACGTCACTCAAGCAACATAACAGGCGCATTCAACGAGGAATAGACGTGACCGATGATGGGCTGTGTATTGATTGGCTCCGTGTCCGAATGAAGGCCGGAGGTGCTCGGTTACGTGGGGGGCCGGTGTGGGGACGCGCAAATTGAAGTGGGGCATCACGTGAGTGGGCATTGGACCTAGGGCTTTCTCACCACCCCTCAACGGGCCCCACCACCTACACGCGCAGAGTCTCTCGTTACTCGCAAACCTTCCACCGTCCGTCAGCGTCACAAAAATCAGTCAAGAGTGAGTCCTGTTGCCACGATCCCTGTGAACGAGCTGAGCGTAGCCTAAATACTGACATTTCATCCCAGTGCAGATGTGAGTCCACAACTGGCGAGGACCGAGTCGATTCCACGAGCCCGTACTGACCGTCCTCAGTTTCGTGAAGACCCTGACGGGCAAGACCATCACCCTCGAGGTCGAGTCCTCGGATACTATCGACAATGTCAAGTCCAAGATCCAGGACAAGGAGGGCATTCCCCCGGATCAACAGCGTCTGATCTTTGCTGGCAAGCAGCTCGAGGATGGCCGGACCCTGTCCGACTACAACATCCAGAAGGTGCGTCATGCTGGGACGTCTGGCCAGCATTGTCATGGCTGTGCAGGGGTCACGGAAGCTCACGCTCCAGCGCACTGACAATGGTCACAGGAGTCTACTCTGCACCTGGTCCTACGTCTGCGCGGTGGTATCATCGAGCCCTCGCTGAAAGCCCTGGCCTCCAAGTTCAACTGCGACAAGATGATTTGCCGCAAGTGCTACGTACGTCCCGACGCGCAACTCCCCCCAGCCTGTCTGCGAAGACGGTATGTCCCGATGCTAACACGCGCCTCTGCTCGACAGGCCCGCCTCCCTCCCCGTGCCACCAACTGCCGCAAGCGAAAGTGCGGACACACCAACCAGCTGCGACCCAAGAAGAAGCTCAAGTAGAGGAGTTCCCCCATGGATGTGGCGTCTGGTTTTCTGGCAGAACGGGAATGGCAAGGCCCAAGGAGGTGCTTTAAACGGTTGTCGAGCCTGGGCGCTCATTTCTAAACGTGGCATCTGCTGCTCAGGCAATTCAGTCTAGATGATTCCGCGAATGCATTGGAGTTGAGCAACTTGCGCATTGCCTTGGCATTGTTGCCAGAATGCTTGAATAATTGTCGACGTTTGACTTGCCATGTCCCTCGTCTGTTCCCATTTAGTGGGGATGCCTGAGTTTTATCTGTAGGGGCCTTTTCCCATTGCTGTCCAAGGCCGTGCCGGTGTGGCTCTAGAAAAGACAGGTCAGGCTCACTCGAGTGAGCGGGTTGCGCGGTCGGGTAAAAGCCGGCCCAGGAACGCCAGGGCAGGTACCTCGCCAGGCTGACAACACCCTGTCCCTGGCTGAGCAGCTTCATCCTGCCCAGAGACAAAAGAAGGTGCACCAGGCAGCGAAACCAGCGCGGGCGTTTACCTTGCTTGAATTCGCAGCCAGAGTGCCCGCCATGTCGGGGTCCGGATACGATGCCGTGGTGGACGTGGATGACGAGGTGCGCATGCCGCGAGGCGACGATGGCGTGGTAGACAGGCCTGATGCCGATGACTGTTGCTAATACCCTTGGCTCAGGGCGACCTCGGCCACACCGATCTCCAAGAGGACCTCGAATTCCACAACTCAAACTTCCACGAGTCGGCGGCGGGCGGCCGCAAAGGTCGCCCGGCGTCGAGCCTGCCGCCGCCCGTGACGGCGCCCTCGTCGTCGTCGCCCAAGCGCTTCCTGTGGACCCTCTCCTTTTACGGACAGTTCTTCGACGTCGACACGTCTGCGGTGCTATCGCGGTGCTGGGCTGCTCTCTTCCCCCGAGCCAACTTCCTCGACGTACTCGAGGGCAACCCCGATCTCTACGGGCCCTTTTGGATCGCAACAACCGTTGTCTTGATCCTGTTCCTCGGCGGCACAATCAGCAAGTACTTGGCGGCGACAAGGTCTACGCCTTTTGCCTATGACTTTAGGCTCCTGAGCGGTAAGGCCCAGCCCATCGCCATCCCCTGCATCCGTGTGGGAGTTTTGCCGAGAAGCTAATCAACGTGCCTTTGGGCTGATCTCTTGCAGGTGCTGCTGGCCTCATCTATGGATACACGCTTTTCATCCCCATGGCTCTCTTCCTCGCCCTCAGATACTTTGGCAGCGAGTTGGCCAACCTCCTCGAATGCTGGACCCTGTACGGCTACGCCAACTTGATCTGGATCCCGGTTGCCATCATCAGCTGGTCGCCCATTGAGATTCTTAACTGGGTCTTCGTGGGCGTCGGTTTCGGCCTGTCCGTCGCCTTCCTCGTCCGCAACATGTACCCCGTCTTGAGCGCGACCGACTTCCAGGTCAGCAAGGTGCTCCTCATACTCGTGGTGCTCCTCCACGCCGCCCTGTCACTCACCATCAAGATCCTGTTCTTTGCCCACGGCAGTCCGGTGGCCAGGGCCCCTGGCGAGGGCGGTCCCGACAATCAGACGGGCGAGAAGACGCCAAGTATGTTTTAGGCTGGGCCCGGCACCAGGGGCGGCGGCGGGCGTTGAAGTCGAGGCGAGTACGGTATTTCCAGCCTGGAGAAGATGGACGCTGTATCGAGAGAAACCTGCGCGCCACTGCGCTAGACGAATTTCATACAAACAATGCTCAAGTTGGTAGAACGCATGCATCTTGATCCTTTGTGATGGCCGCCCGAATGGCTGGCTGGCTGCCCATCCCGTGCCCTTCATCCTTGTCGAGGCCAACTTCATGTCTCGGGGGAACGTGCCAACTTTTCAAGGCCTACCAGCCTAGGCCGAGTGGGCATGCACCAAGCCAATGTATGTAGGCCAGGAAAACTGGCATTCTTGCATCAAGCCCCGCGCTCCCTGTTTCTTTCCAGCCTTTTCTCGGGCGCCGCCTCTTCAGGCTCCGGCGGCACCCTCTCGACGGGCCCGGCGCGCTCCTCCCACTCGAGCCAGCTGCCCGGGTACTCGCCGACGCTGGGCCAGCCGGCGCGGCCGGCGAGCTGGGCGGCGGTGCGGGCGCGCACGCCGGCGCGGCAGTAGAAGACGAGGTGGGCGTCGCGCGGCTGCGGCCGCGGCTGGAGGCTGTGCTGGCGCGCGAGCTCCTCGTTGCCCGGCTGCTCAACGACCTGGGCCGCCGTCATGAGGGGCATGTTGACGGCGCCGGGGATCTTGCCCGTGGCGGCCAGCTCGTTGTATTCGCGGACGTCTGCTCTCGCTCGCCAGAGCAAGGGAGGGTCAGCGGCTTCTTGCTTCCGAGGGGAGTGAGCCCGAGAGATGGGGGAAAAGGGTGGGTGGGTGGGGGGTGGCTCACCGATGAAGACGACCTTTTGCTGCCCTTTTGACGGAGGCCCGCGTGAATTCACCTCGACCTGCCGCTTCACCTCGTCAAACGTCCAGATGCGGCTGCCGCTGGGGCTGTCATTCTCCGCGCCGTCTGCGCCACTGCTGCCGAGCGAGTACCAGCGACGGGGCAGCGCCGGCGGCGAGGCGGCCCGGGGGCTCGCAAAGGTGCGCGTCGTCGCCGCGGCCGGGGCGACGATGCCGACGAGGGCCTGGCGCGCCGGCCGTCGCAGCGGCAGCAGCAGCCGTCGCAGCGCCGGCGCCGTGGGAGGGGCCGCGAGAGCTCGTCGGGCTGCCGTCATGGCTGGCCGCGTTCGATTCGACGTCTTGTGTATGTGGGCGGGTGTGGGCGTGTGTGGGCGTGTGTGGGCGTGTGTGGGCGTGTGCGTTGGTGTGCGTTGGTGTCTGGCAAAGCGCAGCGTCGGCGTCACAGTTGAAGGGATGAGCTTAGATGTCGGCAAGTACAGACACCCCCTGCCAGCCGCGTGTGGCGCAAACGCGGCTGAACGGTGACACCATCTTGAGCAACAAGGATTACACGCGTGTGCCTCAACCGAGCTCCCTTCTTACTGGTGGCGATGCAAAGTGATGATCTGACAAGCCACGCTTGGATTCCGATGGCGTCTTACCACACAGATCGGATCCCGATACTCCCCCAGCCAGTAGCAGCAGCCTTCGCCAAAGTCCATCATCACTCTGACCCGACATCTATCCACGATCATCTCCTTCATTCGCCATCTGGCTCCGTCGGTCGTCTCGTCCATGAGCGAGGCGCCGCGCAGACCGTGGTAGTGAAAAGCAGTAAACGAAGCTGTAAGTTATGTACATTTGGTGTGCGAGCATTACAATTAGATACCCATTAAGTCGCCCCTTGATGCGCCTGCCCGCCGTGAGGTCGTTGTCGGCCCCGGGCATTAAGCTTCTATTATCGATTGTCGGTCGCCCCGCCTCCCCTTTTCGCAGTCCCAAAGGCGGACCGAGCTTCCCATGTGATTCCCTGCCTTTGCTTGGAACAAGTCGCCCCAATCTGTACCTGACTATGACTCCTTCAGAGTCTCGGCCGACGGCGATTGGCGTCTGCTGTCGCAGCGTACCATCATCTTCCGCCGAAACCGAGGGCGTCTGCATCGGTCACCACCTTACGGCTTTCGCTCCTCAAACGTGAGCGGGCAGTCGTCCTAGAGGCAAGGTTTTTAGTCATCTCAATGTCATGTGCTGGCAGCATGCCGAGCCCATCGTCACCTACCTTGGGGAAAATGGTCGCAAACACCTTAATCTCCTCCGACAGCGGCGTGGGGTGGTGAGTCCAGTTCAGCTGCACCGACGCCTTTCCGAGGAAAAGAGCGAGGTTGAGCTGCGCGTAGACCTGGCCAAGGCAGTAGTGAGGGCCGGTGCCGAATACCAGATAGTTCTTGGCCCCTTTGACCTCTGCGTCTCCCGAGTAGTATCGCTCCGGATCAAAACGGTCGGGATTCTCGTACACATCTGGGTCGTGGAGAGCCATGTACGTCGTGGGAATCAACATGGAACCTGCACGAGCCCCCCGTTAGTTATTGACGAGCCGACAGACTTGAGAAGCCTACCTTTGGGGACCGTGTACGAATCGGTGATGGGGAACGCCTTCTTCACTTCGTACGGAATCATGATCACCGGAGGGCGGTATCGGAGCAGCTCGCGAACGACGGCGCGCGTGTACTTGAGGGACTCGAGCTGGTCCATGTCGAGCTCGGCGTGAATGTCACCGTTGCGGACCTTGAGATTCTCCTCCCGGACGCGATCCAGGACGTCGGGTCGCTGGGCAGCAGTCTGGAAGAGCCAGGTGGCGGCGCTGCTGGTAGCATCCTGGGAGGCAAAGAGAAATGTGAAGACGGTCTGGGAAATCTCATAGTCGTTGAACATGCGCAATAGCGGGTACGGCTTCTCCATGCCCTCGCAGGTGCCATTGCTCTCGGCTTCGCGCCAGCGCTCCGAGTTGATCATCTGCAGAATCCAGCCGTCCATGATGCAGGTGATGTCGCCGCCAGCGGCCATCCGCACCTTGCTCTTGGCGGCACACTTGGCAAACTCAGCCAAGACCATGTCAGCAGCCTTTTTGCCGTACCACGTCTTGGTCCAAGGGATGATGATGGGAAAGTTGACGAGCTCAAGGGCGGCCGTGATGAGATAGTAGTCGTCGGCAATCTTCTTGACGGCCTCGTCCGAGATGTAGTGGCCGACAAAGGTGCGGCACGAGACGGCGCACATGAGCTCGCGGAACTCGGGCATGAAGGGGACGGGCTTGCCATCGTTGTTCTTTGTGACTTGGACAAACTTTTTGAAGTATCGCGTGTACACCTCCTCCTGGCCGGGCAGGTAGGTTTCGAGGGCTTTGCGGGTGAAGAGACCGTTGAGGCCCTTGCGAAAGTCAACGTGTAGCTTGCCGTCGAGGAAGACCCAGTTGTCGTGGCCGAGGAGCTTGTGGGCGACGTCGACGACGCAGGGCTTGACGTAGGAGGGCGAGTTGAGCACCTTGCGTGCCATGTCTCGGGTGGAGGCGATGACGACGAACCTGGCAGCGAGCGGAAGCTTGTCAGCGGAAAGGTCCGAGGCATTGCAGGCTCGCCGGCGATTGGAGAGAAAGGGCAGCCAGGCGCTTAGGGGGGGGAAGGGGGTAATACTTGTGGAAGACGGAGACGCAGCTCAGGGGCCCGCTAGCCCATTTGGCGTGATACTCTTCGAATTTGGGGTCAACGGACTGGAGAAAGGGGCCAATGAAGGGCATCTTCCACGAGGGTCCAACAATGGAGCCTTTGCTCATAACGTAGCTGACTGTTGGCGCGGCAATAGTCAGTCAGGTAGAGAGTTTTGGGGGAACAAGGACCGGGCGGCGCACTCTGATCGTAGACGATGCACATGGCGAAGAAAGTCAGGAGCAGGGTCCAGGGACTCGCGGTGACGATGGCCTCGAAGACATAGTCGAGCTGAGGGGGCACGGCAACGCCGACATACTTTGCATTGGCGAGGACCGAGGTGAAGGCAGACGAGGTGGACGAGGCGTTAACAGCGTCCATTGTGTCTGGCTGGGTGGCTGGAGGAGCCGTCTGGAGCTGGCCGAGTGTTGCTCGCGATCCGAAGGGTGAAGGCCAAGCAGACACGAGGAGCGGGGGGAGAGGAGGTGGGAAAGGAGGGTATTCGGGAGAGATAGGAGAGAGACAAGCGAGTGAATGATGAGAATTGAGCGGCCAGGAAGACAGAAGGGTGAGCCGGGGGTAGGCTTGGGAGGGGGGGACCAAAACCAGGGGGGTGGTGGGGGAAAGGGTACAGGTACGAGGAGGGTACGCGGCCAGACACAGGAAACGGCGCGAAACAATGCATAAGCAAGTTAAGGTATTTATTACTCTGTTCTTGTACGGCGGTGGAATGAATTGATCAAAAGTCGAGGAGCCAGTGTTTGCTTCTGCATGAATATTCTGACAGTAGACAAGACGGTTCAACTGGGAGTCTCCCATCCTCGTCCCTCGTATCTTCCCTCATCATTTACATGGTCCTCGACTTTCAACAAGGCGACGATTTTGAATGGCGTTTACGGTGATCGGGGTTCAAGACGCCGCCGATTCCGTAGGTACTGGAAAGTACTCGGTACTAAGGGTCTAGTACGGAGTACGGAGTATCCGCACCTGCACGTAAAACCACTTCAGGGACTAACACAATAGTGGGCGCCGGAGCTTCAGGGACTTTCTGAGATGTGGATCAAGTAAAAACAAAAGAAGAAAGGGCACACCAGCAGCAATTGACAGGCACCGGAGATCAATTGATCGAGGGGCCAAGACAAAACGTGAGCACTGAAATGCACAGCGTATAGCATCGGCGCTTGACCGACAATCATGAACAGGCCCCGCCATCTAGCAGCAGCCAATCTACTTTGTAGATGATGGCTCTCCGGGCCTCTGAAAAGTAGGTACCGACCTACCGACCGGTACGTAGGACCATTAGCGTCGACTGCCTTAGCACTTTAGTACCTTGCCTTAGCTTCTGGGTGCTACTTTGCTGCTGAATCGGGTTTCCCGCCGCTAGTCTCGGGCAACTTGTCGCGGTCGATGGAGGTTGACAGAAGTCGAAAACTCGGGGACGATCCAAGCTTTGCAAATGGCGAGCTGTTGGGGGCATCTGTAGGATGTATAGTGCCTCGAGCTCCGGACCGTTGGTTGCACCTGAGATGAGGAAAGACATGGGCAAAGAAAAGAAGTACATGGGTATTTTACATTGAGTGGTAAGTACCTTACACTGTACTTATTAAGCGCCGCCGGCAACCCGTCTATCCGGCAAGGAATAAACATGCCATTTTTCATCCAAAGCGAATACGGATACGGATACGCAAGAGTTGCTCCGAACTCCGACTCAGCGCTCTCCCGAAAGCACCGCTGATTTTAGTGCGCACTGCGCAGAGCACGGGAGAGAAACCTGCATCATGGAATTTCGAATACTGCAGTGAGTGACAAATCTGCTCAGGCGTGCTACGAAGATTCCGTGACTAGGTAGGCAAGATGCACGGGGCAGAGGCCTGCTCCGCTCCGGCCCCGGCTTCGGCCTCGGGGGCTGGCTGCCATGGACCGGATCACTCGAGATGGATCACGCCCGATGGATCACGCAGGGTTACTAGTGATGGCTTGTTATTCTCCGAGTACCCAAAGCTTGTCTGTTGGTTGGCCTGGAGTCTAGCCAGAGTGGCCTTTGGCTGGCGGAGTGTGGGGAGAGGAGCCTCAGGGAGGCCAAGCAAACACTCTGTTTAACATCTGCAAGTCGGCCTTCGTGCTGTGCGATTTCTTTGTAATGCACCAAAGATGATGGAAGAGTCGCGTGACCGTCGACCGAGGCGGCCACCATTGCATGGGGGGGAGACCGGAGAGCCAATGGCTCGACTCTGGCCAGGCCGAGGGTAGCAATGACGTCGGTCTATCCCTCTGTCTATCCCACTGTCTATCCCTCTGTCGGGACAGGCTCCGTCTGCTGATTCCAGCTGGTGCAACACGCTGCTGCCCACCAACGTCAACGTGCGGGTACCCCTGCACTGTGCTGTAGGTCCTACTCAAGCAGCGATGGCTTGGGCACCCGTCGAACTCGTCATGTCTTTTCCCCCTCACCATCGACTCTGCCAGCAACTCTACCGACATTGCCATCGCCAGACTCGTCGACTTTCATCAGCAGCAACCCCTCCCAAGATGCCTTCCTACATTGTGAGTCTTGCTCCCCCCCCGCCTCGGGCACGGCATGCATCTAACCTTTGTCGCGCTCCCAGGTCAAGCTCAAGGACGACGCGACCCCAGAGCAGGTCCAGGCGTAGGCGCACCCTCCATCACGTCTCGCTCATTTTGTCTGACTCGGACGGGGAGCAGTGCCAAGCAGCATGCCAAGGATCAGGGCGGCACCATCGGCCACGAATACACGCTCATCAAGGGCTTCTCGTAAGCCCCCTTCTCCTTGTCTCCGGGACTGCCTGGACCTGGCTGATGCGCGCACCCGGCAGCGTGTCTTTCCCAGAGGGTTCGGTGCAGTCTCTCGAGAAGAACGAGCACGTCGAGACCGTCGAGCTTGATCAGGAGATGAGTACGCAGTGAGAAGCGGACTTGGGGGGCTCGCCGGTATAGCCAGTCCAATAGGCTGATGAATTTGGAAACGCATTCGCCTTTGCATCTTGTCGCATGTTGCTTGGGATGGGGTAGCGAGTGCAAGCTGCCCCTCTTCACCCCCCCTCGTTCCCCACGGGGTTCCTGCAAGACGGCGTGACGTAATCCAAGCCATAAAAGCCGTATTACTACTATTTGCCTGAGACCAAATCCCTATTCGGCCAAGTGTCCCTTACAATCTCCTCTTTTAATTGGTTGTGTGGCGCCTTAGTCAGCCCAAAAAAAATTCCCAGGTATCTTTATACTTATACTCGTCTTACACGTCGCGCTCACCTCGCGCGGGGGACAAACCCCTATAGTAGGGTTCCCCTACTGGCTCGGGCGCTCGAGTACGCTATTTCGTAGTTAGAGCTGTCTAGGATTTTTTTCAGTATTTATTAAGGAAAAGGTACGGCGGCAGCTTTCAAAAGTCGTTGCGGACGCTAAAATGACCCCTGTATAGAAAAAGCAAAACGTACTAAACTTCTCTAGCTCTCCGTCTACATATTCCCTCTTAATACTAAGAAGGAGCGGCCGCAAAAAAATAGGCCTTAATAGAGCGAATTCCTTAGTATATAAATAGTTATTACTATCTCTTATAAAATAAAGATAAGTATCCGTACAGAGTATTATAACCTAGTAGTTAAAGAAGAATTATAGATAGAAAATAAGAAGTATATAAGAAGACGATTTAGTACTTACGTATTTACGTATTCTTTTCTTTTCTTTTTCTTTATAGGGGGTAATTTTAGTGTCAGCAACAACTATTGAAAGCTTCCTCCGTAAAAGAGAGCATATATAAGATCTTCGGGGGCGATATTACGGTACCCCGCCTTTTTGCCGGTATTACGTAGCCGAATAGAGATTTTGGTCTTGGGCAAACAGTACTTATAGTAGTACTTATAGTAGTACTCTAAAAGCCTCGACCTGTCTTCCCCCCATGGACAACAGAAAAGCCCCCGTCTGACGGCCAGCCTCGGCTGAACAGAGACCAGGCGATGGGGGGATAGACAGAGATACATTTGACTTTGATTCGTCCGTCGATGTACGTTCCGGCACTGGGTAAGAGCGCCATTGATGCCCGCCATTCATTGGCTCGGCGATGCGGCTCGTCACGGCAGATGAGAGCCAGATAGTGCTTAACTCACCTAAGATAGGCGGTACTCGGCCGAGACACTACACCACTAGAAAAGATACACGACAAGATCTAGAGGTCCACGCCCTCAAGTCATGTACTGTACCATGGATGCACGGCGAGCCCTGAAGTCCCCTTCTATCTGCGGTACCCCGTCCTGTATTCCCACTTTTGCTTTGCACGACTCTCCGCAACAACCGCAACAACACTCTTCCATCCAACCTCGCTCCGAATCCTTCCTCTGCCGCCAGCCTTGCTCTCCCCCACCCCCACCCCCCGGTCTACCGCAGTTCAGAAGAAGCACACGAGGCGCCTCGACGGCAAGGGCCTGCCTGTCCTCGTCCAGCCAGTCTCCCTTCGCTGGCCTGCCCCGACCCCGCCATGCCGTCATGAAGGCCCTGTCGAGACTGCCGTCGACGAGGTTCGGTCGTCCTCGAGGGACGTGGCCGTTGCCGTTGCCGCAGCCCCCTCGGATCCGTCAACGGCGTCCCTTTTCCATCTCGGGTCCCGCCCGGTCTCCCCACGCCGTCTCGGATGCTGAGATTGCCGCCCTCGCCAGCCAGCACCAACGCTCACTCAGCCTCGCCGATCTCGTGAGGTTCGTCTTCCCCCACCTGAGAGACTGAGAGAGGGATCTTGACATGAAGCAGACACGGACGCCCGCCCCTGTCGGAGAAATCCCTCCTCGCATCCGCCAACTTTGCCCTCTCCCTGCTGCCCATCCGCCTCGCCCGCCGCATCCAGTCGCTCCGCAACCTCCCCTATATTGTCGTCTCCAACCCAAACATCTCGCGCATCTACAACAACTACCTCCACTCGCTCTCCATCCTGCTGCCCTACTGGCACGCCGTCTCCCAGGGCCGCCCCATCTCCTCCCTCGACGACGAGATCCGCTTCACAAACGCCCTCGCCGACCTCGTCGCCACCCACACCGACACCATTCCCATCCTTGCAAAGGGCTTCCTCGAATGCCGCCGCTACATCTCCCCCGCAGAGGTGACGCGCTTCCTCGACGAGCACCTGCGCGCCCGCATCGGCACCCGCCTCGTCGCCGAGCAGCACATTGCCCTGCACTTTAGCAGCCAGCCGCACTTTGCCCCAGAGGCCAGCCCCACGCCCTGCCCCGAGGACCCCTCCTACATTGGCGTCATCGACACCGCCCTGCGGCCCGCCCACATCATCGACTCGTGCGCCGGCTTCGTCGCCGACATCTGCGAGCTCCGCTACGGCTCCCGGCCCCAGCTCTGCCTCGATGGCGAGCCCGACGCCACCTTTGCCTTTGTCCCTACCCACCTCGAGTACATTGTCACCGAGCTGCTCAAAAACGCCTTCCGCGCCACCGTCGAGACCAGGTCGCGCGAGCCCGTCGTCGTCACCATCGCCCCCGAGCCCCCGCTCAAGCACCAGCCCGGCGGCGTGCCCCGCATCCAGACGTCGGCCCAGGACCGCGGCCTCTTCCGCTCCGACGCCATGCGGCCCCTCGATGACAACGCCCCGGGCGTCACCGTCCGCATCCGCGACCGCGGCGGCGGCATCCCTCCGGACGTCCTCCCCCACATCTGGTCCTACTCCTTCACCACCTTTTCCGACTCCGACGCCGATGCAGACTTGCCCGGCTCCGGCGTCGACGGCCTCGCCGCCATCAGCTCCGCCGGCGCCGGCGGCAGCTCCATCGCCGGCTTAGGCTACGGCCTGCCACTGAGTCGCGCCTACGCAGAGTACTTTGGCGGCGGCATCGCCGTCCAGAGCCTGTACGGCTGGGGCACCGACGTCTACCTCAGGCTCCGGGGCGTCGGCACCGTCGATACGTACGAAGGTTAGATTGCGTACGCGTGGCTGCGTGGCATCGACACACACACACACTAGCATCTATTCATGTATATATCTGTCGCGGGCAATAGGCGTCAAGCTGTCCTGGCAAGCCTTCAAGGTGGCAGCACGAGTAAAAAGGACAATAATGCACTGGCATTCAAGGAGAGTCTGTCACTTCCCATCACCTATATCATCACGTCATTTGCACGCCATAGGAAGTAGCCCCCTCTCACCAAATAACAGCCCCCCGAAGCCCATATCTCGGAGCAAACAGTAATGGAGAATAAAAATGTAATAAAAAAAAGAATGCCAGGAGAAGAAAGGGACCACGACCAAATCGCAAGGCACGCGTGCTGCTGCTTATTCAACACTCTCCACGCAAGGCTGCTTGCCCCATCCATTACAAGTTGCAGAGAAGGGAAAGGACAATATGACAGCCTTATTTCCAACAACGCCCGTCACGCAAAATGCATCCTCAAGTGCTCGAGATTGACCCCCTAGGGCATCCAAGCCTCCCGAGTCCAAGATCAAAGACAAATGTACACGTGTGCCCACCAAGGCCTGGATAGGTTCGGACGCATCACGCCCCGCTACATGTTCTCCAACTCACGGTCGATTTGGCGGTCCATAAAGGTGCGTCGCTCGCCGACAAGCTCCGTCTGCAGTCGCTGCTCGACAAGCGCGCGCACCTGCTTCTTGGTCACAGTATCCAAATCGACCTCGCGCAGAACGGACTGGATGGCCTCGACAATGGCCGTGTCATCTGCGCTCACGTGGCCTCGTTGGAAGTCAAACGACGTCGTCGACTGCATACCTTCGGCTCCCATCGGTGGACGATGGCCGCCCACAAAGCCAATGGCTGAGGTGGAGCGGTTTGCAGGGCCACCAAACGCGGGAGACAGGTTGGAGATACTGCGCGTCGTCATCATGCTCGGTCGACCCACGGGAATGTCTTGGTAAGGCGACTGGCTTCGGTGCATGTCATGAATGGCAGTGCCCATGGACATCATCGACTGGCGTCGCATCGACGCCGCCGCCGCATCATGGTAAGGTGCATTTATGGTAGAGACACGATTCGCCTGGCCAAAGGCGGGGGACTTGGGGGGCATAAACGTGTTGCGCCCACCCATGCCCGTCAGGACGGAACCTTGCGGCGCTGCTGAGTAGACGGACTTAATTTCATCCATTTCGTACTGGTCGCCATATCCGTAATCGTGCTTTTCCTGATACCCGCCGCGGCGGCCGGGCAAGTTATTGGCAAACGCGTAGTCATCCCATCGCTGGAGCGGAATCGACCGAGGATCAAAGCCCTCGTCATCGACGGCGACGACTTGCTTGCTGCCCTTTTCGCCAATGACAACACGGGTGTTGCCCCACGTGAAGTTGTCCTGGTTCCAGAAGGAATAAATGGGCAAAACGAACGAGTAGATGGGGAAGGCGAGGATGTAGATGATCATCCACCCAATGTGCTGCCATTGCCGCTTCAGAATAAACACCAGGGCCTGCAGGCCGTACACGGCAGCCAACATGACGATGGAGATGAGCGGAAACTGTCCCGTGTGCGAGGCAACTCGGTAGATCAGGTAGCCGAGATAGACACATGTGGCGGGGAGAATGATTGTGCCGAAGAGGTCGATGAAGACAACAAAGCGCATGCTGAAGCAGCAAAAGCCACACATCTCCTTGAGCCGCATAAGCTCAACAAGGTTGTGGATCGTCGAGTTGATCCATCGGCGTCGTTGCGACACGAGCACACTCCACGACTCCGGAGCGGCAGTCTTGCATTGGGCATCTGGAACGAACTTGTAAGCCATGTACGGGAAGTACTTGGTCATGAGCGTTGTCAGGTAACGATCTTCGCCGAGGGACAGCAGGTTCTTCTGGTGAAGCGTGTCGACGTCGCACACGCTGTAATCCTTGATGACGGCATCCGAGATGATGAGCGGTTTGCCCTTGTCAGCGGTCCGCAGTCGGTACATGGAGAAACTGGAGGCGGCTGTTAGTTGCGAGCCCGGAACAGCCGGGGGAGCAGGGATTGAGTCAAACATACCATCCCGGTAGACAGGTAACGCTCCCAAAGAGAGACTCGAAAGCCTTTGCCAGGTGATGAGAGATGAAGTACTCATACACCTGAATCATGGTCGTCCAGGACTGTTCATCGTTTTCCAGGCTCGTTTCACCGCATATGCCGGCAATCTTGGCATTGTGGGCGCAGGCGGAGACCAGTCGATTGAGCGAGTCTTCGCTGACTGACGTATCGGCATCGACCATCAGGAGGTACTCATACAGCTCCGGATCTACCCCAATAATGTTGTTGACTTGGTGGAACATTTCGAGCTCTAGGGGGCTCATGGGAGCGCGGTGATGGACGCGGTTGAGGAAGCTCATGAGCAGGATTTGTGAATCTCGCTTGCCACGGTTGCCGGGCTTCGGCTTCGACTGCTCAGATTCTTTACCCACCTTGACCACGACCAGATACGGTACGACGTTGCCCTCAAACTCGTAGAGACCAGAGTAGACTTTACCGTAGTTGAGCTGTGCACTGCCGGGACCAACAGACTTGAAGGGGAGAGCGGGCGGGTCGACCTTGGGATCAACGCCCAAGATGTCCAGCACAATCTTAGGAGTCGGCCGGTCATTGCCTTGGCCGACTATGACGCCGTCGCAGATGACGCAAATCAGCTTTCGTTTATTGTCGTACTGCAAGGCAGTGAGCGAGTCCAGTGCTTTGCGCAGTGAGTCCTCGCCTTCCGTGTAGGCGGGAACCTGACAGATGACAAACTTATCCTGTGGCGATGGACGGCGTTTCGAGGTAAACCTCAAGGCCGAGACGAACTTGATGAGAACCACGGCGCAGACCATGATGGTGAAGGCCAAGAGGATCCAGTTGTTGACGGTGCACCTCGGCGTCTCGCGGAAATCAGTCATGCCTTTGTAGAAGGCTCTCTGGATGCAAAGCCAGCTGTTGACGATCTTGGCGTGTTCGGCCGAATCAGACGTAGAATCCCGGATCACGCCGTCGAGCATGTCTTTGATGTCCTGGCCGGGATTGTTCCTCCAGAGGTCGCTGACCTTGGCGTGCAGAAACTTGTACATGTCGGTGTTGAGAAACACGTCCTGGGTGTGAAAGTAGTCGGTGAGATCATAGATCTGGTCGCCATACCGAGCCCACATGTGCTGCACATCGCTGTTGCCCTCTGATTCGACAAGGCGTTGGCTGTAGACCAAATCTCCGTGATAGAATTCCTTGATGGTCGGCGTGAAATCAGTCCAGTACCAGTCTGTCTTGTGCAGAGCGCTGACGGGGTTCGGCTGGAAGTAGCCCGAGGTGTGGACCGCCGTGGTAAACTCGGGCGTGTTGTTCGCTTGCAAACGAGTCGTCTCCTTGATTCCAAGGCCCTGGCAGGCGGCGCTCAGCGGAATCGGAAAGTAGTCGTCCATGTTAAGCCCAGCCAGAGGCAACATGTTCTCCTTGTTGGTCTTGATGTCTGTGTCGCTATGCTGTCGCTTCCAGAACTTGGATATATCGTAGACCTTGCCGTGAATGCTGACCCAAAAGTCATCCTCACCCTGGTGCGAAGCCACCTCTGTTGTACTCCAGGCCTTGTCAAAGTTGGGACATAGGAGCCGGCCGAAAGCAATGATCCAGAAGATGATGATGGCGTTGATGAGGAGAATGACGAAACACAATACCAGCTTCTCGCGCCAGGCCATGCGAACGTCTGGCCTCCGCATCCGACCGACGAAGCGAAGCAACGGCGAGGGGATCCAGAATGTGAGGGCCCACACAATGGAGACCCAGACTCGACGGCCAAAAGTCACCTCCTTGGTCTGAATGTGCTTGTTCTTGGCGAGCTCGGGGTCCATTGTGCCTGTGAACTCGCCTTCTTCGCTGTAGTAGACATCCCCCTTGTAGGTGTCGCCTTTGGCGCCAAGGCCATAGTCGCCGTTGCTGACGTTGCGCATCGCAGTCGGCGCGAGGGAGGGTGCCGGGTTGGGATTCAGCGTCATCTGGCTGACGTTGCCCTGGCTGAAGTTGCGATTGTGGAGCAGCTGATCATTGCTCGCATTCATGTTGGCGTCCATGCCGTGCGACGGGAAGTAGCCAGTGCCACCAACCGAGTAGCCGGTATCGAATCCTGTTCCAAAGGGATTGCTGTGAGGGGGTTGCATGGCCGGGTGGCCGGTCCCGGGCTTTAGATCAAGCATGCTTTCCGCCTCCCACCAAGCGCTCTCTCGCATCCAGACACGCTCCTTGCCGACAAAAACCTCGCCGTTGCTCCAGCCGCGCTCGAGCATCCAGCTTTCGATGCCATCCTTGCCGTCTCTGCAGCCGAGGGCAGAGTAGCGTTGAACGAACTCGTCGACATCGAAATCAGCAGTGAAATCGAGGCTCCGGTTCCGTCGGTTGGCCCACTCGGGAAGCCTCCATGAGCGGAGCTGACCGGATACCGTGCCGGCCGACCAGGCCGAGGTGACGGAAGGCAGGCCGGCGAGCTGTGCGGGCGAGTCGTCCGTAGGGTGCAGGCAGAGGTGATACCACAGGCGATTCGAAGCGAGCACCGCGGGCAAGTCAAGCCTGCCAGCACGGCCAAGGTTGATGCCTTCGCCTTGGATGGGGAAGAGCAATTTCTTGAGGAAACCACCCGATTCCGCAAAAAAGGCGATCTTCTCGAGGACCAGCTCTCGCTTTTCGAGCTCATACTGGCGCTCTCTACCCTCGGGCCCCGTCATGATACCAAGGTCCGGTGCGACCTCTGACACGGCCTGCTGCATCTCGCGCAGGACGGAGGAGCCGGCCGGAGGTGCCTGTACGCCATCCGCTATCATCTCGGCGTTGATTCCTTGGGAGTCGTCGAAGATTGAGCGCATTGACAATGCCTTGCCGAGAGTTGCACGGGGGATCTCGATGACCGTCATGGTAACAGTGTCCCCGGACTTGTCCTCGTTCGAGGTTGGGGTTCGCACTTGGCGCCCGTCAATCGACTCGGCTCCCGACCGAACGCGCTCCATTTGCGCGGCAACGGCCTCGTTGGCTTTGGAAATGACCCAGTCGACCAGCGATTCGTAAAGCCCCCCGACAAATGTCCAGCGATCCTCGGTGCTGCATTGGTTGACGAGCACCTCGGGCTCAAGACCCAGAAGGCCGCTGACATCTTCACATATCTCCGCCAACGTCTCGGATTCGATGCTGTAGTCGAGCGTATTGCCGAGCTTCAGCAGGCCGGCGAGAGTGGAGATGAAGTCGCGGTGGGAAGAGCCCTTGATGCCGATATCCTTGAGCGCTTGACGGAAGTCGTCGGCGGAGGCCGCATCATCGGCCGCGGGAAGATACGGGGGCGGAGCATACGTTGAAGACCGAGCCAACAACGTGTAGGTAGAAGGGCTGCGGAGGCCGAGGAACTCTCGCTCGGCGGGCGTCGAGGCGGAGGTGAGAAGATAGTAAAATATGTCAAAAGCGCGATAGCCGGCCTCGGGTGGAATCTTGAGCAGGCCATTGACGGTGTCGATGCCTCCTTGCGACAAGGCGAGGGACGCTGCGGTCAGATTTCCACTAAGGCTCAGAGAGAGCGTGACGCCGAGAGCAGCCTGTCTCGGGGCAGACGGGTTGTACGGCGTGATGCATCGAACGAAGGGCTGGACTGCGTCCAAGGCCTTGTGGAGAGTTGACGGTACGGCGAAGGGGAAGCTGGAGAGGAAAGGAGCCAGCACAGAGGGAGTCGACTGATGGAGCGAGCTAGACGGATGCATGTGTGAGTTCAACGGATCCCACGAGTTCCGGAGCGCAGGCTATACATACCCCAAGACGACACAGCCGTCTTCGGCACGTCGGCGGGCGTGCTCCCAGGCCCTGACGGCCAGTGAAGCGTCGACGGTCGGGCCGCCTCGCGAAGCGGTAAGCCATGTGTTGACTACGAGGCTCGTGCTGGCATCGAGCTGGTGGGCTTGAGAAGCAAGGTAGATGTTGTGGGTGGCATTCAAGAGGGTCGTTGTTGAGACCTGGGCAGTCTGAGGCCCTCCAGCGCGGGAACTGCTCGGGGAGTCGGAGGTGGCCGAGAACATTGACATTCTGTTCGCCATGGTTGGCCAAGGCAGGGTCGGTGATGTCCTCGAGGGACAGTCACCAGCCGAGCAGAGTGGTAAGGCCGCCTTGAGGGGCCGTAATTGTCGTTTGCCGCCTCCTCGGAGCGGTGGCGACACCGGGCGACTTTGGTCGATCGTCAAGGACGGGTCAATGGACCGCAGCGTGGGCGAGAAGATGAGTAACGGAGAGGTTGATTATGGGCCACAGAACGTCACTCCTGTTGCCGACTTGAGCGACTCCTGGTTGGGAGGGCGCGTGTCGTGGTGAGCAAACAATGGAGGTGGATGCCGCCGAAGCGAGTGAGGCAGACGTGAGCAGCACGACGAGTTAAAACAGAGGCGAAACTGTCGACGGATTTCTCCCAGGGTAGGGAGGCAATCTCGAACCTCGACTGTCTGCGGAGAGAAGAGGCAGCGGGCGGGTGTGAGATGCGCACAGGAATACGGCGGGCCAGACAGACCAAAGATGCAGACAAAGGGGACAAGTGACAAGGCTTATTGTCCCTTTTTCGTTACTAAGTTGACCCCCTCAGGGTGCGGCCACTGAGAAAAATTGCCCCGCCGCTCGTATCGGGAGCATGCGCTCACACACACCACACTTACCAGCAGAGGCACGTGTACTTGGTACCTTCCGTGCCCGTTCTTCGTAGCTGGAAGCTCTCACGCATCGCGCGCCGGCCAGGAACTCACGACGCGTGTGCGGTGCCGGCATTTACACGCCATCAGGTCAAAGTCGGGCTCCATAGTGCGAGAATAGCAGCGGCCAAATACCGATAGATGACGGCGCATCTTTTGTTCATGCCAGAATTCCTAGCTGTCCATTAGTCGGTAGTTCTCGGTACCGTGGGCTAAAGTAGCGGGCTCCCGCGTCCGCAAGCCCCTGATTGGCCAGCTGCGGTGCGCACGCAGGCGGCTACTGTACAGCTTCAGCTGCTCGAGCGACGAGGAGTGTTTTTTTTTCCTCACCGGAGCACTACCTACGTAGGTAGGTAGGTATTACCGTACTACCTATATCTAGGTACGTATATCTCTTCCAGCACACCACTGCTGATCGAGCAGGCAGTCCATTGGTGCCCCCTGCTAAGGCACGCAGTACTCCGCAGGTTGCCTCGCCTTACTCGTGCAGGGGGGTTGCTTGGAGGGGGGGGAGATCGGGGGGGTGAGGGGGCTCGCACTGTCCGCGTGCGCGGTCGAGAAACTTGGCATGTGCTCTCACAAGTTTATTTCCTCCATTAGACCGTTACCGTTCCCGCGGCGCATCGATGGGATGAGTGGCGTGAAACTCGCGCGAGCCGGATCAATGGAGATACCGGAGCGAGGCGACAGTAATGACCTTGGTAGCAGCAGAGCCGGTCGCCTTAACGGAATTGACGTCTGAATGTGAAAAGCCCCGAGCGGTGGGAGACGAGTGTTTTGTTGTTTGTTTTGACCAGGTACGCAATTGTTTTCGTCGACAGACAGATGAGGCGCCTTCCCCTTCTTGGCAGGGACACGCGGGCACTGTGAGGAACCAAAATACTCTGGCAGCTGCAGTCTCCGTATAGTACAGAGCACTTCGTCGAGCCTGACGGCGGCGGCCAGGTACGAAGTACATGGGATACGAGTGAGCGGCGCAGGATACGGGCTTGGAAAGCGGGCTCGTATCCGGCGAGGCTGTGCCACGCCCGCCTGTGGCGAAGAGTTGAGGCGTAAACGAGCTTCGACGACGGGCATTGTTGGTTTATAGCCGTACAGTATTAATTACCAACCGCACCCCCGATACGATCTTTTCTACGGAACACCTACAGTACCGGTACAGTACTCACCCACCCACCCACAGCACGAAATGCGTGGAGCAGCCGAGGCCGCAAGGGGCTATATTTAGTGCCGTGGAAGCCGACGTGGACCGTCTCGTTGTCATGTGATGCGTGGCTGGACTGGCACCTACCCGGTACTGAATACACCTTAATTACAGCATTGGTCTTGTTAACAAGTGGTGAGGATGCATGACTTTACTTGCATCAGCTGAGATAGCGTAGGTCCAGCCAGCTAACCCGATCAGCTAGCTGGAAGGCTTTCTCATCTCAGGCACGGTGACAGGAACAACGCAACGTAACCGCACAGACACCCGGGCACGTTCCGCTGCCGGGTCGCACTCCGTGTCCAAGGCGGCGAGGCCCGGCAAAGAAGAAAAATTAGCTGTTCTCTCGCCCCTTCCGCTTGTCTTTTCCCTTTTTTCCTTCTTCTGGGGTTCTCCCTCTTCTCTGCGCCCACAGGACTGAAAAGAAAATAGAGAGCTTTGACGCGCCGAGCGAAACCAACATCATCAATGCTCTGTACTGTACTTACTTCGTAGAAATATTAGAGTGTGGTAGCTCAAGGTGCATAGGTAGCTTCCGTCAACCGCAAGCGTCGTCCCCTTTGGCTCGGCAACGACGTAGTAACGATATACGTAGTAGTAGTCAGATAGATCGAAGAGAGGGGAAAAACTCAAGTCACACAAGTACCTATGTACTGTAATACATACAGTACTCGTACAGCTCGGGAAAATGGGGACGGGGTGATGGACTGGCAGTTCAACTACCAATTACACGAGACACTGGTAATTACTATGACAATGCAACGAGAACAAAGGCCCAACTGCTGCTGACAAGTGACCCCGCGCCAGTAAGGCCACCTTCTAGGGCCAGCCAGTTACACGGCCTGAGTATCTCACTAACAGGCGGTCCCCCAAAGCAAGTGCCGAAGTCGCGGCGTGAACATAAAGGAACACCTTTCTGTCTCAAATCATCTGTCTCAGAGCTCGCCCATGTCCCTGTCCTCCGTCCCAGCGCCTGCAACCGTCACAGTGAGCAACGGCCCGCGGACGCCACTCCCTGTGTGTGTTTCTGCGTGCACTGTACAGTAATACGAGGAGCAAGGGACAAAGGACGTGCGCCTGCAAACAGATTGGCCCTGGCAGCCGCCGCCCTGTCGGTACGCCATCGACGTCCGTTTGGCGGTTATCGGGGAGAGAGAGGGAAACGCTCGGCCAACTCGTGTGAAGGCAGATGCCGTGCGAAACGCAGAGCGGGGTTGGCCCGAGTCGGACACGGCGAACAAAATAGAATAGAGCGCAAGAGAGACACAACACCGCGCCTGAGCCTGCATGGTTGAGCCGTTCTGCTGTGCCACTCGACATTCCCGCCAGCGCACCCTCGCATTCCCCCATCGCGTACGGAGTACCAGTACCTGGTCTGTAAGATCTGCTGTCGCGCTCAGGGGCATGTACCTGATACCCGGCACCTACCCCGACCCCGGCCCGGCTAGAGGCGAAAATGGCCGTCCACCCCTGGTACCGCGTACAAGTAAACTGATGCAAGCGACGCGCGCAGTGCTCGAGGTGCCTGCACTCCTGGTCCGCTCCGCCCGCCGCACATTTCTCAGCTCCCCGGCAAGGGGCCCCCCTCCGAGAGGCAAACATCAAATCATCCCCTTTCCCCCAATTGTGCAATCACCGTCCTCGCGTCTAGTGGCCGTGGTTTGGGAGCCCTATGCCGGCGTCAATGTCTCTCTGCCTCTCCTCCCACGCTCGCTTTGACATCTGAAGCCTCTCGTTGATCTGCCTCGATTTCGCTTGGCCCCAGATCTGAAACCCGGCCTCTTTCTCTCCTCGCTCTCACCCTCACCCGCTCTCTCCTGTCGAGCCGCCGTTGTGCAGCCCGCCGTTCGTGTCACGACCTCGTCTTTTCCTCCGTCACATCCACCGCTTATCGCTGCCGTGCTTGACCCCGACGCGCCCCCCGACTCGTCGTCCACCCCGGGGCTCGTGTCGGATCCGTGCCCATCATGGCCACGACTCTCCCCCCTCTGGGAGCCGGCAGCGGAGGGGCACATACCCAACACTCGCTCCCCTCGTTGCCGGCACATCTCCAGTCGGATACTCACATCACTGGCCACCTGGCCAGCCGCTTTCACGTCTCACACCCCACCGCCAGGCTCTCATCGCATGGCCTCATCTGCCTAAACACCTACACGTCGTCTACCAAAGGCCCCGATGGCGGTAAAGCCGGCAGCGCCATGGCCGGCGCCGAGGACATGGCTGCTCGCGCCTGGCTGAGGCTGGGACATCGATCCGAGAGCCAGGCCATCGTCTTTCTGTGAGTATTGCCTTGCCCAGTTCTATATCCTACCCGCTGCCTTCTCACACGCATCAGCGGCGAGTCTGGATCCGGCAAGTCCACTGTCCGCAACCATCTCCTCTCGGCTCTGCTTGACAAGTCGTCTACGCCCCTGTCGACTAAGCTCTCTCTGGCCGCGTATGTCTTCGACACCCTCACCACCACTAAGACCGCCACTACGCCCACGGCTTCCAAGTCCGGTCTCTTCTACGAACTGCAGTACGACACTTCGAGCACCACCAACCCAGTCCTCATCGGCGGCAAGGTCCTGGATCACAGGCTGGAGAGGAGCCGCATCACCGATGTGCCGACTGGCGAGCGAAACCTCCACATTCTCTACTATCTCTTGGCCGGCACTAGCGAGGCCGAGAAGACCCATCTCGGTCTAGATGGCGCCAAGAGGTGGAAGTATCTCGGACATCCAACCCAGCTCAAGGTAGGCATCAACGACGCCGACGGCTTCCAGCTTTTCAAGAGCGCCTTGAGGAAGCTTGAATTCCCAAGGGGCGAGATTGCCGAGATTTGCCAAGTCTTGGCCACTATTCTGCATATCGGCCAACTCGACTTTGAGACGACCAGCAACACCAGCGCCACCGGTGATGACAGCGGCGGCTTTTCCCACGACGGCGGAGTCACGACCACGACGGTGAAGAACAAGGATGTCCTCGCCATTGTTGCCGCCTTCCTCGGCGTCAGCACCGGTGACCTGCAGAGCACCCTGGGCTACAAGACCAAGATGATCCAGAAGGAACGCGTGACCGTCATGTTGGATCCTAATGGCGCCCGTGCCCATGCCAACGAGCTGGCCCGGACCCTGTACGCCCTCTTGGTCGCCTGGATCATCGAAAACGCCAACCAGAGGATCTGCGCTCCCGAGGAGAGCATCGCCAACACGATTTCGCTCGTCGATTTCCCGGGTTTCGCCCAGCAGTCGTCGACGAAGTCGACCTTGGACCAGCTCCTGAACAATGCAGCCACCGAGGCAATCTACAACATGACGCTGCACAACTTTTTTGACCGCAAGGCCGAGATGCTCGAATCGGAAGAGGTCAGCGTCGCTCCCACGAGCTACTTTGACAACTCCGATGCGGTCAAGGGCCTGCTCAAGCCTGGCAATGGCCTTCTGAGCATTCTCGATGACCAGACGAGGCGGAACAGAACCGACATGCAGCTCCTAGAAAGCCTGCGAAAGCGCTTCGAGGGCAAGAACCCGGCCATTGAGGTCGGCGCGGCCACAGCCAAGTTGCCGGGCAGCAATTTCCTGACCGAAAACACGGCTGCTTCCTTCACCGTCAAACATTTTGCTGGCGAGGTCGACTACCCCATCAAAGGTTTGGTCGAAGAGAATGGCGAAATCATCTCCGTTGACCTGTTGAACATGTTCAATGCGACTAAGAGCGAATTCGTCGCCAAGCTCTTCGGGCAAGATGCCTTGAAGACCATCTCCCACCCTAGTGAGAAGACGGCAGTCTTGCAGGCCACGGTCAGCTCCAAACCCATGCGAGCCCCCAGTGTCATGTCGCGCAAGGGAGGCCGCGTCCGAGGCGTCGGTGCCCAGCGGCGACAACAGGACGCTTTAGAGCCAGCCGAGCAACGGGGCGACAAAAGTACCAAGAACGGCGGCAAGGGATCGACGGAACAGGGGGCGTCTGGCCAGTTCCTGTCCTCGCTCGACAATGTCCAGAAGGCCGTGACGGACCCTGGTACCAATGCGTACTTTGTCTTCTGCTTGAAGCCCAACGATCGTCGCATTGCCAACCAATTCGACAGCAAGTGTGTGCGTACTCAAGTGCAGACTTTTGGCATTGCCGAGATCAGTCAGAGGCTGCGCTCGGCCGACTTCAGCCTGTTCCTCCCCTTTGGCGAGTTTCTCGGCATGGCTGATGCCGAGACAATCCTGGTTGGCAGCGAGCGCGAGCGGGTTGAAATGGTCATTGACGAGAAGCGGTGGCCCAGCAACGAGGTCCAAGTCGGTTCAACCGGTGTCTTCCTGAGCGAGAGATGCTGGATGGAAGTTGCCCGTCTTTCTGAAAAGGCGGCTGCTCATGGACGTTTCGGCTTGTCTCCGGAAGGGGAAGGCGGCGAAGGCGTCGCCGCTGGCGAGCAGCTTGCCTTCACCGCCTCCAAGGAGCAGCTCCTCTCTGCGGGAACTACGCCGCTCATGTACGGGGAAAAGGCCAAGGCTGGGTACTTCACCGGCTCGGATGACACTCGATCCGAGGCTGGAGCTTCGGCACTCGGAGCTGGCGACATGTTCAAGAACCTCGATACACGAGAGCAGATGGCCGAACGAGGCAACGAAAAATCTCTCGAGGAGGTTGAAGAGTTCAAGGACAGCCCAAGCCGCAAGCGATGGGTTTTCACCGTCTACTTCCTGACGTGGTTCATCCCCGATTTTCTCATTCGTTGGATGGGCCGGATGCCCCGCAAAGATGTCCGCATGGCCTGGAGAGAAAAGGTGGCCATCAACATGCTCATCTGGCTCCTGTGTCTCGTCGCCGCCTTCTTCATTGTCGTTTTCCCAATGCTCATTTGCCCAAAGCAGAATGTCTTCAGCGCCGAGGAACTCTCAGCATACGACGGCAAGACGGGAAGCAGAGGCGCATACGTCTCCATCCGAGGCTATGTCATCGACCTGGATGCCTACGTGCCTCACCACTATCCTCGGTATTTGGGGAGCAAAAGTCTCCTCAACTACGCCGGCAAGGACGTCAGCAGCCTTTTCCCCGTACAAGTCTCCGCCTTGTGCTCAGGAGCGACCGGCTCCGTCAACCAAGAGGTCACGCTAGACTACAAGAACACGAATCAGTCGGGCTCGCCCAGCCTCATCGATGCTCAAGATGTCAACGCCAAGTATCACGACTTCCGTTTCTTCACCAACGATAGTCGGCCGGACTGGTATCTAGAGCAGCTGTTGACTCTTCGAGGAAATTGGGGCAAGGGCAACATTGGCTATTCTCCCGAATACGTCCAGAAACTGGCCAACAATCAGAAGACCATAGCCATCCTCGGAAACAGAGTCTACGATATAACGTCGTATCTCAATGGCGGACGAAAAATGCGCGCCAAGGCTGGGGAATCGCCCCCGAACGACCCCTCGCTCACGGATTTCATGAGTCCCGCTGTTGTGCAGTTATTTCAGCTCAAGGCCGGCATTGACCTCACCAAGTTCTGGGACTCGTTGGACGTCCAGCCCGAGGTCAAGGCAAGGATGCGGACGTGTCTCGACAACTTGTTTTACGTCGGTGATGTTGACACCCGAAACTCGACTCGATGCAAATTCGCAGAATACCTGGTGCTGGCCGTCTCGATTCTTCTTGCCTCCGTCATTGCCTTCAAGTTCTTCGCCGCGCTGCAATTTGGCGGCAAGAATGTGCCGGAGAACCTGGACAAATTTGTTCTGTGCCAGATCCCGGCTTACACCGAGGATGAAGACTCGCTTCGCCGGGCCATTGATTCCGCCGCCAGGATGCGTTATGATGACAAGCGCAAGCTTCTTGTCATTGTCTGCGATGGCATGATCATTGGTCAGGGCAACGACAGGCCGACTCCACGGATTGTGCTCGACATTCTCGGCGTCTCTGAAACCGTGGACCCGGAGCCGTTGAGCTTCGAATCGCTCGGCGAAGGCCAGAAGCAGCACAATATGGGCAAGGTCTATTCCGGTCTGTACGAGGTCCAGGGCCATATTGTTCCGTTCATGGTCATTGTCAAGGTTGGCAAGCCGTCTGAGGTGGTCCGCCCCGGAAACCGTGGCAAGCGAGACTCGCAGATGGTCATTATGCGCTTCCTCAACCGCGTCCACTACAACCTGTCCATGAGCCCATTGGAGCTGGAGATGTACCATCAGATCCGCAACATCATCGGCGTGAACCCAACCTTTTACGAGTTCATGTTGCAGATTGATGCCGACACGGTTGTTGCCGCGGATTCCGCCACGCGCATGGTGTCGGCCTTCCTCGACGACACGCGTCTCATCGCCGTCTGCGGCGAGACTGCCTTGACCAATGCCAAGTCGTCCTTCATCACCATGATCCAGGTCTACGAGTACTACATCTCGCACAACCTGTCCAAGGCCTTTGAGAGCTTGTTCGGCTCTGTCACCTGCTTACCCGGCTGCTTCTCCATGTACCGAATCCGCGCCGCCGAGACCGGGAAGCCGCTGTTTGTCAGCCGCGAGGTTGTCGAGGCCTATTCCACGATTCGAGTTGACACGCTGCATATGAAGAACCTGCTGCACTTGGGTGAAGATCGCTATCTCACCACACTGCTGCTCAAGTTTCATTCCAAGTACAAGACCAAGTTCATCTTCACAGCCCACGCCTGGACCATTGCGCCTGACTCCTGGGCCGTCTTCCTCTCGCAGCGGCGTCGCTGGATCAATTCGACGGTGCACAACCTGATGGAGCTCATTCCCATGAATCAGCTCTGTGGTTTCTGCTGCTTTAGCATGCGTTTCATTGTCTTCGTCGACCTGCTCAGCACCGTTGTCCAGCCTGTCACCATTGCGTACATTGTGTACCTGATTGTGCTTGTGGCCACAAAGGCGACGGTCGTGCCCATCACTGCCTTTGTTCTGCTCGGAGCCATCTACGGTCTCCAGGCCATCATCTTCATCCTGCGCCGCAAGTGGGAAATGGTTGGGTGGATGATTCTCTACGTCATGGCAATTCCCGTCTTCAGCTTTGGCCTGCCTTTGTACGCTTTCTGGCACATGGACGACTTCAACTGGGGCAACACGCGTGTTGTCGCCGGCGAGAAGGGCAAGAAGGTGGTCATCTCGGACGAGGGCAAATTCGATCCCGGCTCTATTCCCCGCAAGAAGTGGGAGGAGTATCAGGCGGAGCTTTGGGAGACGCAGACGTCTCGCGAAGATACTCGGTCTGAGATTTCCGGCTTCAGCTATGGCACCAAGGCCCACGCGCTCGTATCCGAGTACGCCTTCCCCAGCCGCCCGAACTCGACGACAGGATTTGCAGCCCACCCCTCCATGTCTCACCTCCCCTATGATTCGCGTAATCCCTCGCGGATGTCACTGGCAGCCTCAGAGGTTGGCGGAAACCGCATGAGCCATTTCGGCGGGTCACAGTTCTTTAGTCCCGAAGACATGGTCGGCCTGCCTAGTGACGACGCCCTCCTGGCCGAGATTCGCGACATCTTGAGGACGGCCGACCTGATGACGGTCACGAAGAAAGGCGTTAAGCAGGAGCTGGAACGTCGCTTCGACGTGCCCCTAGACGCGAAGCGAGCGTACATCAACAGCGGTATGTGCCATGCCTTGACTATATTTAAGCAGAGAATGTGAGCTAACATGGGAACTGGCAGCAACCGAGGCTATACTCTCTGGTCAACTATGATGATGCTTTGGCGCTTTTTAAAAACTGGAAGCATGTTTTTCCTGGTCCTTGTTTATTGGAAAGAGGGCGACTGCCCCATGATTGGTTACCTGGATATCTCGCTATACATATTGCATAATATTTGATCTTGGATACCGGAGCGAGGTCTGGACCACTACAACAGGAGGGGATTGGAAACGAAGCGCTTGCTCACATGACGGGTGGGAGGAGTGAGCGGTGTTTGGCCTTGATGGAACTGTACGAGAGAGGGAAGCGTTGCTGGATGACCCTTGGCCGGCCCACGACGGCGAATTCGGTCAGTTGGCTGCCATCTGATAGGTCTAGCATATTCTCCTCGAGCTCATAGCAGCCGAAGCATATCACCGCCGATGTTTTTCATCAAATCCTTGTTCATGCTGCTGCTCTGCCGTGCTTGGTTGGCGTTTGCCGCTACCAGGCCCTTGATCCATCTGGACGCTCCCTACCGCTCTCGTTAGTCCTTGTCCTTGTCTTTGCATCCTCGCGGCGCGCATTCATGTCCGTGACCGACGACGGCGAAGCAATCTTGGGTGCAATAGCGACCCCTCGACGAGACCTGATGCGTCCGCAGCCAATGCCGGCTTGGTGATGGTCCTGATACTGTGGGTTTCCGTTGCAGCATGGCGGGCCATAGTCATTCATCAAGGGTCAATTTTGTGAGCCGGCTGCCACGACATACGGCTACCTACCGCAATCCATCCGAGGCCCTATAGGCTGGCCGCCCGTCGCCCAACAGCCCTGGCGACGAGCTCTTCCATCCCCCCATTGCTCCATGCCGTGACCCGCTCCTGGTCACAAGTCTCCCACACCCGTCTCATCAGGCCCTCGTACGCGGCCGCCTCGCCCGTCGCCTCGCACGACGCTCGCTGCGCGTCGAGCCAGCCGAGCACCCCGAACCTCGTGACGAGGGTGGTGCTCCCGGCCTCGATGAACGTTGCCCGGTATACAATCCTGAGGACTCTTGTCCGGAGGCCCGACCTCAGGTACGGGTTGCTGCCCAGCGCAAAGATCTTCTCGAGCCACTTCTTCTTGTGGAAGACGCTCAGGTCAGAGGCCGTCCTCAGGCTGTCCAAGAGGTAGCCGAGAAGCCACGCGAGTTCCGAGTAGTACTTGTCGTCCTCGGATGGCTCTCCGTGGAGGATGTCGTGAGCCAGCGGCAGCTTCTCCAACGACCATACCGGGCTGCGGGTCAGGAATGAATTGACCTTCCGATAGAGAGGATGCAGCGGGCTTCGCAGGACGTCGAGCGCGTGCATCGTAAAGGCTACAAACGCCGACGGAACTGGCCCTGACTCGACCTGCGCCTTGGACGACTCGGCGAGCTCCGAGAGCAGGAGCCAGATCTGTGTCTTCTCCTCGTGCGACGAGTCCTTGACCCGAGCAGCCACTTTCAGTATGCTCGTCAGAGCCTCCTTGCGTATGTTTGTATGCTCCGACAACAGCAGACGAACCAGCCCGACCGCCCATCCGTCGTCCACCAAGTCCTCGGCGCTTTTCGAGTTCCACTTGGTGAGGACCGCAGTGTCGCCGCCATCGAGGCAGGGAGCGTGCAGCATCTCCTGCAAGCTCGACTCGCTCAAAGCCGAGTGGTCACCGCTGACGGCCCAGCTAGCCACCTCGTCGCCGTCGATGCTGGGCTCGGCCGTCTTCAGCGCCTCGACGTCATCAGCGTCCCCCAAGCAGGCCAGCTTAGCTTTGTTCGAAGTCAAGTGGTGGTCTACATCTTGATGAAGTGTGTTGAGCAAGAGATGACCTCCTTCCCACAAGTGGCAGGCATTGAAGTAGAGCGAGAGAAAACGTGTTAGGCTGTATATGTCTTTCTCTTCGCCAGAAGTCGTTGCATATGGTAGCTGCTCAACAAATGCGAGGGTAAGCAGAGAAGAAAGAGGGTTTGCAGACTCCAGCTTCATTTCCGCGGTGCGACTCTCCATTTGGTCCAGGTATTTGATAGGAGAGGCCGCGCAACGGCTGATGCAGTTGTCTAAGAAGCCCCAGACGGCCCCTACGCCTCCTGAGCCGAATTGGTCAACAACGCACCGCAAAGCTCCGAGGAGTGGCCGCAACCCCGAGGCACTGGAGACAAGCTGATTCTCAACAGCAACGTCGGCCAGCGCATTCTTGAGATGGCGGTAGGGGGTGTCGCGATCACCACAGCAGAGAAGATGGACAAGTGCCGTGAATGCCGAGAATGATGTCTCGCCACCCAGGCCCTCAATCTTGGAAAACCACCTCATTCCAGGCGAATAGCTGGCTATGGAAACGAGGCTCTCCAGCTCCATGATGCTCAACGCTTTGATGCCGGGCTCGTATTCGTTCTGATGCAGGCCTTTGAGGACATGCACGAAAAGTGGCGAGACGTCAAACTTCGCGGCCAGGGCCACTTGCGGAATCACGTTATAGTAGAGGTGCAATAGGCGGCCAGCGAGCGTCTTGTGTAACGAGTTCTCCGCCGGAATATCCTTGTAGCATCGGACAACCTCCTTCATGTCGGGGATCCGTTGACAAAACGCATCCACTAGCCGCCGGGCGGCTTCGGACCACTTTGAGCCTCTGTTCCGGGACGAGGTTGACTTGTGCATCCTCAGAGCGATGGTCAACTTCTCGAGAGCGGCGACGATGATCCTGGTGGCGAAGAAAGACGTGAGATGAGACTTGGGTGAGAGACACCGGACAAGCACCTTTTGGTTGATGGCGGGAGGGATGATGTTATCCAGTAGAACAGTCGTGGGAGGTGGTGAGTCTGCAAATCGGACCGGGTCTCCAAAAGAAGCAGAGAGAGGCAAGCTGATCGTGTCAAAGAGAAAGGCTGCGTATCCAATCCACGTCATGGAAAGCTTTGGCTCGAAGGTGAAGGATCGATTGTGATAGAAGTAGTTGGAGATTAGTTCGGGCGCGGCTGTGAACATGGCCACCAGGAGTTCGCTGTGTTTCAAGCTGGACCACGGGCGAAGCTTTTCGGCGAATTCGGACAGGACAAAGTTGAAGACGGGCACGCCCTTGTCGAACCGGCTGTCGTGGGCATCACCGCCGCGGCTCTCACCTTGCCGCTTGGGCATATGGCTCGAGCGCTCATCGCTTGACTCCTTCGGATAAAGCCCCTTGTAAGGATATAACACGCCAGCACCGGGGGTTGTGCAAACGTATTTGAGGAATTGATGGGCCCTCTCGCTTATACTGTCCTTCTCATCTGTGCCCTCAGAGCTACCCATGTGGGTATAGAGAGCCAAGAATCTCAGAAGTGTCTTGATGTTGAAGCTTCGGGACTTGACTTCCCGGGGTATTCTGCTGTCCATGAGCACGTGCAATTTCAACGCGTCCAAAATCTCCAAGATGAGATAGTCCGGGTCGGATTTGATCGAATATGTCAGGTGCGAAAAGAGCTCTTTCTGCAGGAGGAGTTCCTTTCGCCCTTCAGAGTGCAGGTATTTGAGGCAGCTCAGAAGGAATCGAACGGCATGAGTCCTCACCGAGGATTTCCGAGAATCTTCCTGGCCCTCGCCCGAGTGTCCGAGTTCCAAGTTTCGGGAGAGGTAGGCAAAGGTATGGGCTCTCGCTCGAACGATCCTCTTGGCGTACGCACCACCGTCCAGACATACGGCCTCTCGCAAGAGACGCAGTGTGGGAGAGATGATGAAGCCTTTGCCCTTTTCAGAAGACAGATTTCTGGAGAGCGACTTGAGCTGCCTTTCCTGAAGCAGCGTCTGGCAGACGCCGAGCCCGTGGGGCACGAGCTGCAGCGAGTCGGAGACGACGCGGAGAAGTAAAGCCAAGACGACAGCGACTGAGGACATGACACCGTCGTCGTTCACTTGGATGGCGAACGACCACGTGTCCATGATGTCTTGGAGGAAAATTGCATCTTCCCCAGTGTCTCGCGGCCTGACCATGTCCAGGTACTGCTGCAAGATGGCGAGCTTGGCCTTGCGGTCGCCATTGTCGGCGAGGGCATCGTCGAGGAGCTTCTTGAATGACTGCAGGCCTTGGATATCGAGTTAGCCGAATGAATACGGTGGTTGGCCTGGTCAGCAGAGTGCGCACCGTGGCGTGCTTGACGCAGGTCCTGGTTGAAGGCGATCAACTGGTGCAAGTGGTCGCCGGACAAGACGTCTTCGCCGGCCGGGGCATCGTGGACAATCTTTTGCCGCTTGCGATACGCTGCCGCTCCATCGGCGCCGATGGAGGCTCTTTTGCCCATCTCACGGTTGGCAGGATCGGTTTTCTGCAGCGTCGGATGGCATCGGGGCATGCGTCGAGATAGCGTCGTCGAGATGCCGACCAAAGGCTTAGGAGAAATTAAAGAATACTGCCGCCCTTGACCGCCATGTCGCTTTTTAGAGGGGCTCAGTCAGGCCCCCCCATCACGGCATTCAAATCTGTTTGTCCGCTACAAAAAATGGAGTCGCAGCTAATTATCCTACCCGTACCTCGTACTCCGTACTCTCATGGGCTTCTTTGGACCGCAGCCCGTCCACGAGGTGAGACAGGCACGATGACCCTGCTCCAGTCTTCAGCCCCCCGTTGGCTGTCGACTCAGGCCGCGGTGCCGGACCGCAGCAGACCACCAGAACACCATCATGTGAGCCAGTCTGGGCAATGCCCAACCGGCCTAACCGCTACGCGACGTTGCAGCAAATGCCTGTCTGCTGGGCACACGAGGCACCCCGACGATAGGCTCGCCCGGAACCGCCGCCTTGATTCGCCACGTCGATAGATTGGCCCGGCCCTGCCGCCCTCGAGCGCCCCCCCGTGTCGCAATCAAAGGAAAGGACCTGCGCTTACCTGCCGTGGCATGTTTACATGCCTACTTACTCCCTGCCCAGTGGTGGGCCCCGGGTTAATTGGCGTGGGCTCGGAGCGCCAAGGGGCGCTTCCTTGGAAACACACGCCGCAATGTCCAATGCCGGCGAACCACGCGACCTCGTTGGGAACCACGCCAACCACGCGTTGCAGGGCGCCGTGATGCTCCCTGGGATGGGCCGGAGCAACAGGCGGATGCACGACATTGACTCGCTGTCGCTGGCCAGGGCCCGTGGTGGGGCCTGACAGTATGGGGCAGGATGGGTGTGGTGCCATCCATCCGAACTCCGTCTTCTAAGCGCCTACTGGATGGTCTCGTTGCAAGGCTCAGCCTATCATGTTCAGCCATCACGCACCTTGGTCATGAACCACCGTGCTCAGCTGCGTCGACCTCTTTGTTCCATCTGGGTTGCAGTGGCCTCAGCAACAAAGGTCGAGTGAGCCTTCAAGAATGCTGATTCTGCTCCTTATCTCATCTCCTATCCCGCCCTCTGGTTGCGTCGCTCGCCGTTCGCTATTAACTTCACATTCGCTCGTTCGCCCATGTTTCCGCTCGAGCATGAAGCCCGACTTGGCTGTCAAGCATGAAGGACTCGACTGGCGCCTCCGCTGAGGGCCCTACCTCGTGGCTGTCATCTCTCGTCTCGTGCTACACGCCATTTGTCCCTTGCCTCAGCAGGGACCGGCGTCGTGTCCGTATGTTGTCCCGCACAGTTACTCCCGCATCGACCCGAGGGCGTGCTGACGGCCCAAGTCAACGGGAGCCCATCTCCTGTCGTGCAGGGACAGCCGCTCCTTCAACCAACTCCTTCGCCAGTGCCCGAGGTTGAGTCTCGTGAGTCTGGCTGGAAACAGGAAGAGTCTAGGAAAGCCCGCCGACAAGTGCGAATGAGATGTTCGGGGAGGGAAAGAGTTTGTCCAGATGCAGCATCGCGCCGGCCGCTGATCTCTGCACCGAGTAATTTTCGCCATTTGCATTCCGGTCCTTTCCATGAATCTCTTGGCCTTCACTCCCCGCCTCAGAATCCACCGTGTTTCACGCAACATGAGCCCTCATTGCGATCTCTGGGCAGGAGCGTACATGAGCCAGACAGCCGCGTGCTGCCTGTTGACTTCGTTGGAGCCATGACCCCGCCTCCTCCGGCTTATATCGCCAGCCAGGCTGATGAGGAGGATCACCGGCTGCTCAATCAAAGCAACTATTCACCCATGTCCTTCCATGTTCCCCGTCGACAGGTCATGGCAGGCTCTCCCTCGACCGACACTCAGGAAGGGACCCCCCCTAGAATTCCGCCGAGAGCGCAGGGGCGAGCCCGTCCCTACACCGCGCCACACGTGGAAGCCATCAAGGAGCGTGTTGCCGGTGCCATGATTGAGGCAGAAAGACTGCAGCAGCAAATTGATGAGATTATTGAGCGCCAGAGTCTGTACTCCAACAGCCGGCCATCGACACCTCACCCGACTTTGCGCGCAGGGCCTGGTAAGAATATCCGAGCTCCGTCTCCAGGATCTTGGCTTATTAGGTTGAATCTTGATCAATAGCAATGGAACCAATGCCCTCCATTCCTGCGCTACCCCCAGCGGCACCTTCTTTTGCAGAGCGTCTCAACCTCGACGCACAGCGGTCGTTGACGGCGACGGTCGTGCCAGGGTCACTCACGGCCAACGCCTTCAATTCTTTGGACGACGACTGTATAGCTTGCACGAGGCCGCCTCATTTCCACCATGATGGACAAGCTTTGGCTCCGCCGCCGCCTCTCACACTTCGCCCACCTTTGCGCAAGAAGAAATCGTTTACTCACGTGTCCAATTGGCTTTTCACTGGTGCCGAGCAGAATAGTGAAGACCTTGCCGGTTCTACTGCAGCTGTGGCGAAACCCGTCGTCGAGAGTGATGGGCTTAGCCGGTCCGCGGCCGCCACAAATGGCATGGGGCGGCAAAGCTACGATTCGCTCGAGTACGCGTCAACATGGGACACCGATGACGGGGAGCGGACGGCGCCGACGACGACATGGTCTCCGGGGAGCAGCTCGGCAGCTCGACAAGAGCAGATGTTTCCCATGGAGCGAAGCGCAACGTTTGGCAAAAACGACACACGACGAGGGAGGTCGACGGTCGGAGTTGCGGTGTGACAAGGCGTGCCCAGACAGCCGTGATGATGGATACCCTGAGTGCTGTCCAGATGGCGGTGCGCCTGCGCAGAGGAGGCCACTCCGGCGCATGAAACGGAGCAACGATGTTTTGTATGGAGACTTCTTCCCGAAATTATTTTTAGTACCGACCAGCACGTAATAAGCTCGGGGGCATTACAAATACCTAGATACCGGCACATGCAGGCACTTTGGAAACAAGAAACGCCCCGTGCCACTGCGGTATGGACTATGGAGGTGCATGACGTGGGTTTTCGAGGCAGCTGAAACGCAGCGCAGTCGAGGGAAGCTTGCCGACTGAGGCACGTGGTCTGTCCCAGGGGCCTTGGGCAGGTACCAATGTACAAATGCATGAGTCGGCTCCCTTGTATCGAGTCCGCTGCCTCCTATTCGAAGACTTGAACGACACCTGGTACGCGTGACGACCCAAGAACCCTCCAGACTCGTGTTTGCAAATGAACCGCACATCCATGGCAAGGGCGGGCTGCGTTTTGTGGTCGGTAGGTGCACCGTTGCCTTCCATGTATGGCCATCCTCGCTGACGCCTCCGAGTCCTGAATCTCCATCCAGACCGCCCTTCCCCTCGAGCCAGCTGTCGCAAGCAGCTGTCATGGCCGTGTGCAACATGATTGCTTCTCTCCGAGGGGCGGTCATGGGCAAGAAAGGCTACACGTATAGCGCCGTCCCGGCCCCCTCGTCGCAGGAATATGGCATCAAATGCCATGCCAACGACCGCACCTTGAGGCGATCGAAGTCGTTGAAGCTGTTCGCGGGGGCCGCAGTACTGCTGGCCGTCTTGGCTCTGGCGCCCATCTACGGGTATGTTTCGATGGAGACCATCGTCACCGCGTGCTCCCTTGCGCGGGCACTGACAAGCACTGACAAGTCACCTCCGCGGCCAGACTCGCGCCGCCCAAAGTCGAGGGCTGCGGCGCCTCGGGATACTGCCCAGACCCTTCGCCGCATGTCTGGGGACAGTACTCGCCCTTCTTTTCGGCTCCCTCGACCATTGACGCAACTACGCCCACAGACTGCCGATTAACGTTTGGCCTCGTGCTTTCCCGGCACGGTTCACGATTTCCTACCGCGTCCAAGACAGAGGCGTACAGGTCCTTGCTCGACCGTGTACAGAGCTCGGTCCAAGAGTATGGTGTTGGCTACGAGTTCATCAAAGACTTCGTCTACGGTCTAGGCTCCGATGAGCTGACACCCTTGGGCCAGATGGAATTGGTCAATTCCGGCATCGCCTTTCTTCGCCGCTATCAAGGGCTGGCTCGCGACGCGGATCCGTTTATTAGGGCGTCTGGCTCCGACCGCGTCGTCATGTCAGCCCAGAATTTCACGCAGGGCTTCTTCGACGCCCAAGGCAGGGGTGCTTCTGACCCGATTGCCCAGATTCTGGTGTTACCGGAGGGCCGTGCCTTCAACAATTCGCTGGAGCACGGGTCATGCCCAGCCTTTGAGGACGGTCCGGGGTCCGACATTGCCGATGAGAAAGAGGGAATATGGAGTGAAACCTGGGCAACACCCATCGTGACGAGGCTCAATGAGAATCTGCCTAGGGCGAACCTGACACTCGAGGAAACGGTCTTTATGATGGACCTCTGCCCCTTCAACAGTGTGGTCACTCCAAACGCAACTACACCTGGCTTCTGCAAGCTCTTCTCGCAAGATGAGTGGCGAGGCTATGATTACTTCCGGTCACTGGGGAAATGGTACGGCTACGGCAACGGCAACCCGCTCGGCTCGACGCAGGGGGTTGGATACGTCAACGAAGTCATTGCACGGCTAACTGGCGATGCGGTACGCGACGGGACGACGACCAACTCGACGCTCGATTCATCGCCCGAGACGTTCCCCCTCTCACGGAAGCTGTACGCCGACTTCACCCACGACAACTCGATGATGTCAGTGTATGCCGCGCTGGGGCTGTACAACATGACGGGCGACCTGCCAGCCAGGCACAAGCTGTCGCCACGCGAGACGCACGGCTACTCGGCGTCGTGGACGGTTCCGTTTGCGGCGCGCATGTACGTGGAGAAGATGCAGTGCGGACACGAGGAGGAGGAGCTGGTGAGGGTTCTCGTCAACGATCGCGTGGTGCCCCTGCAGAGCTGCGGTGCGGACGAGCTGGGACGGTGCAAGCTGGCCGCTTTTGTGGACAGCCTCTCGTTTGCGAGATCGGGGGGGCTGTGGAAGACTTGCTTCGTGTGAGCCGCCGCAGCTGCGAATGGGATCTCGCTGGTTATATCAGGAGCGCAGGTTTACATGGAGACGATATTCGGCATGAATAGAGCTGAATCGACGTCCGGCGGTTGAGCCAGCCCCAGCTGTTGCTGCTCTGGCGGTGGAGGAGGAGGAAAAAGAGTGTCGAGGGAGATCTCGGGTGGTGCAAGCTGGGGCATATAGGATAAGATGGCTGGGGGACGTGGCTTTCTTGAACCAGAGCTTCGTTCTACCGGACGTGCCTACCTCTAATACCTTGATAATGTTCCTCGTCATTCATATTTACGGTGTGCCTAGGTACCTATTTACGCATGTCTATGTACCTACCTAGGTACTGTATCAACTAACCCAGCACAGTAGATCTATTCATCCAATTGCCGGCAGCCTGCAGGGCACCAAATCCCTTTGGTTGCGCCGCTGCGGTATTAAGGCCACCCCTAAGTAGCTGGACCCACAGCCCCGCCTTTGTCAGCAGCTACTCATAGCCTAACGCGAAGAGCTAGAAACTCGCAACAGAACAGAAGAGCTACGATATGCTGCTTGTACTGTCTCTGCTATGGATACAACCTTTTTTGGTGAGATGGTCGGCCACAGCCTTGTACTTCTTGCAGATTGAGTCTGATTCGTTGGTATCCTTACAAGTGAGTGACCTAAGGGTGGTTTTACCGCAGCCAGAGAAGAACCGGCGGGGCGGCGAATGACTACCGCGCTCAAGAGGTACCTGTACCTCGCAGGCCTACAGTACGGTCCACTGTAAGTACCTACATTTGCACACTCCCAGCCGGCCCCAGCCGGCCCCAGCCGGCAGGCGGTGAGCAAGAATTCTGCAGGCTGCACTTTTCCCCGACGCGGCAAAATTTCCCGCCATTTTTTCCCTCTGTCCACCTTGACGACGACTTCTTGGCCGCTGCACTCAATTCCTCAGCCTGCTCTCCGGGCCCCCGTGGCCATTTCCTTTTCCCTCTGCTCCGCAAAGTCAACTGGTTGGTTTCGGCAAGTGCGCATCGACATCTCGCAAGCGGCTGAACTACTTTGCCAGTCTCGCCACCTGCTGTTGATTCAACCGATCTTCGCCCTTATTTTCGACTTTTCTCTCTTTCATCACGAATCTCGACCTGCGCCTCCCGGAGCTCCGTCGCAAAGCCCGCGAATCTGCCTTGCGACGCCAATATGAGCGAGACGGACGCCGCGACCCAGCCGGCAGAGGCCGCCCAGCCCGCGATCGAGAAGCCTGAGCCCGTCCAAGTCAAGTCAGAGCCTGCCGAAGCGGAATCCACCGAGGCAAAGCCTGTGTCTGCCGATGAGGCGCTCGAGCCTGATCAAGTCAAGGCCGAGGCTACAGAGGAAAAGCCCGAGGTGGCAGAAGCAGGTGCCGAGGCCAAGCCAGAAGATGCACGGGATGACGAGTCCAAGATGCTCAAGACGACGGCCAAGATCGACCTCGACAACGTCCGGAATAATCGCAAGTTTGATCCCAGCGTTCGCGAGGTCACTGATGACCCGGATGCCATCCGCAAGCAGGTAACGTTGCCGCTGGCTCCTTGGGAGCAACCTGGTGGCTAATGGCTCTTGCGTCAGGTCGAGTTTTACTTTGGAGACTGGAACTTTCCCCAGGATAAGTTCATGTGGGAAACCTGCGAGGGAATGGCCAACAAGCCGATGCCCATCTCCAAGATTCACTCCTTCAAGCGCATGCGCTCTTTCCAGCCTTATAGCGCCATAGTCGCGGCCTTGCGCGACAGCAAGACCCTCGACGTTGAGGGCGAAGAGGGAGAGGAAACGGTCAAGCGCAAGGTCGCTTACAAGCCCATGGCCGAGGGACGACTCAAGGTCGAGTCCTCCACTGTCTACGTCAAGGGCTTTGGTGACGAGAATCCCGACACCCAGTTCGACCTCGAGAGCTTCTTCGCCAAGTTCGGTGAGATCAAGGGTCTCAAGCTGCGTCGAACCAACGAGGGTCTCTTCAAGGGCTCCGTCTTTGTCACTTTCCCCGACGAGGAGGCCGCGAAAAAGTTTGTGGAACTGGACCCAGCGCCGACCTACAAGGAGCACGAGCTCAAGATCATGTCCAAGCGCGACTATTGCGAGGAAAAGAGCGAGCTCATCCGTCAGGGCAAGCTGGAGCCCAACAGCACCTCGCAGAAGAAATTCTTCGAAGGCAGAGATCCCAGCAGGAAGGGAACGCGCGGAAATCACCGGGGTGGTCGCGATGGCGACGACTGGAAGGCACGACGCGAGCACGATCAAAAGCACGGTTTCCAGGACCGGCGCGGTGGCGGAAGGGGGCGCGGTGGCCGTGGCGGTGGCCGGGGCCGGGGATTCGGCCGCGGTGGCCGCGACGGGGGCGGCAGAGACCGAGACAGCCGCCGGGACAATGGAGGGCATCGGGAAAACACCAACGAGTAGGCCCACCCACCTGGTGCTGATTTGCATGGAGACAGTGACTGACCCATCCATCGTTCCAGTACCAAACCTCGCATCCAGTCCACCGCGGACGATAGCCAAGACGCACCGGCTGCAGCCAACGGCAAGCGAGCTCGCGACGAGGAGGGGCCTGGGGACGGCGCCCCGGCTGCAAAGAAGGTTGATGTCAAGGAGGAAGTCAAGACAGAGGCGACATAGAGAGCAGGGCGAATGCTTTCTGGACGACGTTTGTGAATACCGCTCTGCTTGTCAAGAGGGAAACGGAGCAGCGACTTACTCTTGACCGTTTTTTCCGGCAGCGTCGGCTGATATTGGCCAGGTGAAGAAAGCGCGGGCATGGACCAAGGAGTGTATATGACACGCGGAAAGACTCTGCCAGCCCCTGCTCTCGCATGGAAAGGAGAGTGGCTAGCTTCCATTGTCGAATAGAGTCGCAGTCAAGTCCGGGCGCCAAAGTCTGAGTGAGGCCGTGCGGAGACAAGACGGACATGTCCGAACGGCCGCGGCTGAGCCCATGGAGCTGCCGTGGCAAAAGGGCCGGCTTGCGCACCGACGATTTGAATCGGCGGCGCTAGCAAAGGCAATTAATTGCCTGCCGACGAAGCGTCTCGAATTTGGTCGCCGCATCGGCACCGACCTGCCATTAGCTTACTGGGCAGCGAGAACGGTCCTGTCCGTTCTCCTGTTTAGCCCCTTTCTTTGTTTGTCTTCCTATTTCACATCTCCATATTGAGGCCTTATCAAGGGGGTTGCCCATCTCAGATCGAGCGCTTCCATTGGGCAGTTCTCAGAAGTCGATCCTCGTCACCTCACCTTGACCCTGGCTCCACGGCCACACAGACGACCGCATACAGAGCCATCAGCCAAACCAGCGATCTCTGTTGACCGGATGCTTTCGATCAACAGAACGGCAGACCCCCCGAATGCCATGAAGCCATGGTCAAAGTCGAGCATGCACACGACAAGGCCCTGTCTGCCACGGTCGAGCCTGGCAACCGCTTCGGCTCGGAAGCCTCGACGGACGCAGAGAAGCACGAGAAGCCGGTGAGCTCGGTCGAGTGGGGAGGCAGCAGCGACGACTCATCGTCGGGCCACGGCTGCGGGCCCGGGTTCGCGCGGGCGGGCCAACCCCTGTCGAGGAGCGTGTCGGAAGTGAGGGACGGGATCCAGAACCAGCGAGACCCGGAACTCGCCAGGGACGAGGGCCCGGATCGCGTCGATGCCGATCTGGTGCAGTGGGATGGGCCGAGTGACCCCGAGAATCCAAAGTGCTGGCCCATCAAGAGGAAGTGGGCAGCCGTCTTCTGTGGTAGGTCTCAGTGCTCCCAGCGCTATACCTTGTGGTGCCAAGGTGGTCATGAAATGCAAACGTGCTTCTCTAACCCCCATAGTCTCTCTTTTCACCCTCATTTCCCCCATGGCGTCTTCCATGGTGGCGCCCGACCTCGAAGCCATCGGGCGAGACCTCGACATCACCAGCGAGCTGAAACAGGCGCTCGTCCTGTCCATCTTCGTGGCCGCCTTTGCCCTGGGCCCGCTGCTTTGGGGCCCGCTTTCGGAGCTGTACGGGCGCGTCATCATCATCCAGACGTCTAACGTCGTCTTCCTCCTCTTCAACCTGGGGTGCGGCCTGGCGCGCACCGGGAGCCAGATGATTGCCTTCCGCTTCCTGGCCGGCATCGGCGGGTCGGCGCCGCTGGCCATTGGCGGCGGGCTGCTGAGCGACCTCTTCGCCGCCGAGGAGCGCGGCCGGGCCATCAGCGTCTACTCGCTCATGCCGCTGCTGGGGCCGGCCGTCGGGCCCATAGCCGGCGGCTGGATCGCCGAGCGGACGAGCTGGCGCTGGGTGTTTTACAGCACCACCATTGCCTGCGGCGTCATCCAAGCGGCCGGCCTCTTGTTCCTGCAGGAGACGTATGCGCCCGTGCTGCTGCATCGCAAGAAGAGGCTGCTGATGAAGGAGACGGGCAACGCGGCGCTCCGGACTGAGTACGACGACGACGACGAGGGCGGCGGCGGCAGCCACCGGACGCTGGCGCGGACGCTGGCTGTGGCGCTGACGAGGCCGTTCCGCCTGCTCGCGACGCAGCCCATTGTCCAGATGCTGTCGCTGTACATGATGTACTTGTACGGCATGCTCTACCTTGTGCTGTCGACGTTCCCGGCGCTGTGGGCGACCAAGTACCACGAGTCGACGGGCATCCAGGGCCTCAACTACATCTCGCTCGGCATCGGCTTCTTCCTCGGCGCCCAGGTGTGCGCCCCGCTGCAGGACCGCATCTACGTCGCCCTCAAGCGGCGCTACGTGCCCGACGGCGGACCGGGGCGGCCCGAGTTCCGCGTGCCCATGATGGTGCCCGGCGCCGTCCTCGTCCCCGCCGGCCTGCTCATCTACTCGTGGACGGCCGAGGCGGGCACACACTGGATCGGCCCCAACGTCGGCGCCGCCCTCTACGCTGCCGGCACCATCATCGGCTTCCAGTGCGTCCAGGGCTACATCGTCGACTCGTACACCCGCTACGCCGCCAGCGCCGTCGGCGCAATCACCGTCCTCCGCAGCCTCGCCGGCTTTGGCTTCCCCCTCTTCGCCCCGGCCATGTACGCCGCCCTCGGCTACGGCAGGGGCGGCACCGTGCTGGCCGCCTGCGCCGTCGCCGTCGGCTGGCCGAGTCCGCTGCTGCTGTGGGTGTACGGGGCCAGGCTGAGGGCCAAGAGCAAGTTTAGCGCCTGAGCTCCTGATTTCTCCGCCACGGGGCGGGCGGGAAGTGCCTCGATGCGCCGTTGACCCCCTTGTCTGGGCCTGGAGCAACACGATGACGAGTCTGGCGATGAAGTGTTTTCTTCAATAGTCTTCCTGCGTAGCCGGATCATGACGAGGAACTTGAAAACTTATTGAAAAGAACGGAGATGAAGATGAGCATTAAAATAGATGACCTAGAATGAATACCGCATGGTTATGAACCGTGTGCCCTTATTAGTCTCCTTCTCTCGGATCCCAACCACCAGACAGGCAGCACCGTGTGCACCCCCTGATCTTTCCAAGTCCAATCACGGCCTCTGACAAGCCTATATGTACGTCGTCCAAGTTCGCCCGCCCGTCATCCCACGCAACGCCATCCTGCGTCCCATCCATCACCCTTATATCGTATACTCCATCTTACGGTCTCCGATAACGTCCCATATCTCGTGCACCAGCTCCTCTTGGCCCTTGGGCGCCGCCCTGACGGCGAGATACACCCTCCCGTCGAGCGCCGGGTCCCACCCGCCCGGGTTGCCGCTCACCATCCTGCCACCGGCCTCGTTGAGGATGCACCAGCCGGCACACACATCCCACGCCCAACACCCGCCTTCCCAGAAGGCGTCGAGCTGGCCGGCGGCCACGGCAGCGATGTTGAGCGCGGCGGAGCCCATGGACCGCAGCGAATGCACCATGGCGCCCCCCGTCTCCTTGCTCCTCGCCAGCTTCTGAAAGACGTCCATCTTGAGATCGAAGTTGGGCCCGTCCCGGCCGGAGCCCCACTCGACGCCGAGGAGCGCGGTCCCGAGGCCCCCGAGCGGCCGCGGCGTCTCGGCCAGCGGTAGCTTCCGGGGAGCGGTGCCTCTGATGCGGGTCATGAAGGCGCCGCGGCCCTTGATGGCCGTGAAGAGGAGATCTTGCCACGGGTTGTAGATGACGCCAACGACGGGGGAGCGGTCAATGGCGAGGCCCAGCGAGGTGCAAGCGTTTGGCACCGAGTGGACAAAGTTGGTCGTGCCTTGCGGCCGGTTGATGATCAGCACGTGGCTGCTGCCCGGTGTCACGGCCAAGAATAGGGGGAGGTGAAGGCGACGTTGTTGCATGGGAACATACCGTCGATGGGATCGACGACAAAGGTAGGCTCCGGGCCAAGCCTGGTGCCGGGCTTGTACGTCTCTTCACCCATAAAGGCAACCGAGGGGAAGGCGGCGGAGAGGCGAGTCGAGACCATCTTCTCGACCGCTTGGTCCACCTCGGTGACAATGTCCACGGCTGCAGGAGGAGGCGACGAGGGCTCCTGCGGTCAGCAGCCGGCTGGCCCGCGGCTGGACGGGGCAGCAAGGGGCGGACGTACAGTTGAGCTTGGTGCCGGTATCGATGCTGGCCGGGTTGGCCGCCAGGATCATGCGTCCGGCCTCGTAGGCCAGCGTCACCATCTCGTCATGGACCGCCTCGAGGTTGAGATCCGCCATGTTTGCGCTGCGTGCTTGAAGAAGATGTGATGATTGGGGTTGGGTGGTAGATGAACAAGAGGGTTAATAAGGTGAGGGAGGGAAGATCACGGGTGATGTGAGGAGAGTTAAAAAGGTGAGGGAGAGAAGATGGTGATGTGAGGAGGGTTAATAAAGGTGAGGGAGGGAAGATGGTGATGTGAGGTTGGACGTGACGAGGTGAGAGGTTGTACCCAACGGCAAGTGATCGCCAGGTACCCTTGGGAACCGAGATTGAAGGCTAGGGGCAGCCACAGTGTGCAGCACTGCAAATCGAGGGGCTCTGACGTCGGCGGAGACCCGAGTGTACATGCAATCTCGGCTCGTCAATGTACTCTCCAAGTAGCGCCTTGCTCATGGCGGGTCGAGAATCTATTCGTACACTCTGCAGACACAGCCGACTCTCTCCTTTCTCCTTGCCGCTCATTCTTCTCCTCGCTCGCCCAGCCCCCCACGGCGCGCAGATGAATCCCCGTGGCATCCCAACCGCCCCCCTCGAGTCGGCCTGATGCGCGCACAACAGCGCAAGCCGTCCATCGTCACCACCTGCGGCCGCTTCTCGCTTCGTCCCGCGTCCCGCGTCCCCTCGTCTCTCGCGCCCGCTCTCTTGCACGCGAATGAGCAGAGCTCGATAGCGTTGGGTGTCTCCTTGCGCTCCTGCATCGCTGCCCACCCTTCCACTCGCCCAGTCAGGGCGCAGCAGATGATACAAGGCAGACGGGTTCTGCACAGCTGGCCAGCTGACTCCAACAAGACTTGGACCCGAGGTGCGTCGCGGACCACCCAATAGCGTGCCTCATGCTATCATTTGCAGCACAATGGGACTCGGGCTCCGATGCAGCACAAGAAATTTCTCCAAGCAAGCCAATCCCGGTCGGTCGCGGTCCCGGCTATGTGCTTCCTGCAGACAGCCACGGAACCACTGCGTTTTGCCACGAATCGCCGTCTGGCTTCTTTGCTGAAGCGTCCCTGTTGCACCGGGGGACAAACTCGTCGTCATCGTCCCTCATACGTTTTCTCGAAAGACCGATCTCCTCTCCGCCGGGCTGCTCCCGCCACTATCGGGGTCTTTCTTGGACTTGTGCTTCTGTGCCGTAGTCGTGTCGATGGGTCGGGGGCTCATTCCTCGGAGACCTATCTCAGCGTCGTCGTCAAACGGATTCCGTTGCCCGCCGGGACTGCGCGTTGGCGGGCGGCCCCTGCTGGCCTCGACGTCGTAGCCGGCAGCTGGCGTCGCGGCGAGGTTTGAGTTGTAGCCCCCGCCGCCGGCGTACTCTGTGCTACGGCCACGACCAGTGCCGCTGAGCTCCTGCTCCTCGTAGTAGCCGTAGCCGTCGGCCTCGTGGCCCACGCGCGCATCCCATGCTTCGTCCGGGTCAAGGGCCCCGAAGCCGTGGCGCCCGCGGCCTGCGCCGCCTTGAAGGGGCTGCTCGTAGGCGCCGCCGGCGGAGCGGTTGTTGCGGTCCTTGAACTTGCGCATCTGGTCGTTGAGCCAGCCGACGACGCCGCCGGGGGCAGGTCGCGGCGGGCCAAATGGGTTGTCTCGTTGGCGCCAGGGAAGATACGACGATAGGCTGGGGGGCGGCAGCTGCAGCGGCGTTGGGTCAGCTGGAGCAGATGGACTCGACGCGCGGGACTTTTGAAGGGACAGTGTGGTTGAGCGCCTCGCAGGGAGACGGCTCATGGGGAGACGGCTCATGGCGGGACTTACGCCGAGCTTGCGTGCGCGCAGGTGGGCAAAGACGAGCCAGGCGGCGGCCGCTATGACGAGCAGCACAACGATGGCGATGACGATTGCGCCTGCCGTGGATACCATGGTGGACGTATGGTGGACGTATGGTGGACGTATGGTGGACGTATGGTATGTATGGGTAGACGCTCCGCTCGATGTCGGGAGCGAGATGGAAGCAGTGACGCGATGACGCTGGCGATGGCGATGGCGATGGGCGATGGGAGAGAGGGAGAGAGAGGGAGATGGATGGAGAAGGAGCTTCGAGGTGGGGAATGAGGCTGAGTGCGTGAGCGACACGACACGAGGCAGCAAGCTGGCGGCCGGCCGTGTTCAGGAAGGAGCTGGCGACTTGGGTACGGTACCCACGGACCAACAAGCCAACAAGTGCCCGCAGCGGGCCTCGAGCCGCTGCTTTCTGCTTTCAGATGAGACAGGCTAAAGAAATTGGACGAGAAAAAGAAAGGAGGATCTCACTACCTATTTGCACTGGATGATTTTGTCTAGAGTATTACCCGTTGATCTTGGTGTGGGGCCACAGCAGCCCAACTAAGTGTCTTCGCCACTTAGTTGGCCCAAAAAATCCGGCACAGCCCAAAAAATCCGGCACAGCAGGGTCCTCAATTTGGGGTGCAAAATCAAGGGAAATTCTACGCTTCGCTTCATGGTGCCGTCAATGCGACTTCAAATAGCTAAAATATACATGTGATCAATAGCTGCGGATCACCTAAAGACGCAAGTAACAACGAAAAGTGAAAAAATCACGTCTTTGGGCCTATTTAGGAGCTGCCGCCTTCCAGTCGAAGAGATAGGAAGACCGCGTTTGTGAGTCCAAATAGACGTATTATGTAGTAATTTCGCCTGTTGTGCGTCTCTGAGAGCTATTTTATCCATACCTGTGTTCCTGGAGCGTCTGCTGTATCTTGTTGGACGATCGGGTGCGCGGTCGAGGGCATGGTGTATCGACTACCGCTTCAACCGCTGCTAACGGCGGCGATGAGGTATATTCTCTTGCGTGTCGAGTAAATTGTCCTCGTCTTCATCGTCGGCGCCATCCTCACTATGTTTGTCAAGATCGAGGCCTGTGAAATAGACGGTATCGTCACTGCCGGGCAACGACGACATATCTGTAAGTGGGCGAGGTCGGGTCGCTGCGCGCCCTGACATCTCTGGCGGAGTTATTTCTCTTCGTGGTATCATAGAAAAGGATTCCTTGGATGGCTCTTTGAGCTCCCGCATGAGGGTATCGCAACTTTGCTCCAGAGTGTAGAACTCAACGTCTCGTCCCGTAAACTCTAGCCAGGGCTTAAAGTTCAATGTCTTGACTCTGCCATTGACTAACTGCTTCTTCCCGACTTTATAGTCTTCTCGGATCTTCTGCATCTCTCCACGAACTCGTTTAAGATGCATCCTTATCTCCTGGCGCGTTTGAAGCCGGGTTTGCTTTGCCTGGAGCTCCTCATACTCCCGGGTGATGTCGGCCATGCTGGAGCTCGTGATAAACTCTCCGCGCGGCCTGACAATCTTGCCTCTCTTCATTCGATTCGCATACGCCTGGGTTCGGCTATTCTTATCGCTGACTATGCCCTGGGAATGTGACGCCATCGCGATAGACTCGGTGTTCACTTTCGCAAGAACCCGCAAGTTTTCTCGTGATGGCGAGCTCATGAGGGCCCATACCGTTGCCGGATATCATTGAGGCATCCGCGGCGACTTGGAAACGCGTCTCCGAGGGTAGGAGCGAGGCGTATGCAGGATTGATCGGCTGCTGTTGTCGTAGCTGCTCGTGGAGGATCTTGGTGATCACCGGCGCTGGGTCGACAGGAAAGAGGCCTGTTTTTCAAATGCCGCCATAATGTTATGCCGCGTGAAGCCAGCCTCATATACGTCCTGAAAAGCTGTGAGGAAGTTGACCCGCGAAAATGATATGTTGCCTTCTGCGAGGGAGGTTCGAAGCGCTTTCTGATGTACTGGCTGTAGTGGCTGGAAGACCCCAACATCAAGCGGCTGCGTGAGGTGGGTGGAATGTGGAGGGAAATAGCAATGATGATATCAAACTTGATACAATACTCAGCAAAGTCAAGGGTGGTATGCCCTGTAAAGCCATCCACAACAAGCAATCGGTAGATCTTCTCGTCGTCAGGCCGTTGGTTTGGCGGCGCCTCCACGCGACTCATCCCCATGTTGGGGCGCCGAAGATGCTCGTCACAGCCGAACCACTCTTCCAGCGAATTTCCTGACTGTTTTGCTTGCGCTGACGATGCCCAAGACCAGCAGTTGAAATGCCTTGCCCACTCAAGGTGTATCTCTGCGTTGGAAAAGCCAGTTGGCGACTGGGCAAACCGTACGCCTGTCATGATGTCGATGCCGGCCCAGTTGGTGGTAGGGTAATGTTGGAAAACAAGCCAGGGTGGAAGAGAGTCCCCCACTGCGTTAACTGAGGCAATTACCGTGCAGGATTCTCGGTTTGCTGGGTCTAAAACTCGGGGCCGGGTGCTCTTGACTCTAGTGGTGCGCGTGATGAGAACTTGGATGCGTTCTCGCAGGCACCCAATGCGTATTCCGGCCTCGTCTTCATTCCAGATCTCTGAACTGCCAATACGGTAGCTGGTGATGATTTCTCGAAGCTTTGAGTAGAAAAATTCGACTTCTTCTACCCGTGGGCTTCAAAGGACTTCCGGGCTCGTTCAACTGCTTTGAGATACGTCTTCGCGATCGCAGGATGACTTCCACGCCAATTGTCAAGCCAACTTGACGAGACCGGGCGGGCATTGGGATCTCGACGCATTCTTATTGCATTTGCAACAGCTTCAAGTTGCTCTCTCGTGGCGGGCATGCCGGTGCGTTCCATCCACTGTACATACGCAACCAGGGCGTCGTCTTCGTCCTCCGTCAGCGCCAATGGACGCCCTGGAGCACGGGAAAAGGGGTTTCTTATGAAATTAATGGCTCTCTGTACGGATGAGCTCTTCACATTGTAACGGATGGCCGCATCTCGCACGGAAAGAGGCGTTCTTTTGGTGTTGTTGAGCGACGAACATCGGCTCTGGGGTCGCGACGAGACGCCAGAACGGCTTTGCTGCCTCCAGGGTAGCCATGTTATCTGTCATAATGTATTCCGGCAAAAAGATACGTAAATAAAGTCAAGTTGCGCGAGAAAACGCGGTTGAGATGCATAGGGTTGACGTTTTGGAGGTGGGCTGCTGTGCCGGATTTTTTGGGCTGTGCCGGATTTTTTGGGCCAACTAAGTGGCGAAGACACTTAGTTGGGCTGCTGTGGCCCCACACCAAGATCAACGGGTATTGCTGTGCAGACCCTAGTGATTTGCACTCACACACCAGTTAATACTGTAAGTTACTGTACGTACGTATCTCTATTTGCAGGCACGCCCCATTTTTAAACCATGTACGGGTACGGAGTACTGTGCTGTACCCGCGCCAGCCCTCCCCGCCCCCACGTGTGTGGTAGCGCGTGAGCCTGGCAAGTACTGTACTACTAGTAACTACGGATACTAGGTACCTACCTAACCTAACCTACAGTAGTGTCACGTCATTGACCTCCACTGTAAAGTGCCTACAGGTATTAACTACGGTACTAGTCGCCCAACTCTCCCCTGTAAAAATTCTTCTCTTCTGCGGGCTGTTAGCAGCCTGTTAGTGGATAATTATTTTCAGGTCACCCGACCATGCTTCTGCCTCTCTAGCCCTAACGGGGCTCTAGCAAGCACCAAAAGCAGACTTTGGAGAGTTCGTCTCCTCTTGGGAAGCTGGTCTCGAATAACGGCATGCCTCGCGCTGCCTCGCCTTCTGCCGCCTCGCGGCATCGCCTTCTTCTGCCGCCTTTACTGGCTGGCCTCGACTTCTGCCGCCTCGCGGCCCCGACCTCTTCTGCCGCCTCGCGGCCCAACTTCTTCTCGCCCTTCCTGGCACGCCTCGCGCTGCCTCGCACCCTCTGCCGCCTTTACTGGCTGGCCTCGCCTTCTGCCGCCTTGCGGCTCTGCCTCCTTCTGCCGTCTCGCGGCTCCGAACTTGCCGCCTTGCGGCCTTTCTGCCGCCCAGCGGCCCGACTTCCTCTGGACTGGTGGGCCGCGGGGCCCCGAGGAGCTACAAGAGCCTAGAGCTCAAGGCCTCACCCGGTGTCCCCGGAGCTGCACACCAATCGACAACACCTCCACCACCTGCTTGCTACGAGGAGCAGGCACGGGGACTTCGCCAACTGTCATGACCACGAAGTGGCCCGGATCGAATACTCCTGCGGGAGAAGACAATCGCCATCGGGGCGAATCCCCGACTAACATTGCTACACTCTCTGCTTCCTTTTTCTTTTCTTTTTCTTTCTGCCCCGTAGGCCCTCCTCGAGGGGGCTTGCGGCCGGCCCATGACTTCGTGGGCTTTCTCAGTCACCCGGCCTCGGCCAAAGACTGACTACTATTACGGCTTCACTGCCGTGCCTGGAACCCGCTGACGGGGGAAGGGCCCCGAATTTCCGACCGGCCTCAGAGCCTCAGAATTGCTAGATGGAGTGGTTAGGTGCTACACACGGTCCTTAGTCCAGGTACTCGGGATATTCTATGTATCTAGTCTTCTCTAGCCTAGCACGTCTTTTGCCCTTATAGGGATGTCCCAGACGGTAATCAATACTACTACTACTACTACGGTACTAGTCGCCAAGCTCACACACAGTTGCGGTACTACCGGGCTTATAGAATTATAGACCCACTGGCCGCTGATGCGACAGCTATGAACTGGGGAAGGGGGAAACGACAATTGGGTCGGGATTGGAAACGAGATTTTGACTTGGGCAGAACAAATATTACAAGACAACACCCTTTTGTCATGGCGAGCTTCATTCGCCAGGCTCTCAGTCGGACACTTTTACCTTCTGCGCCAGTCCGCTGCTGATCAAAAGCGGGATTGCTGCGGTGATCCTCTGCTGCCTGCAGTGCCAAGGAGGAGGCCGAATCCAGCCCGTCTTGATCTCACGTAGGATATGGATCAGGCCAGGCAGGCCGTGTAGGTCGGAAAGAGGTTCAGCCTTTCACCTCTTACCATAGCTTCAACGCAACGAATGAAGCACTGGCCCTTCTACCCAATCCACGCCATTCCATCCAGTGACCAGTCCACGATGGCTCCCGGTGGACTCACTACACCGAGATAATGAGTGCATTATCATCTACCTACTGCCCTCGAGTGGCTAGCCCGGTGGATTGAGTCGAGTGGCTTTCACCCCTCCTCCGCGGGGACGAGGCCGAGCTTCCCCTGTTCCATATTTGTCACCAGCCCGTCGATGGGGTTGAGGGTAAAGCTATCAATGGTGTAGTAGTCTTTGAGGTACCAGCGCATGTTCTGCAGTAAATCGAGCACATGCGACTCTTCGATGGATAGGCTTGCCTGGAAGCCTTGCACCGCCTTGGCCACTGACGCATCGACTCCGCCGTCGAAGCCAGGATTCTCGAGCTTCTCGACAAGGGCATCCACCTGATCAGATGAGCTGCCTGTCAACGCCACGAGGATGAATTTGAACATTTTGAAAATTTCTGTAAGAGACAGCTTGCCGGTGTCGTCGGCATCCGTGGTTCCCTGCAGGACTATGGAGCACCATCTGGTTAATCAAGAAACCGACGGGCATCGCCTTTGGCGCCATTTCATGCCTTACCTGGCTGCAGGATGTCAAAAGCGTTTTGAACGCCCTCATTGTAAGCCCCTTGTATCTCGGGCTTCTCCTGAGAGAGCATGAGCTTCGTCATGTAGCTGACCACCATGAAGAAACGATTATAGCTCTCCGTTATCTTCTTAGAATGCCAAGAGGCCGCCGCCTGCTCGTTGCAGTCCCCCCTAATCGAGGCTGAAATCGTGACCGCCGCTGAGAGGCCGCCCGTGATGGCCAGGTGCACGCCCGAGGAAAAGTATGGGTCAATGAAGCAGCCAGCGTCTCCGACAATGCGTATATACGGGAAGGAATAGGCTGACGCACAGTAGGACCAGTCCGAAGCTGACTTGATATCGCTGACGAGCTCCGCCTCGGAAAGTAGTTGCTTGGTCCTGGGCACCAAATCGAGTGATTTCAAATAGAAATCCTTAGTTGACGGAGATCCCAGCTCTTGCTTCTTCGCAGTAGCCAACTCTTGGTTCAGGACGATGCCAACTGAGTGTGTGCCATCGTGTAGCGGAATGTGCCAACACCAGCCGCTGGCGTCTTATGTTGGTCATGAGTAAGTGTTTGTCACCAGAGTCAAAAACCTAGGATAACGATTTCCCAATTACCTTGTAGAGTCTCGAAGTAGGGCATATTCTCTTGGCGTGTCCCTGAACCATATTTGCCACTACCTTTCCAGTAGCCCCAGCTGGCAACGTTCTTGAGATTTGTGTTGAACTTCCTATTCTTGAAGTATCTAGTACTCAGAATGCCATGCCTTCCGCTGGCATCAACGAGGTACCGGAAGCTGATGGTCCCGGAACTGCCGTCTCCACGAGCCCAGGTGGCCGACGCAGGGCGGCCAAGTTTCGGTTCTTGACTGCTATCAACTTGGATTGCCCCATTCGTAGCCGGCTCGAACTGGATGGCGTCAACCTTCGTGGCGTCGAAAGCGTGGGCGCCGCACGCAATGGCGTGTCTGAAGAGCATCTCATCAGCTTCAGATCGGATCACATTCCAGGCATAACTCTCGGGTCCGCCGGCCGCAAGAAAGTCGAGTTCTGCGGTAGATGTTAGCTCCTCTACGACTCAAGGGCATATAGGCACTTGGGCGAGGGGGAGCAGGATTGGAGAGACTTGCGGGCATCAGGCTGAGATGGATGAATGCGGAAAGCTGCGCCGTTCTATCGTCCGGTGAATATCATTCTCCACGTACAAGACTCCTCTGGCAAGCAGCATGGGACTAACCTTCTTAGTGAATCCATGAGTGTTGAAAGTGTCGTAGAAATCTATGACCTTGAGAAAGTGACGCATCGAAGGAAGCATGCTTTCTCCAATGTGATATCTACCGCGGCCGAGTTAGCGCACAAAGAGGTGCAAACGATAGATATACTGAGAAAATCATGACGAACCTGGGGAACTTATCCATTTCCAGAACTACCACATCGATACCTTCACGCGCCAACGCCGCAGCCGCAAATGATCCCGCCGGGCCACCGCCAATCACAAGCACCGTGCAGCTTTCGGGGATAGACATGGCAAGTTGGAATGGACTGAAAGTCAACCAGGTGAGGTTTTAGAAGACAGGGCTCAAGTCGAGTGATCAGCTAACAAGGATCGGGAGATGCCGACTCGAATAACGCAAATGGGGACGGACTCGTGCTCCCTTTTAATACTGATTCATGCGCACTCAACCGCGTTCCTCGAGGCGTGGACGTCACTCACTGAGAAGTCTCGGCAAGTAGACATGCCGCAGCAACTTGCCGGCCACATGATAGATAAGAAGACAGCAGTCACCACAGCATGCTGTAAAACAAGTATATGCAGCCGGCTGGACTTGAACAAGGACATGCATACCAAATTATGAACATGATACTGGTGCCGCCCCTCCGCCTTTGGCATCGCTTGGCGGGTTGGTCTCTCCTAGGACACCAGGCTGCCTGTCTGCTTCTAAGCGAACTGTTTGCAGCAAGCAGGCTGCCAAAAGTCCCGTGTTGCATATTGAGCCCCTCTGCAATGACGGGGCGTACCAGTCACACCACTCGTAGTATCGTCAGGTGCGTTGCAGTTACCATGCTACGAAGCCCGTGATTCCATGGGACCTCATCAGACAAAGCACTACGAGATAATGCCATTGCAATATATATTCATCATAAATGACACCCTCTTTCTTACGTACATACCCTCCCATACTGCGGCTTACGGTACGCGATATACGATATAAACCGATTGGCCGAGGTTGCATCACATGTGACTTTTTGTCTCCCCTGAAGTCAAATCGCAGCGGGATATGGACACGAATACGGACGCTGCGCCGAAGGGTGCACTGGCGGGCTCGAGCTGCCAAATGTTCAGAATACGATAAATAAGGAGCCAATCTGTTACGAAATTCTCTATTGGGATAGCATTGCGAGGGCAAACAGCAGGAGAAGGGTGGAAAGGACACCGGGAGTCTGAGGTGCTTTTCTAGGGAAGCATTTAATTACCTTGAGAAATAAAGCAATAAAAGGTCTTATTTTTATACACCTTAAAGAGACTAGGACTAAAGATCCTGCTCTTTAATTAGTCATTTTAAAGCCTCTTATAGTTCATAGTTTTCCAAGTAGCAAGTTTTATCTTTATCTAGTTATACTATCTGGTCTATATAACTAAACCCTGGATTTTAATACTCGAGTCAATAGTTTAACCAATTACAATTTTAGTATTCTTAGTATTCTTATAGAAGAGAAAAAGCTAATAACCAGTTCCCAACCTCTATGCTTTGCTTGTTTTGCTCATCCTCCGTGGGATACGCGCGGATTAAAACCAATTATATTCTCAACTTCGTTTTACAGCCTCTGGGTGCAGGTGCGGCCTGGTACGTATGCCAGATGACAGCCAAGAATGTGGCTGCGCAGAAGCATAACCCTAGCGGAATGAAATGCGAGGAGCCGGGCTGCTCTATCAAGTCATCTTCGTAAACCTTCAAGCTGTTAATACCCCAAAACGCGTCTTGGAATTCTTCGGGGTGCATATGCACGAATTCCTCGCATGTTCGAGCTTTCTGGCTGCATACTGGATCTTCATCCCAAACACCACCAGCCCAGCCTCCACAAAACGCCGTGTTCATGATCAGCGTCTGGTTTTGTACATATGAGTCGATGTTGCATGCTCCGGAGAAGCTAGCTAACGGCAAACCCCAGGTAGGCGGCGCCGGACGACCAGATGCGATATCGGCAGGGATGGATTGACGAGGGAAAAACCAGACCTTGATGGCTTTGCTTGTCCAGTCGACTGCGTATATTCCTCCACGTTCGGTGTTGAAGGCATTGCCATAAACATTTGGTTGGTCTGCGATGATCTTACAACCAATGTTCTTGTGTTGATTGGGGGCATACACGTAGCAATTGTATGTATCTACCCAACCGGTGAAGTCTCCACTGTTTGCTATTTGGCAGCCTTCGCGAGTATGGAGTGCGATGTTGTTGTGACCTTGAGAATTCACCCCTTCGATGATATCGAGTTCTCCGAGTTCGGGCCAGGGCCGATGTGCTGCCATTGTCCAACTGTAATCATTAAAAACAGTTAACATACCGGCTGGAAAGGTTGTGATAGCTTGCTTTAGCTAGCCATTTAAGGGTTGGGGCCTCCAACCTTTGCCGAGAACAGGCCTTGGGGACAAAACTTACAAGGCAGGCCACACGCCACAGATCGAGGCTGGCATATGGTATACGTCCAAGAGAAATAAGCCATGGTTGTAGGAATTCTTCGATTCTATCCGAACACTCCGTCTTCCACGACCGAAGGATATATTTGCATGGTCCACACCGATGTAGACGCTGGTGTCGGTGGTTTGAATAAGTCCATTTGCTCTTGCAGTAGCCTCTGAGACGTAGTCAACGTAGCCCTCTGTTGGGTCATCATCCTATAAGCTTATTTCATTAGTCTACCTAACATCATGGCGGCTTACCATGGGGTGCGTAATCTTGCAGTTCGGGTATGAGACTGGCTCGTCGGAGGCGAACGCTTACCGTGAAAAAGTCGAACATATCGAAAAAGGATGGCGGCGCGTAATCATCCCTTAATCGATATACTGCAGAGCATCTTGGGCTGACAGCCAACGCAATGAGTACCAAAGCCGACACTGAAAAAGCTCTCATGCTGGTGGCAGCGCCGAATGCAGACTTTTGCTCGGAGACACAGCATCAAGTTCTCGTCTCTTCCTTCCCTCCACAATCCGAATGGCAACCGAGCAATGATTCAATCCAGTCGACATCCTCAAGGCAGATCATCATATGTAGCCAGGTTAGAGTCAATATATTTACCTATCCACACCGCTATTTGCCTCACTATGAGGCTGATTTGCAAGTTACAGTATCGGTCCGAATAACGAAACAGGAGAGGGAGGGGAAAGAACCATGGAGCAGCATTTGAAACGAATTCTGTTCTACCATCTCTTTTTATTCTCTCCTATTGCCGGGGTCACACACTGGTTATCTGTGCTGCAGCAGTTATTGATTTGATAAATATTGTATCGGATATTGTACGTATGACGGCAGCAGGACAGGATCCGCATAGAGAGCTGGAGTCGCCTATGAAGAATTTGGACAGTATCCGGAAAATGGTCAGTGCAAGGGAGCTTCATGAGCCGAGCTTTCTTTTTTCATCTGTACTTTAGGCATGTTTAACCAGATCATGCATGGTATGCTCACCAATAGGCGCCATGGCCCCGAGACAACGCTTCACCGCATGCTGTCCCCAAGGGCTCATCAGGAGACAGCGAACATACATCCTGTCTATCTTCTTGACCCCCTGCATGAAGTTTGAGACCCGGTTGGCCGCATATTTCCCTTTACAAGTGATGCCGTAGAAACTCAAGGGTGCAAAAGGCTCAAATTGGTGTCAACAAGGATGGCTGATGCCGAAGCACCTCACCACGCCGTGGAGACTGTCCGAATCTACGAGGCGCAGCTCTCGAGTTCGCGGGTTAATCGCTAGAGCGAAGGGAGATATGCTTGGCGATCCAGGTCCTCAGGCGTGACACTGACCGGCTCGTTTTCCCTGTCTCAGTTAGGTGACATGGGGGGATGGGATCGGCAAGAGACCCCGAATTGCTTATGTCCCTCTCATTCTCTCGCAGCAGCTCACTTGTTGCAGCGTTTTCCTGCGCTTTTTGTTCCTGCTTTATAAGCTTGACGTTAAGGGCCGTTCCCTGACTTAAATCCTTAACCCCATCCGTAGCTGACTGATGGATAGAGAACCCTCATTTTACTATATAACCCGAAATCGACCGTTGTAGGATTGCACTAGCCAAATCTGCCCAAGACAAAAAAAACCTGCAGCATGTTAGAGTGATCAGAGCCCGCAGCGGACGATAAATGAACATCCCAGTTCCGTAAATTCCCTTCAGGTGTCGAACTGCTGCCAAGATCCTTTTCGTGGTCCATAGAGTCAATTTGACTATTGTTAATCAAACAACCAGTAAACATGGCAAAGGCGTCTACAACTACCACAACCCAACACCCCGAACTGGTCTACCGCTCTACAACGTCAGCTTCGAAGTTCCGAAATCGCCATGAATCCGATATCTCCCTTCACAACATTGTTACTGTCGATGTGAACGAGAAAGATTTGTTCACATTGAATAGAAAGCAAAAGCTCGCGCTTAAGCTGACGCCGATGGCAACGCTTATTCCAATGCTGCTGAGTTTCTACTATTGGTGGATGCAGTACATGTTTCTTTCTGTGCCAGATGCTGCTCATTCGGACATCAATTTGGGTATGCGGAAGACCTACCTTGTATTAGAGGCAATATCTAACGGTATGTTTCTCTTCCCCCTACAAAGCAACGGCGAAGAATGCTAAACTTGTAGTCCCGGACTATTTGAAAAAGGTCTTGGATGCTTTAGCCATCTCTAAAGGCGCATGGAGACCTCGCCTGTTGTTACAGGGCGAAGATGTACCATCAGTTGATGTGGCGATAGTGTGCTGCAAAGAAGAACTATCTGTGATATTGGACACAGTCAAGGCAGCGCTCAACACCGACTACCCAGATGACCGGCTGCGAGTCATTGTCTCAGACGATGGAGCGCAACAATGCGTTGAGATGGGTGTTCGACAACTACAAGATCGATACCCCAATAAGCATCTGTTTTACACTGCACGAGCAACATTCCCGGAAAATAGCCACAAGGCAGGGAACCTCAACCATGTGCTCGAGTACACTGCTACGATGCCAGGAGGACATGCGCCGTTCATAGCAGGACTAGACGCTGATATGATTCCGGAGAGGAGATGGCTTAGAGCACAATTACCGCACCTGCTCTCGGATTCTCGAATGGCATTCACTTGTCCGCCACCATGCTTCTACAATGTCCCGATGGACGATCCTATTTCGCAGTCTCTTTTTGCCTTTCACAGGTTTGAAGAACTTGTCAAGGACTCGGCAGGGATCGCCTGGTGCACAGGGTCTGGATGGGTGATGCGGCGAACTGCGCTGGCGGAAATAGGAGGATTCCCGGCGAAATCCCTCACTGAGGACCTTCTCTGTGGCAAACTCCTGCTCGGTAGAGGTGAGCCACAAAGACAAAGTCCACAGCACGACATTCTAACTAGTTTTCAGGTTGGAGATCAGCATATATACAGGAGACGCTGCAGTGGGGATTGGTCCCGGACACGTATCACGCCCACATCCGGCAACGAACACGATGGGTGAGTGGTTAGCAATGAATCAGTTATGCCAAAACGTTGGGTCTAACTTTAAACACACACCCTATCTAGAGTACTGGTGGCGTACAAGCAGGTCTTATAATGAAGTTGTGTCTCTTTGGAGATCTCTCGCGGCATCTCGACGGCTGGCAAAGAGCATACAGTTTCTGGTATCTCTTCCAGAACGCCTCGGCTACCTTAAAGATGCTGGAAGTGCTAAAGACCATGCTTATGCTGGTTGTCGGCTGGCCTATGGTTGTTTTCACCGGCAAACACCAACTCACGTCTCTTGTCAGAGTGGCTGCTCTAGGTCACACCTTTGGCTTCGTCCGTCAATGCCTGGTAGCATATGTCAATGGGTATGCAGCGAGTTGCCGAGAAGTATTCTGCCTTTATTTCATGAATACGTGTAAGTGAAACCTATAAGGCCTCCGGCCGGCTCAGCTAAGCCAGGCGAACGGCAGATTTTGCGCTTGATCACTGGAGGACGTTTGTGCTCCCAATATGGTTGGGCGGCCGTCCGACTGCCTTCTCTGCAAGATTTCCATCGACTGGAAGCTTGCCCGACGAACTACACGAAAGAAAAGAGGCGCTAAGATCACCACTGTATACACGGTTGAAATCAATTCTGATAAAAGATGGGGGCGCTTTTCACTTAATTGTCGCCTTGACTTTTATTTTTGGGGTTTTCTTGAACATCACAAGGGCCTGCGCCCTTCATCCAGGCGATCTGCATGGCTGCTTTCTCTATCTGCTTCCAAGGATATTCTGGGTTGCTGCAATGTGGCCAGCTTACACTGCAGCATTTTTGCGACCAGCCTGGTACGCTGTCTTCCCTCCGACAATGCAGGATCGCGAGCATCTTCTTGAACGAGATGCGATCGGGATTGCCTATCCGAAGGACGAATCCAAATTACCGAAGTCAGCCATTCGAGGCCTAGGACTGGAGCTAGTCAACACAATGTCTGTCGTTTGGGCTTTTGGTCTACTTTTCGGAACTTGGTGGTGAGATCACTCGCGCCGCATTACTCTTTATGCCATGCGATATTATACGATGGTTGGCTTGGCTACTCCGGCGACTGTAAGGAGCTCGCAAACACGACGAAACAGAGAGTGAAGTACGGGGGCCAATAATTCACAGTGTTGCTAATAATATAAACAATACGTATATTGGCAATATGGACCCCTCGCAATATTATTGTACTGTCAAGAGGTGCGTATTGTATTGCGCAATATGGCATTGGTCCATATTGTATTGTATTGCCAGTGACCCAATATATTGCCAGTAAAACAATATATCCCGTATATCCCACGTGACCCTCATTATTCAACCGTCGTTGCTGAAATATCGTCACCCTGAAAATCCTGTATCCCAAACCATGACTTCAAGCACTCCAATGCCTGAATTACATCACTCCCAAGTCGATTTCGACGGTCTGTGATGGTTATTTTGCCCCAGAGAAGAGTCTTTCGGGCTCAGCAGACATTGCGGAATTGACAGTATATCCACCGCCATTTTGCTCAGGTATGGGTAGTTCTTTTGCTGTGTTTCCTCCAGCCACCATGCGAGGGCGCTTGTGAACCCATAAACCCGTTCAGACTTACAATATCGCTCGTACTCGTCTGTGATAAGTGCTGGTTGTAGGTGCTTGTTTCTCCAATTCAAGAACTCGTTCGTGGTCGTCAACGGAACCTCAGATAGAAGGCGGCTCCACAGGTTTATAATCATCCCACAGTGTCTCCATCAGCTTCTTTGACGAGTCAGCCCTCCTTCTTCCAGTTTTCGTGTATGTAGTGCCATTTATGCGAAGGGTGAAGCACAATCGCAGCGACGTAGGCAGGCGATTCGTCAGTAAGACAATAGTACTTATCCATCTTCGCCCAGCCCGAGTTATACATTGGTGCCATAATCGGATCGTCGATATGTGCCTCTTTTCCTGCTTCAAATTGCGCCAATACGAAGTCCATAGCCAAGAGAACATTGTCAAGAGTTGCAAACGATGACTCAAGGGCCTTTGTCGTCATTTTAAGCTTCTCCAGAAAGACTTGATCTTCTCGAGGATGACCCACTCCTCGGGAGAGCTCGTCTCCGGCACAATCTCCTTCCACCCATTTGTTGAATATCCCTCGACTGCGCCTCTAAGATGCAAGGCCGCTCGTAGCATGGTGTACCACGAACTCCACCTCGTGTCATTATCTCGCGCAAGCTTGCGATTATGGCTGATGGCCAGAAACTTTTGGCGACGCTGAACACTACTTTGGACGAAAACCACGAAGTTGTGGAGCTTGCCAAGGGACCCTTTTCCGCAACGCCTCGATCTCTTTTAGTGTCACATTATGCCCATCACGTTCGTCGTCTTTGAAATTCTCATTATCGGTAACGAGAGGAAGCTTTGGCGGCAAGGTTGATAATGTGACCTTGGCAGCGAGTCGGTGAGATTTGGGATCGTATCGAATGTCATATCGACGTAGAAGGCCTGTAGATGTTAGGGCCAGTCAGAAAAAACAGTGCGCCGTACTTACCAAGGGAAGAGATCTCATCATTGTATCGTTATTGCCTGCATTGTCCATCACAAAATATCCAAGGTTGAAGCAAACCCCAGTCAGCAACCACTTCCAAATTGCCCTTGCCAGGTGATATCCGTCGTGCTCACTGTCGATGTCTTTCAAAGCCAAGACATGGTGTTCCAACTGACTGTCTTCTGCAACGTAATGAGCAACTACGCCTAAGATGGCCAAAGAGTTGGGGAAGTCCATAGGTCGCAGCTGATATGAATTTTTGACTTTGCTGACTGGATGCGCTGCTTGACCTTCTCCTTCTGACCTTCGTACTGCCGCATAATCCATTTCTTGATGGTCTCGTGTGTATCTGGAAGCCAAGTATCGATATCGGCGTTGAGGTAGGCTAAGAATGCTCGGAATTCTGGGCATTCCACAAGCCTAAATGGGAGAGAACAGGACGTAATAAACCTTACGTATAAAGCTTCGAGCTGGTCTGGGTCGATCGAGTCTCCGGATTGATCGTTGAGCCGACGGCGTTTTCGGGGATGTTCTTTGGCCATAACACGAGCTATCTCGAGAATAGTTCGTATATTCGTGACTTTGGCTGTTCGTGGCGCGCCTTTTGGGAGGCCGTGACCGTCAGGAGGAGGATCCGTAAGGTGCTTGGCTGGGGCCGCAGTTCCACCGGAACAGCAATACGTTTTGTCACAGTGTTTGCAGCGCCATTCTTCTTTTCCGGTCCGCTGATTGTAGTATTTCGTCTCTATGTCCTCGTCTGGCATATGAGAAAAGACCCATGATGTTCTTGGCTTGGCCGAAGGGTTTATGGAGGCCGTGCGAGGTTGCGACGATTGGCATTCAGTGGTTTGGGTCTCATCTGGATCATGCAACCGTGGGCTGGAAATCTCCGAGTATTCGTCTGATATTGACGAATCCCGTCGCGGCGATGTTTGAACAAAAGGCAGGCGTTGTTGAGGCATCGAGATTGCTTGTAAGTCCTGGGGTGGGAAAGCGGGGTTGAGGAGGAAAACAGTGTTTGGACGGCGAGCCGCTACCCTGTAGGTCTGGATTTATACATACATTTACGCGTTTCCGTGCGCCAATAGGAAGATTTTACGTCCTGGAGGTCCGCCAGACGAAAAACAATACATAGAACATGCTTATATTTACGCGTGTATTTTGACGCGTCATCATATTGGCGCGAATTGGGAACGGAAAGGCGAATGACCACCAACCAATACAAACAATACAAGCCATATATTGCCAGTATGGAAGGCGCCATATTGTATCGTCACAATATGACGGCGAGCATATTGTATTGGTACAATATGAGAAATCGCGTATTGTATTGTATATACTGCAGTATACTACTTTATTGTCATATTATTAGCAACACTGATAATTCAGCAGTTGATCTCCAAAGAGCCCGTTCAACACTTGAGAGACGGTGTCCTTTTAACATAATGGCATCCTCTGTTTTCTGACGGCTTCCCTGCGAAATGTCTCGGCGGTCTGCCTTTAGCTGGCGCGTGACAAAGGCCTATCGCAGCAACTATGCCAATCGACGAGATCCCCCGCTCTGAAAGTCGAACAGGCATCCTTCGCGGTGGCCGAGCGTCGCGCCCTCAGGATCAATCGTGCTTTCCTTATTTGACACGTGCCAAGTCTTCGTGCCGCGGGGAAGCAGGCTGCAAAGGCCATGTTCGTTCATGAGGTCGATGGTTGGCTCAGGGCTGACCCTCACCACCTGTGCCCTCGACGTGACGCAAGTGCCTCCCTATAGCAGGTCGTATTAATGGAAGTCCCCTGCAAACACAATGTCGGTTCGCTTGCCACTACCGTTGTGGAAACAGGTGATCAGGCTGCCAAGTTCCATCGTCGTGAGAGTCGGGGCCTCCTCGCCCTTACTCCTTCGGCTTCCCTTGCATAGTTATATATAGTCATCCCTTTGAGTGCGGAGGGACCGCACCTAAGTCACGAGCAGGGATATTAGCCAATAGGGACACCGCGCTATTAAGGATACTTTAGTTTACTAGCAAATTAGGCTATAATAGAAGTCCTAACAATCCGGGCGGGTATCCCTTTGAGTGCCCGAAGGGAGCAAGGGGGTCACGGACAGGGATACTAGCCAATAAGGACACTAGATAATTAGGGGTACATAATTTAACTAGCAAATTAGGCTATGGTAGAAGTCCCAGCAATTAGGCCGGGTATAAATAGCTACATCACACTGGTCACATCCCCTACGAGTCTTCGTAGGCGGCTTCTTGTTGCTGCTAGCTGTGCCCAACGGCTTGCGCTGACTTTGTGATCTTGGCTGCCTAAAGTAAGGCAGGATACGCTTTTGCCGCGGTTGACATGTTTGTGCTGCGTAATAGGGGTAAATATGTCCCTAGCTCGAAACCGTTGTCTAGAGCTGCCGTCTTTTCCATAAGCCTCGCAAAGATCTCTTACAATGCGTTGCCGCCACTCGCGCTGCGAGGTTATTCGTGACCAGCTTGGCTGCCCCCAGAGCTAAAGAAGGTAGCTGTTAACAAGAGCAGTCTTAAGTAGGAAGGTCTACGTAAGTGCCCGCTAATTTCCCCTATAAATACGGTGGTCTAATCCCCCCCCCTGCTCTTAGTTAGTCACTAATATTAACACCGCCTATTTAATTATGATAGTCTATAGAGATAGACGGTATAGGAAGACGTAATATAGGCTCGGCACTAAATTTTTGCTATATTAGGCGTGCTCGGGGCTATATTATTATCGGCCGGCGCCGAATTCGCTCTTTAAATTACTCGCCGGAATAGACTATTAAGAGGAATAGTATAAGGGCGTTATCCTTCTAAGCGAATTAGTTAACCTAGAAGAAGAAGACAAATTAGTAAGGGAATTACTAGAGAGCCTATCTTTTAGTACTTATACTTAACCGTTAAGGGTTAGCGTAGTCTTTAGTATACTTTAAGGCTAATAGTCCCCCTTTATATTAGCCTTTTTTACCTTTATAAAGGGCTTATAGAAGCTATAGTTAATTTAGGCTATACTTATAGCCTTAATCCCTAGCTAATAAAGAGCGTTAAGGAGGTTTAGCGAGGAAAAAAGGTTATTAAAGAAGATATAGTATATTTATTCTAGTAGTTACTTAAGTAAGGTAATAATAACGCTCTAAGTTAAGTTAAGAGAAATACTACCTTCTACTATACCTCTCTTCCTCTTCTTCCTAGTAGCTAAGCTAAGGGTATTAAAAGGTTAATACTAAAGCTACTAAATAAAATAGTTTACTTAGGCTATAACCTATACTTTAAAGCTTATAGGTATAGGCTTATTCTTAACTATAACTATCTACTTTAACTTACTTATATAGCTAACGATATACTTATCTATAGCTAAATAAGTACTTAGTTAATAGAGGGTAAGAGATACCTACTATATATATTCTGCCTACTTATTAGTA